TGTAAAAATGTAATTTGTTTTTGCTTATTCCAGTTTATGTTTTAGTTTAAAAAATAACTGAAAAAAAATAATTTCAAAACAGAAAAACAAGAGGTTAGTGTGAACTGGTTCACCCCATCAATCACATTATACGATTCAATACGTTTCACACTTTCCTTAGCAACTGGTGTTTTCTGCCACCATTCCCAACTCAGTAGTTACGTCTAATACATTCCACCGCTGTTTATCTAGAGAAACAGCGTGAATTAAAATCATTTGCAGATAGTTGACATAGTTTCAAAGTTTCAGCTTCTCTAGCGAGATATTGTCGTGGATTTGGTCCTTAACTAGCGGCCAGAGGAGATCGAAATGACCATGAATACCGTTGTTATAATGCTCATAATCATGTTAGGAGCTGAGCTTATGTGCCGAGGTAAGTTAGAGTGTATGCATGAATGTGTTAGTTTTTTCATAATAGCAACAATTAATATAGTATACGACGGATTCGATTCAGAAATACAAACGTTATTTTAAAAAGCCTGGCCATCATTAAGCTTGCAATCTAAAGGAATTATTGATAATATTACAAATGTGCTCCAATATGTAATTATGCAAACTGCGGTTAATCACAAATGTGTAATTCCCCGCGCCTTAAACTCAGGATTTAACAGGTAATAGCTTTTTTGCCTATGTGTTCAAAATAAGGAACAGAGGAAGGCGCCCAGCAAAATATTTTCTTTAAGAATGAAAATTGAGTTCATTACTAATATTTTTAAAAGAGAGCAAAGAAAAGATGCAATTTCTATTTTTTCGATAATCTTTCTTGCATTGCAAGCAAAAAGTTTTCCATTCTCATCAATGAGGAACTGATTATTTCGATTATGAAATCTTTTGTTGTATGACACAATCGTTAAATTGCGCCATCTTATAAGATAAATTCATATTGTTTGGTGATTTATTAAGTTAGCAAGCCCAAGTAAAAAAAAAAAGGGAATGTGACAATCAAAGGCAGAAGAATAATGAAATGGGAAACCTTTGATAGAATTACTCAGAATAATGTGGAATTGATCTCTGTTTAAAAATGATATCCAAATAATTAGCATTAACAAAACTATAGAATTTTGAATAACAAAAATATTCATTAAAATCAAAGTACAGGCATCAGGCAGATGTCCAAAGACTATTTAAAGAACAAATAAATTAATTTCATGATTTCTTGTTTAGCCCAACTGCCATACGGTGGCATTATTTGCTGTAATCATAATTTGCATCCTGCATCATTTTTTGTTCAACTTAAGACAGGACTAGTTTCCATTTCGTATGGTCCATGTTTGTATTTATCTTATTCATGTTGAAGCAGATCCATGATTTGGTAAACAGGTTGGGGAATTTTCTGACTGGCAAACAAGCAAGAAACAAACCCTACATCCTCCAATGATTGTACGTCCCTATTCAAAATAATTCTAGTCTTTAATTTTTTAGCTCCTCTCTTCCTTTAATCTATATTTTATTTTCTCTTTTAATCCATCTAACCGTTCTCTTTCCACCGCCTCTCTCTGTTCACATGCATTTCTTATTGATGATGTTTTTTGGTTATATACAGGAACCGCACAACAAGAACAGGATCCTCCCGGGGGCCTTGGTGTTAACACCCTCCTCCAAGGTGATGACACTCAACAAATCGGAGAAGATAACAACGAAGGCGATTTCGCTCTTATAAGGATCAAGAGGCAATACAAGACTGATGACGTCAGTGAAGAAGGCCCTTATAAAGTCAGTATCAGTGATAGCAGCAGCAGCAGTGGTAGCAGCAGCAGCAGTGGTAGCAGCAGCAGCAGTGGTAGCTCAAGCAGCAGTGGTAGCAGTGGCAGCAGTAGTAGCTCAAGCAGCAGTGGTAGCAATGACAGCAGTGGTAGCAGCAGTAGCAGTGGTAGTGATGGCGATTAATAGTCCTTGATGAGTTCAAATCCTGATTGACAGAACTCCATTTTCTATTTTCTTTCTGAAAACGCATTAATTTAATGATCTCAAATTTGATGAATAAGTTATAGGATAACCTGATAGTGATACTTCTACAATAGAAAAATAACATTTTGAAATCGATTCACTGTTGGGGGATGCCCGAATGGAAAACATGTACTTTTTTTAATGAAACCACAGGATAATTGAACAGTGTACATGTTTTACAATTAAACAGCATCATTCTTGTATGATAACAAATCCAGCATCCGAAATTAAACTCTCGATTTTTTAGAGAGCGTCAGCTGCCTCAAGCATCTTTATTGGTCGGCTTATCAACTAAATTATATGTCCATGTCAAAACACCAAACACGAAGTACCGAATACCACGACAAAACAGCGTTCATCTAAACACCGTCTTCAGATGAAAATGTTCTCGGATACTTTCGAAAATTTAAAAACCTAAAGCAATTTCAATAGCTCTGTCCGTCGCTGAACTATGCGAACATTACCACGATAAGTGGATATAATCGATATCTACTTGAGATATGAAATCCTTATACTTCGACTAATTGAAATAACACATTTATATGACATCCCATTCATGCTACAAGTCCAAATTTTAAAGTGTGATTGTGAAAGGAACGATTTGAATATAAAGCAAACTTTTATCATAAAATAACAAATTGATGTATGTACCATTTTACTATCACTCACTTACTCAAAATTGCTGATTTACAACAAAAAGTATTGCTTTCTAATGTGATTTAAAAAAAACGCAATAATGCAATATGTTTTTTGCTTCTTGTCTTTTCGGACCCCTCCCCCCCCCCTAACTATACAGTTGTCTAATTGCACGTTATAATCCTAGATTGATTGTCATTTTTTTAATTCTCGATCGGCTCTTGTCTATTTTATTTTTTATTTTTAATTGTATGATAATTATATAATATCTTTGACAATTCAAATCAATAATTTTATTAGTTTTATTGCGAGTGCCTACTTTATAACAAATTGGGAATTGATTGAACGATTGATTGATAGATGGATTGGATTGTTTTATTTATTGATTGAGTAAGTGAGCTATTGTGTGATTAATTGATTGATCGTATGATTGTTTTTGTTACTTCGTTGATTGGCAATTTGATTCCCGTGTTTGATTGATTTATTGGTGTTGACTGCATTGTTTACGTGCTTGCCTTGACTAAGTGAATGTTTGATTTAACTTTGTAATTTATTGATGACTGATCGATTGTTGTTGCTAATTGATTTATTGTCTGATGGTATAGTGAATTATTAAGGAACTGAATCTGTATTGCCATGATGATTGATGAGCTGTTTGATTTCATTGTAAGGTTAATTGATAACAGTTAAAGGCTGACTTGATTGAGTAGTCTTAGAACGGGGACGACCCACTAGATCAACATACCACAAAAAATGCCGGCCTCGTGAAAAATTAGCAAAGATGCTAAAACGCCGGCAAGACCAACATGTCAGTCCAATGGCTTTTCGGTCCCATAAACCATCAGATGGTTCCTTCATTAATTAATTTGTTCTAATGACTGTTTTATTTTGTTGTTGATGATTTAAACTCTTGAGTGCATTTGTGAATTAATAATTATGTTAGTTCTTCGATTGCCATGGTTGGTTGATTGATTAATATTTTTGACTGATGGATCAACCTGCATTTGCTTTGCCTTGATTATTGATTAATCCAATACAACACTGAGTAGTTATTGTTGCCATTATTTCGGGATTGGTTAATCAACACCTTTTCAAAGGTTAAGGCTTATGTATAAGTCATATAACTGTCTTGTCATGTTTTGTGCTGAAAGCCAGAGGACCGTACCTGCTCATAGACTTTTTCTTATATAGTTTTGACGCCCTTCTGGCTTTCAGCACACGACACGATGTTTTTGTCTTATGTTTTATGTATTACATGTTATACCAATAGAAAACAAATTTCTGTATTATATTATGGACAATAAAATCTTGAATCTTGAATCTTGAATCTATATCACATGATGTGGTTACAGTGATACATCCCTCCCCTACCTAGTACTCAGAATATGATTATATTTGGGATGAAATTCTTGAAATGGTGCGGACAACTAAAAAGGAAGAAGGCGATAATGGTCCGGGTTTAGAGGTGCTGCCCCGAGTGCCCCCTCCCCCAAAAAGGAACAAAAATGAACATGTTCCTAATACATCAATGAAATAAAGAATATCTGAAGGAATTGTCCTAATATGCCCTATAAATGGTGTACAATACGACGCCCGCGCGATTGATCCAAACAAGCGGTCGCTGTAGATAACCATTGAAACAATCCTAGCGGCGTCTTGAAACCTGCTAAAAAAAATGCCAAATACAAGTGTTATTGAGGCATTTTGATTGTTTGTTGCCAATCAATTTCAGCTCATTGTAAAAGAAATTTATCAACAGCTGGACCCGGAGAGTGATATTCTATATTCCCACGGTACAATAATGCCGAAGGTCACGCAATGCTGCCACTGTGGAGGCGTATGGGAACCTCAATGCTGGTGTCCCACTCTAAAACTCGAGACACGATATAGTTAATCATATTTTTTTTTAAATAGTGTATTATTTCATTCATTGTGAATCCTGACCAAAATGACCAAGGTATTATAAACAAACTGGATCAGCCATCAACAGGGCACACAACAGGTTTTACGTTGAATTTCAAACAAAGTAACGTTATCTGCAACAAGTAACATATCTTGTTTCCTATGATTTTTTTAAATTTAATCATGCAAAGATGTGATAATTAAGATTCGCGTCAACTTATACAAAAATTGCCAAAAATGAATAGAAAAATAAATTAAGACTTTCTCCTCCTTGTGTAAGAATTTCTGTATATGAAACCGTATTCATATCAATACAGGGTGACGAAATCAAATTATGCACAACCACAATACCCAATAAAAATCAATGACAGAGAAACGCTTCCGCCAACCATGGCATATGCAAAATCCATAGAGTGGCATCGTCTGAAGTGATTGGTCATACTCGAGAGGCACCAAATGAAAATCGATCCTCATCAAGCTCTCTTAGCAAAATATCCAAAGGTGTTGTATTTTGTAAAAACAATTTATCAACATCGACAGAAAGAGTTTTCGTTTCATTTTTGACTTGTCCAGCAAACTGACCACAATGGCCAAGATGGACTGGCCGTTTTACGTGTTCGTTGGAGCTTTCTGCCTTAATCAAGGTAAGTTTATATTCGGATACTTGTCTTGTTGGAATGATCGTTATGACTCTGCTTTGTTACACTCATATCTAACAGTCCTTGTTTTCACATAAATTTTGTTCTCAGTAACATAACAGGCGTATGTGTATTGTGATCACATTTACCCCTCCTGTATTTCTACTGTTTAATTATCACTGTTATACTTTTGATCACTAGTTTTTGAGATACGATAGTTTCAACGTTTCTTTTAATTTGATATACAAATAGTACATTCAATTCCAAAACGATGAGTTTACAAGAAGAATTGAAACAGTATCCAGTATTTTACTATTTTGTAATATTTTGATATTGGGGAAGATTTATATTGAATTTCATGTACCTGAAATAGCCAGTGGACAAAACATAGGATATAATTTTTTTTTAATATAAAGTAAATAAGTTTTCGAAAAAATTTACGAAATATAAGCTCGTTTAATATATATACTTTTAGTGATGGCTCGCCCCCCCCCTCCCCTATTCATTTGATTGCATTCGTCCTGCTTTGATACTTATCCATTTATCCTTCTGCTCGTAACATGCCATCATGACTGGCCACTGTTATTAAGAGGGTTTTTTCCTTCATTTTGAGTTTCATAAAAAATTATCAATTTCTTAATAAAATTTGTATTTCCTTTCGTTTGTCGAAATAAAATGATGTTGCTTTTTCATGAAAATGATGTGTGCATTAAGCAAACACTATAAACAAATCAAATATGCTTTCTTGAACAAACACCATCAAATTATTTTCTCATGCGATCATGTTTTTTTTTTCATTATGCCCAGGTCTTGCACTGAGTAATCTCAATGGTGAAAGGGCTCCAGACGTTGCTAAACGTTCTGTTGATGATGGTCCTCAAGCCAATGCACATATCATCGAGAAGCGAGACGACGATGATCCACCGCCGACTGCTTTGCCGGGCCCTTTTAACCGACCGCCTCTCGGTGGGGGTGGTAATGCACCCAACTCCATCCAGCACAAGCGATCCGTTGATGATGGTCCTCAAGCCAATGCACATATCATCGAGAAGCGAGACGACAGTGATCCACCGCCGACTGGTTTCCCTGGCCCTTTGACCCGACCGACCCGGCCACCTCTCGGTGGGGGTCATGAAGAGTCCGCCCTCCCCCACAGGCGATCCGTTGATGATTTCCTGGGTGACGACGGTGAGGGTGGCATGTCGATCAGTCATGTCATTCATAAGAGGGAGGACGTCAAGGAAGATGCTAGTCTGACTGGTGATGGTGCCATGCCAATTAGTCACGTCATTCATAAGAGGGAGGAAGTCGAGGACCTGGTTGATGACGATGAGGGTGGCATGTCGATTAGTCACGTCATTCGTAAGAGGGAGGAAGTCGAGGATGAGGGCGGCATGTCGATTAGTCACGTCATTCGTAAGAGGGAGGAAGTCGAGGATGAGGGCGGCATGTCGATTAGTCACGTCATTCGTAAGAGGGAGGTAGTCGAGGATGAGGGCGGCATGTCGATTAGTCACGTCATTCGTAAGAGGGAGGAAGTCGAGGATGAGGGCGGCATGTCGATTAGTCACGTCATTCGTAAGAGGGAGGTAGTCGAGGATGAGGGCGGCATGTCGATTAGTCACGTCATTCGTAAGAGGGAGGAACCCTTAAAACTGGATACCGATAGTGAGACAACGACTCCGCCAGTAAGGAGACCACGAAATAAGAGAAAAACCGCCAAGCAAGATGCTAGTCTGACTGGTGATGGTGCCATGCCAATTAGTCACGTCATTCATAAGAGGGAGCAAGTCGAGGAGGAACCGATCAAACTGGATACTGATAGTGAGACAACGACTCCGCCCGTAAGGAGACCACGAAACAAAAGAAAAACCGTCAAGCAAGATGCTAGTCTTACTGGGGACGGCCCTGCCAATTAAGTTGTTTGGTACAATAGAAAGTAGTAGAGGCGTCAACAAAGAGGCAAGGAATTCAGGAGAAAAAAAATCAAGAAAAGGAACTATGTGCAGCCAAAGTGGCAGCGAACTCAAGTATTCTGAATGCACTATGGGACAGTCATACCTTCGTGTTAATCTTTAAAAATCAAACTGTTAATTCATTTCTAAAAATCCAATCAGCTTTTGATCTGCTTCTGTCATAATACATTTAGAATCTTATTTTGCAAGGATTAAGCAATAGTCGTTTTCTTTTCAAACATGAAGTTTCTTTCAAGTCTTTCATTGTAGTAAAAACATAATTTGCATAATTTTGTCCTCAATACAATTATTATTACCATTCTTAATTATAATAGTCTGGCTACAGTTAGCACTGATGGATCTTTCAGCATTCCCGTTTTATATCATAGTTTTTCCTGAGAATTTTTTTTTTCATTTTCACCTTGGTAATTAATCAAAACCATCTGTCAGCTAACAGCTCAGAAAATAAAAGTGTATTGGGGGAAATAACGGGGAAACGATTTCAGAGGCGTGGGAGGGGGCGGAGCTTTGTAACGATTGAGGTCTCGTAATCGGAAGGTTACGACACCGTTAAATGAGCTAATAATAAGAATTCAAGCTTACCTGCAAACACACGTGGTTTGTTAGTAGTCAGGTACAATAAACCATCATCAGGCAATGATGAAGTTGGCTCAATGTTCTCACAATTATTGGTAAATTCATGTGAATACAGGGCAAACACACACTCTTAATACACTACAAACAATAAAACGAGGAAATCCGAAGTTGAGTTTGGTAGTGTGATGTTGTAAACATGTAACCATAATTTCCTGGGCCTTTCTTAACTTGCTCAGAGTTTTGAACGTAAGCCGAGAGAATGCGCATTGATCAAGCAAATGAAAATATCATGAAATATGATACTGAGGTGTTCTTGATCATCAATTAGGAACAGAGATAAAGAGAGAGAGAGAGAGAGAGAGAGGGGGGAGAGAGAGAGAGAGAGAGAGAGTGAGAGACAGAGAGAGAGAGGGAGAAAGAGAGAAAGAGAGAGGGGGAGAGATCGAGAGGGTGTTTTGGCGCCATGGAGGAGCTCAGAGACAGAGAGAAAGAGACACATAGGCAGATTTAGAAATAGGAGCAAAGAACACAAACGCACACAGGCACACACGCACACACGCACACACGCACACAAAGGGGACAGAGAGACGGGGAAAGGCAGGATAGAGATGGAAATAAGGCTGAGAGAGAGAGAGAGAGAGAGAGAGAGCTACACAAGAGGGGACAGAGTGATATGTATAGACAGATAGAGGACGCGACAGAGCAGAGCGGAGAGAGGAGGAGAGGGAGGATGGTGCAGAGGGGGAGAGGGTAGGGGCGAGAGGGGAGAGAGGGGGATATAAACATGGTATAGAATGCCAGATAACAACAAGTAAATGAGTCAACTCTCAGGCCCGAATTCACAAAGAAGGTTTATCGACAAACCTTGGTTTTCGTACGTCATTATGACGCGTTTTTACGCGTTTTTTACAAACCTGGTTTGTAAAAACGCGTCGTAACGCGTCATATGACGCACGAAAACCAAGGTTTGTCGACAAACCTCCTTTGTGAATTCGGGCCTTAGTGTCTGTCTGCCTATCTCTTTCTCCCTATATCCCTTCCTTTTCTCACGAACCACTCCTTCTCTCTCCGACTCTCTTTATCACTCTCTTTGACTCTGTCTTATGCTTTTATCTTTCTATTTCTCTTTTAGGACTGCGTTTGCGATTTGTATTTTAGATTACCTTTAGGTTTGGAGTTAGAGTTAGATACAGATTTAGTCACGGATCGAAATTAGGAATGCCGTAATTGTATAAGAAATGGAGTGAGATAATAAATGGTAGTCAGTGTCCATGTGTATTACATCATAGGTCACTGACCCTAGATTGTGTTGAATTACCAGTTTATGTGTCTTTGTGTGCAGGTCTCAGGTCTTCAGGCCCGGTCTTCAGGTCTCTGAAGCAGCGAACCCATGTTCCCACAAAATATACACCAGCTTGATTATAATCGAGGGTGAGGGAAATTTGATATCATCGTCTCTTTACGTCGGAACCAAACAGGATCTTTAATATTAATCTTTGCCTTCTCTGACTCTGACACAATATTCACAGTTTAAACTATTTGTCATTAATGTACTATAATAATAATAATAACAAGTCTTGAAGTTTACCTCTTTTTTGTTGTTGATAGGTGAACTGGACGTGGAAAAAACATATTAACATCATGATTTAACTTTAAAATTCAAGACTCTAATTGGGTACGATAACCGATTTAATCACTCGATGGACAACAACATTTCAAATATCACACAATTTCATACTACATGTACAACACCATCGAATTTTCATATAAACATGATATAATACTAACATACTATCATCACATTAGCATTTAAACCGATTTTTACGTAGTAATAAAATGCCTATGTGGGTGATCAGACCTTATATCAAGATGAGAAAACAATCTCATTATGAGTCCGAGGGTAATGTCAATCATAAACTATATATTTTTGTTGTTGTAGAATGTAATTTTTACAACATTGCATCACCTTTTTTATGCAAACAGTAAAGAAGAAACGTGTCTCTTTAATTTACAAGAAAACCATAACCCGCACCATTGTTTGATTTCATACTTTCTATTATCTCAACCCAGGCTCACCACAGCGAAATGAATGTGCATCTAATATCATATCTCAACCGTGCTGTATTTCAACAGATCTCATTAAAACGAGTGAGACAATACGACTACGAATGCAATACCACTGTCTTACTACATGTATATCAAGTCATCAACACTAATCTTAATGAACATGCAAATTTTACAGTGCATAAAGGCTTAAACGATGTTTTCCCCTTTCGTTACTATAATATCATTTTGAAAACAATCATAGCAAACAAACCAACATTATAATGATTACACAGATAATTACAAGCGATCTATTATTTTGCTATTTTTAACACGAATCACGTATGGATAGCATACAAAAGCCAAAGAGCAGAACGATATAAATTGTAAACATGTATTCCGTTGATATAAATGATTACAGCCTGTATTTTATTCACCAAATGGACGTTCATAATAATGTGCTCAACAATGATTGCATGAATTCCTTGTCTGGTTAGTTTCATTCGCACTGAACATCCTCAGAGCAACACTGAATGTATTCGAAAATGAATGCATCATTTTGACTCTACGATAAGTTTAGCCTGATTCACATTTACATGGAGACCAATATAGGCAAACATGGGAAATGGAGTGTGAATAGGAGAGAGAGGGAGAGAGTGGGGGAGAGAGAAAGAGAAAGAGAGAGAGAGAGAGAGAGAGAGAGAAAGAGAGGGGAGAAGGGGGTGTTTGAGGTATACACGAACGACGAAAAGGGAAAAAAATAGTTGGAGTAAAAGACTTGATGTAATCGGGAATTGTAGCGTACATTTTTAAACAATACGAGGTGAATCCAACCATAATATTAAAAAACATGAAGGTTTATTAGTGCCAGTGAATCGCTTCATTATTCAATTCTGCAATTTCCACTTCACTTCAACTTCCCATTTTACACTACTTCATGTTTGACTTCGCAAACATATTTTAATGCTATATTATGATTACAGCAGACGACGTTTGAGTCATAAAAGCTCCTCGTGCGAAAAATCGGCTTATCGACAAATTCTAAATTAAGATTTTTCAAGGTGAAAAGTAATTTCACCAACTACTACAACCATGCAAAAAAAAAAAGAGGAATAAGCATTCGAAAAAATTGAAGTCACGTGTAATTTATATGAAGCTATAAAACATGGAATTATCACTGCACTATTATACTGGCACGTCATGGCTTTAATTACACCCGTTACTTCTATGATTATGAAAATAAAAGCAACATAAAAAAACACCAATAAAAAGGTGAGCTACTGCACAAAAGAAATGAAAATCATTGGACTGCATTAAAAGTGACTGAGAAAATGTGATTAACACAAATTAAAGTTTGTGTGACATAGAAAATGACAAAGAGAAGTACTGGGAGAGGAAGATATAAATAGACAGATAGATGGAGAGAGAGAGAGAGAGAGAGAGAGAGATAGAGAAAGAGATAGAGACAGACAGACAGAAGTGTGATTGTGTAGTGAGAAGAAGCGTACCTCTCATAATTATAAGCAACGACTGTTTACTTTATTTGAAAGTATGAACAGACTTTTCAAGGTAATCTACATTATAAAATGTGTTTTTGTTAAAAGAAATTGTCATCAAGGATACTCAGTAATATCTTTATGGATATACTCTATACCTCCGATTGCCTACCTGTTATTCATTCTTTTCAAATTAAAGTGCTCTAAAAATGCGTATTTTAGTCGATTTAACGTGAGCGAACACACTGTTTTATTCAGATCTAACTTCTGAAGAAGTCTCTAATGACACGTCGGAAGGTGCGGTTGGCTGCGGCGTAACAGAAAGGGTTCAAAAGACTGTTCACGTACACCCAGAAGAAACTCACCTGAAATCACACAAAACAAGGCAAAGTTTATGAAAAGGTATGAAACAAGAAATGATATGCTAATTTGGTCATTGTTCATGATTACACCTGGTAAACATTACAAAATATACAGGCCAACTCCGACCGAAAAATAAAGTCGAGGTAAATAAGACAGCTAATTAGAAACTTATCATTTGTTCAACAATAATCTCAATCGGTATAATTATGATGTGCTTGTGATGTCATTCATTCGCGATTCACCAATTATTTTGATAATTATACAAAATTAATGTTGCATTTCCCAAGAAACTAATTTCCCACGCCTTCACGCAGGTAAACATACCTCTATACATGTTATAGATACATTGACTGCTATAAGCATCGCTGTTTATATAGGCTCAAGGGGACGTTACATCATATATGACCCCCCTGCGCGCCCCGGCGGGATGTACCTCCCCGAGAGCCAGTATCGAAACAGCTATGCTTCGAATATTAAAGTGGTCCATATATCTATTATATACCGAATTCACACCAAAAAAAAACTACAAAGAATTCTTACATTATCTTTTTCTGGATATAGATTGGTTATTATATACCTCTCTTTATAGTATGTTCAATAAATCTAGTCATCTGATTGGTCGTAATTGTAGTCTTGATTTTAGCGATGCCCGCCTACCGGTCAATAGTTTTTTTTTTTACAATGCCCGTTGCCTCGGTTAACGGGCCGCACAAATAAATTTTGCTGAGATCCCCATTGGTTTACGTGTTAAAAAGTTTCTTTGTGCGAGCGCGGATTACATACAGTGCTTTTTGTCTGCGATTCCCGAATGATCGAAATGTTCAAGCAACTTTCTAGCGAAGATTTACAAACAGTGTCTCAGATTTTATGTGATGTTTTAACCAGTTTTTACTCAAGAAAAGGATAAGGTAAGAATTCTTTGTAGATTTGTTTGTGAATTCGGTATATAAAAGATTATATCGACTGTTTCGGGGACGTGTATGACCGCGTGGCGCGCCTCGAGGTTATATCAAGACGTAGAAAGGCTATAGAAACAGCGATGCCTCTCATAGCAGTCAATATATCTATAAAACATCATAGAAAATCTGAGTACGCGTATGAAGGTGCAAAAAAAGATAATGATATTGTTTGTATGCTCGTACATATAAACATAATGTGGAGAGTCACGTGAAAGCTTCTCAGCCAACTGGAATTATTTTATATAATACAAATATTCCTTTATCTTTATAGTTTTTTTGAAGGAAAAATGTATGGTGGCCCAGAAGGGACATTGCGAATCGTGAACTTTGTTGTGAAATTCGCGAAAAAATTATGCGACTTGTCGCACATTTTGTCACTCGCACCAAAAAACACACTAACAATGATATTCATGTTATAAAGGTTGAACATGTTATAAATGAACCTTTTTTTTATTGGAAAAGACAGTACAATCACGAAAGGAGACTGTACTGCACCCAGGGAAAGATAATATACCATACGATGTTTATGAAAACTACCAAAAGTAATCAAGGAAATCATCTTGAATATTATTAAACCGGTGAAATTCCAACTCAACTGAAGCATTCTCTATCAACCCCTATCCTAAAACATGAAAAAAAACTAGAAGTACATCGTCTCATAGACCCATTGCTTTAAGATCTTGTTTTGCCAAGATTGTCGAACGATAAAATGATAAAAGAAAGTTGAAAAGCATGAATTGTTACCCAGTTTTCTAAGTGAATTTAGGAAAGGTCGAAGTGTTACAGACAATATTGTTCAATTAGAAAACGACTTTCAAAAGAGCATCAGCTGTAACGAACACACAAAATAGCAGTTTTCTTGGATGTCGAGAACCGTTCGATACTCTTTGGTTAAAAGGACTGACATTTAAATTAGCACAAAATGGAATCGAGGGCATATGTAAAGGTTTATAGAAAAAATTTTAACATCATGAACCCTTCAAGTACGAATTGGCAATACAGAATCTAGAACTTACAAAGCGCATAACGGGTTACCACAAGGGAGTGTTTTATTTTTTTAAGTCCTCTTTTATATAACATAATGATGAGTGATAAACTGTCAGACCCAGAGGTAAGAATATCTATGACTGCGCAATATGGATATCAGGCAGAAACATTGTACAGATTACTGGAAAAATACAACAATATCTGAACCTTTTAATCTGCTGGTTTGAAGAGTGGGGTTTTCGACAGGGGATTCGACTCTCAGCTGAGAAAAGAGTGCCTGTATATTTCAAGAAAAGCTGGAACGTTTTACCGCATGAAATAGAAATGACTGGAAATGTGCTAACGTACGTAAAATCTCATCGCTTTTTAGGAGTTATATTTTGATAAAAGGTTACAGGTGGAAACGGGGTAAATGCCTTTGGATATAAGAAGAAAAAAGTTTTCTAATAAATATCGAAAAAACATCAAAAGATGGGTGATTATCTGTTGTTGAAAAACATTGAACCATTTTGGCAATTAGAATTACCTGAAGGGAAAAGCATCTAAAGCAAACCTCTTGGATATAAAATCCAAAGCAAGCTGGGAAAGCGTATAAAATCGATAGGCCCCTACTAATTTACACTATGGATATTCTACCCTCCGGTAGTGTCAACGTAATGAAGTACTCGACTAAAGAAAACAGCTGATCACCATACGCAACAAATAAAAAGGGGGTTAGGAAATTATACATACAAAATGGGTGACTATATTACATAATATACACCGATGGATCAAAAGTACCTAAAAGAGGGACTTCTTCAGCTGCCTTTTACGTCCCTTACTATTTCATACAAAGCAAAAGATTGGCAAATTTTACCTCTCCGTACATGCAGGGCCGATTGGCTGCCATCATTCTTGCTCTCAGATGGGTAGAGGAAATAGATATCTTTGTGGGGGTGTTGTTATATTTAGTGATTCACTGAGTGCTCTTATTGCATTACAACAACCGAAGGACGACCTTTTATTCTGCAGATTATCACCAGACTACTAGAGGAGTTGACAATTATATGTACGTAGAGTGGATTCCGGGTCATTGTGGAATCAAATGGAAAGAGATTGCGGATTTCCACGCAAAGGTCGCATTAGAGAAGAAAACAGAAATCAATAATAATCTAACTTTGTCAGAGATGAAAGGCTTAATAATGATCAGTTACAAACTAAGAAAGGTTGGATAAAACAAAATCCCATTAGGCAACATTAATCTTAAAAAAGGATCTGATGTTAATAAGTAATATTGTTCATTAAAGATTAGGAATTTACCCTACTGGTTTTTGTAATACATGCCACAACATATAGACGGTAAAACACTTTTTTAGTATGTATTGCCCTTACTATAATATATAATAGAAAGGGCAAGTTTTTAACAGAAATAAAGGAATCTCAACCGGACAAAGTAATATTTACCAAGCCCACAAATGTTTTGCTTACATTTTGTCTAATTATATTATTGTCGAATTTGAGTTCAATATGTACCCCTTCGGAACACTTCGGTACACTAACGCCCACTATAGCATAATATGCCCGGCTGAGTTATGCCCACCGAAAAGTAGCCCGTACAGAGTGAGTCAGAAAAAATGTCCCACTTATAATCCTCATAACCAGGTCCCTCGGAGAGGACATTAAGCCGTCGGCCGTCTGGTTGCTTACTTACAAACATTTATGCTTTCTTAGCAGTCAGGTAAAAAAATAACAACCAACCACAACCAACCAACCAACCACATTGTTTCATAATTTCCCCTTTTCTAATTAAGCATTCATTGTTATCAAAATCGCTGAATGTTTAAGTGGCATTTCCCTGACAATCGTTCCCACTACCACCATCATCATCATCATCATCATCATCATTGTCATCATCTTAATCTTTATCATTATCATCCTCATCAACATGAAGTGCACATGAATCCAATGTGCTATCTCAATACGTAGGTACATTATCAATCGTTGGCTATGTCTTTTGTTGGTGTGTGTGTGTATGCGCGCGTGCGTGTGTGTGTGTGTGTGTTGTTTTTATCTGTCTGGCTGTCTTTGTTCAAAACACTATTTTATTCCTTACCCAGCAACTATTAAAAAGTGGGACATTTTTTATGACTCATTCTGTATAAGGTAATTTGCTGAGTGGTAAGGGGCATGGTGAAGCGCTATGTGAAACTGAGTGGGTAGCGTAGTCAATTTGATGAGTTGCACAAAACTGTTCCGATATTATTCTTAGATATTTGTGTTAATAAATAAATTATAAAAACAAAATCCGATATACTAACGAGAGATACATGTGACGTAAAGTATTTCGGTGACAATAGTCACAACTGACTAATCGCTATTGAACCAAAACAGAATAGGAAGGAGGATTTGTCCCTTATAGGCCCGGCACCATAGAAATGCAATGGATAGGAAGACTGAGGGTGGAATTAAATGACAAAAAGCACAAACTTGTATCCCAGTGGCGCATTTGTATCTAGGTATAGTCATTTTCTGTCTTGTTAGAATTTCATTTTCTTTTAATTGTGTTCTGATTAGCCTCAAACCCATTTGCCTAATTTTTCTCTGTTTTTATTGAAATCAAGATATTGGGTGAAAGGAGTTATTTTTAAAAGAAATGATTCCCAACTGACGTTCGGATCGTAAAGTTTGGTAATGGTGTTTGATACAAGTTTACAAAACGTAAGCATGATTAATGACAGTGTTTTTGTATTTCCAACGTGGGCTTGAATTCTAAATCTTCGGAAACCATACGAGAATCTTTTAGATTCCATCTGCAAAAGATATAGAATGACAAATTGCACAAAACGGACCGCAGAGAAGCCTATATATACACAATTTATAGACTTATAAAACCAGCAAGTGAAACGACGTTATTGTTAATTTATGTAAAATGATGATAATGATGATCCACAGCACTGGCATGGCGCCATTTATCTGTTTCAAATATTCAAAGGCGCCTGCATGCTCCTCCAATAGTCATGTTCTACACATTTGCTTGAAATGATGGGTTTTGTGGGCTGACTTAAAGCTTTCTTTAAGCGAAATCTGGTAGGAAATTAGATTATGTCAAGAATAAACATGGTGCAAAATTTGAATTTTCAGAATAGAAAGCATTAAAATGGTAATCAGTATCGTGCGTGGTGCTGAGGCATCTTAAGATAAGGCCACTCGGTCATTAGGACAGTTTCTTTTATATGCTCTTTTATTTTTTCTTCATCTGATAATACAAAGAAGAAGAAGAATCATTTAGGTATCAACTTTAGCCTGTATATAGAGCTCAACGTCATATCAGAAGTTATAACTTAAAAATAGAAGATAATACATTTTTGTCCTGCCTTTGCAAATGCTTGACACTATGTGCTTCATGAGATCTATATAATGGTATTTCAGTTTTAATGATGAGAAATACATATTTATATACTATATCCTTACAAAAAAAAAGCCGTCCTGGGAAACGATAACAACAGATCATTGAAAGCCGGATGTGTTGATCTAGATGAGCGAGATGTATTAAGTTGTCATGAGGTGTGTGGCTCCCCGTCCTCTTATTTTCTCCATGAATTGTTCCAACAACAAAAAATCCGATTACTTTTATTTCATCCTCATAAATTCCCTTAATGCGATTTCGTAACGCAGTTGAATTCAAAAAGGTAAACTCCGGTGAACCGATGACAGAAATCAGGAATATAAATATTTGATTACTGGCCTTTTGTACAGCGTATACAAAACTATTGCGACGGTGCAGATCAAATCCGCCAATATTTAATAAATGAAAGTGTAGAATTTCTGGAATTTAAATTATCTGAATTTTGATTAGAGTGATATTGCGTCATTTTGAATTGAAATTTACCGAAGTTTCTTGCAGACTGAATTATAGAGGTAATTCCTGGAAGATAAGGGTCACGTCAGGGAGGATGACCTGTGAAATCTTTACCCAATTCTTGTTAGAGAAGGGAGGAGGGTTGATGAATCGGATTTACCCTTTTACTTTTGGGTAGGAGGTGACATCAATAATTCACAAGTGAAAGGGTGCAGTCGCCCCCCGAAAAAAAAACGAAAAGTGGGGGGGGGGGGGAACGCATTTTCGCCCCCAACCCCCCCCCTCCGAAAAAATCAGCAGTAAAAATGGTTTGTATTTTTTAGCCAGGAAGAAAATGAAAAAAATAATAAAAACCTGAATTGAATCACATAGATTGATTGATTGATTGATTTTTATTCGACAAGCTTCCAACATACAACAATATACAATAATAACAGATCAAAAAAAGTCAGCTTGAACAGGATAACCCACGAAAGCTCGAGAGCTTATTTCCAGTGGGGTCCCTTACAGACATGTATAAAATTAATAAGTTAAAATAGTAATATTTACAGACAGATAAGAAAATTAAAAGAACTACTTATTAAAGATAATAATAATAACAACATTAAACTGATGATAGAAATGATATTAAGTACAAGAAGAAAAAGAAGAAGGAGAAGAAGAAAAGGAGGAGAAGGAAGAAGAGGAAAATAATGATGAATTTGTAGAATTTCTATAACGTACGAAAACATAAGTTTTTACAACATGAAAAAGTATGAACCGACAGAAGAATAAAAATTTCAATCATATAATATGTCCTTCTCTTCTCTACATACAAAATTACATTCCATTCAAAGAAAATGAGAATATACAGGAATTAAATTTCATAACATTCCGCATGCCCCTATTTTATCAATGGAGTATTTAATAATAGCGATACACGTATATCGTGGAAATATTGTGAGAGGATGTGAAAGCGTGCATGTGCGGCAGTTGCCCCCCCCCCCCAATAAAATTCCAACGCGGTTTATTTCTATTTCGATACCAGTTATTTACAAATGTTGCTGAAATGACATGATATTCCGGGATTTTTTCTCAATTTTTGTTGTAAATTATATAATTTCTCATGCGTTTGTTGGAAAATTACAAATTCCTAAATTTACAGTCAGGCCAAAAATATGCTTTTTTAGAAGCCTTAATTTCATGACCTGCAGAACGGCGGGGCTCGGGGCACAAGCCCACCCCCTCACTTTTTGAAAAAGTATGTGAAAGAGAAAAAGAAAGAAAGAGAGAAAAAAAGAATGAGTGCCTGCCAGTGTCACAAAGGGGGTATGAAAATATCGTCATCTGATCATAATTAAATACCTAAAACCCCTGAGCTTCCGCGGGCTTTGCCCCCTGGGCTCCACATAGGGCCCTGAAGGCGGGCCCCTGGATGCTCATCTGACCGTAATTTAATACCTAAAAAACCCTGAGCTTCATGGGGCTCAGCCCCCTGGTCCCCCGCCAATTAGTGACCCGCCATTGTCACAAATAAGGTATCAAAATATGCCAATCTGACCGTAATAAATACCTAAAACCCCTGAGTTTCCGCCCTGAGACGGACACCTGAATGCCAATCTGATGCCCATAATGCCCATTAAATGCCTTAAACCTCTAAAATCTTAATAATTATGCTTATCTGACCGTAATTTGATGCCTTAAACCTTGAACTTCTGGGGATCCACTCATTGACCCCAGCCGGGCCAAAGCCCCTGGACCCCACGCCAATTGCTCCACTCGCGTCGCTCGCTACGCTCTACCTGATCGTTATTGCTCCACTTTGAAAAAAATTCAGCGGGCCCTGCATGTAACATGTAAGAGTGTCGGTGATGCAGATTCTTCTTCGCCCCCACCCCCTCAAACGTGTTTGCTCATAACGCCACTGGCCCGGAACGGTGACCCCCTGGAATGTTTGACCCCCCCCCCCCCCCCATACTGCTTCTGGCGCGCCATAATTATTATATGAGATGAGGGTGACGTTCATCAATTTCTTTTAAAGGTGAGATAAGTGATATGTGAAGAAATTTTAACTATATCCTTTTAAGCAGGGAGAATGACCTAACAGTGTATCCAGAGCATCAGAGCTAAAGTTAATTCTGTAGTTCAGCAAGTAGGCCCATATATCTTTATATGGCCCTTGTTTCTCCTGAAGAAGGGCATGTGGTATCGCAAAAAAATGATTTTGAAAAGTGGTAGTTTTATAGTGACACTGGATAGGAACGGAAACAAAACGTCTTGTTGAGTGATTCCTTTTATTCATTTATGTTTGAATTTTTGTTTGGAATTTGCATTCTATTGTGCCAATCTGTATTGCACTTATGTTTAGACAGTTCAAAATCCAACATGACAAAGGAATGTAACTACCATAACACCGATAAAATATATATTAATGGGCAAAACGAATCTATTTCTGTAAACTATGGATAATAATAATTATTATTATAGGCATTTCTATAGCGCCGTCTATCTAGAAATTCTATTACCCTGGCTTTAGCCTAGCTGCCATTACAGGGCTCCAGCAAATCAAGGGATTAATTCCTGCCGGGTACCCATTTACCTCACCTAAATCCTTCCTACTGACACTCGCTGGATTTTTCCTTTAATGTTTTATGGTCCCATGGCTTGAAAATATGGTCAAATGTAATTCCATGTAAGTTTAAAGGTAGTATACACAGAAACATTCGATGTCTTCACATTTAACAACAAAATCTTCCGCTTGCAAACTTCATGTTTGTATAATTTTGATGGTGAGTAATCTGATGATCGAATTCCTTGTTCAGGTTTATTGTATACTTGTATTTCCTCTGAATATCTTTGAGAATAATATTTGTTAACATATTGCTTCACATGATGACTAATAGTTATTATTCCTTTCAAAGCCAAGAGAGAGCAAATGTGAAGTATTCCTTTGACAGTAAAAATATGTAAAAAGATAAAGCTTGCAAATTTCTCACCCTCTCTTCCGCTCATTTCAGAAAGATTTCCAACCCTTTCCTAGAAATCTCGCCCAGCCCCCCCCCCCCCCCCACAATAGAAGAATGGGTGTCATCCCCTTATAAATGCAGCCTATATTTATTCCAAATTATTACGCTTTCTACGTTGTCCCGAATTCATAGATGTAAATCCCCATCGTGCCTTTTACATACAGACCGACTAAAGAACAGATTTACTACATGGGCGACATGTATGAAAGGGAGAATGTCAAAAAGGTAAAAAGATAAAGCTTGCAAATCTCTCATCCCCCTCTTGCGCTCATTTCTGAAATATTCCTAACCCTTTCCCTCAATAGAAGAATGGGTGTCATTTCATTCCCCCTAAAGGATGCCTATATATTTTCACGCTTTCTACGCTTTGTCCTGAATTCATTGATGTAAATCCTAATCCTGCTAAAAAAAAAAAGATTTACTACATGGGCGATATGTATGAAAGGAGGAATATTAAAAAGAGCAATAGCAATAAGTCTGTGTAAAAGCTACAGACCACGGTTTTCTTCGGGCCTTTACGGTGGATGAAGGCACAAATCTAAGAATCTGCTATTACATACAACATCGTAAATTTTCCTTTGAATCAATTGTATATACATGTGCATCAATATTATATCAACGCCTTTTTTCCATATTGCCTCCTTTTGTATACAAAGAATGCAATGTAATGAACGACTAAAAGTGGAATTAAGTGATAAAAAAAACACATATTTAATATATCCCAGCGGCTCATTTGTATCACGAATCTTAATATTGCTGTTTTGATATTGCTGGAAGTAAACTTACCACACGGTGTGTCCTATTTTTATTAGAATTTACTCAGAAAAGTGCAGGGTATCATTCAGAAGACATACTTACGTGGTACACACTTTCCACATTGCAGTTCCGCCCACAGATGTTCTCTATGAATACAAAGACAACCCATGGTGACCAAGAGACAACCAATGCCAGCACGATGAAGGTTAAAGTACGAACAGCTTTCGCGCTTTCTTCAGATTGCTTGGACAACGATGAATCTTCCGTGAATCCAGCTCTCGTACCACTTTGTTCTTTCAAGCCCATTTTGTTGCGAGGATTGCCTTCTCCTGAGACAGACTTTGGCACCCCTGCCGCGGTATCGTTATCTCGACGTGCAACTTCGTTATCCTTGACTGGTTCTTTCTCATGAGTGGCATCAGAGGGTGAGAGTGATGCCCCCTGGAAAGCGGTTTCTTCATCAGATACATCCGGGTACGCTCGATATGTACTGTCCATGTTCTTAGTTGGTCCATGAGTGATGTTGCCGGTTTGAAGGGCATCGGTGAGATCTAGCTTGTAATCTGGATGGCACCCATTCTGAGAGGGATTGCTATCTTCTGTTGAACAGGCTGGGTTAGGAGTTCCTCTTTTAACGGAGTCATCAATAGCTACAGAAGACGAGATGTCAGCTGTGCTTCTTTTTGACTGAGACCGACCTGAAACCGAACGCATACGGTTGGCATTTCGACTCCAAATAATTCTGTAGATGGCAATGCAGACGGATGCTAAGATTGTGAGGGGAATTAAGAAGAGAAAAAAAGGTGTGACGAAATTGAACGGAAATTCTCCACGTTTTCCCGTGTAACAGTTTTCGTTTCGGCCTTGCTTCCGAAAAAGGACGAACCAGGTCCACATGACGATGGGAATCAAGTAGGTGGGACAAATCACCGTAATAGCACGACCAAGAGACTTTCTTCTGAGGTGCAATAGGGGATCAGCTAGAGATTTATAGCGGTCGATGGCTATGACCACCACAGATAGCACGGAAACGTGAACGAAAATGTGATCGATGATGGAGAAAATAAGACACGCCCTTGGACCAAACGGCCATCGACCACTGAAAAACTGGATGGAGTATACGGGCATGTTGATGGCGCCGACGCTGAGATCAGCAAAAGCCATGCTACAGATAAAGTAATTGAAGTAAGTGCGAAGTCGGCGAGACTTCCAAAATGCAATGAGGATAAGGCCGTTTCCAGTGACGGTTGGAATGATCAAGAACACCATTGCGACGCCGAGAATCATATTAAGTTTAGTTGGTCCCTGGTTTTCATATCTGTCATCATCAACGGGTCCGTTTGTTGAAAATGAGAGTGAATTCAAAAAGAAATCTTGGGTGAGGTACGTAAAATTCTCGACGTCATAATCGTCATGAGTAGTAGGAAATATCTCTTCGGTTGCAAAGTTAATAGTAACTTCTTCCATCTTGAGATACTGATACCGTTACAACCCGCTTTGCAGAGAGTTTAAACTGATCTTGCCGATCTTGGTAAACTTGTGACTGAGCGTCTATAGCGCAAAGCTTAAATAGCATTACTGACTGTCGTGCTGAAGGAGCAATCTCTCTCCTCTGATCATCTTTTCTATGACGTAATTATTCTTGCATCGTGAGGAAAAGTCATATGATTGGCCCGCTAGTTGCTGAAGTATTCTTTCTGCTGACTTTCTATAAGTTGAATACTAAATTGATTGTGCGTGTGTGTCTAATTGGGTTTTTACAGACGTGTATCAATCAGATATGATTACTTACGTCTGGGGACCGACCTTTAACGTCACCATCCGAATTGACGGATGGACGCGGATTATACATTGCAAATTAGTTTACAGTCAAGTTCCGAGTAGGATAGGATAATGAGATTTTCTATTTTTAAAAACAGTAACAATAAACCCCTTTATTTCAGGCGAAAATGATTTCATATTAAAAAGGCATTGTGCGTAATGCATCACAAGGAATGTTTTTGGTGCTGACTATACTCGGGTGTTGGTTGTCGACTTGCATTTTCGATATTCGGATTGATTTTGAGGGACCTTTTTTTCCCCTTTGCAGCTGTTTCCGATTCCCCCTTCATTATCTGTATGTCCTTTACAGGTTGTTATGTTGATATATATTTGTCATTAAGTATACCAATTCAACTATTAACGTGCACCTATACCTCTAGGCTCTTGTAAAAACTACCCCTAAAGGAATTACCGACCCCCGCCCCCCAAGCGGAGAGTAAAATACCCGTCCAACTACTCCATTAAACCTCATACCAAGTACTTCCAGGGTAAATTATGGAACACAGGAAGAAGTATTCTTCTAAGAGGATAAACAAAAGGTATCCATGAAGCATGTCCATGACTCCGTAAGTGATTATTTTAAAGTGCACAGAATGGGACTACTCCGATTCCATGCATGCATGTGTAAAGATCTGTAGATATTTGGGGTCATTTGTACTAAGTGCTAACTACGCACTGGTCTATTGCGGATTGACATTAAACATATAATAGAACTATACATCGAGTTCATTTACACTATCATCAATCCGCGAAACATCGCTATTGCGAACAAGGGTGCAGTTGCATCCTCCGACCGCAGTGTAAATATTAATCATGAAACAAGTTGCTATATAGCGAAGAATAATTAACTCTTTAACAAAAAAATATAAGACAAGTTCGATGTTTGAATTAAGGAGAATAGACAACATTGTTCATAATTATGAGAGAAGATTGTACTAAGGTAGTGACTTCAATGCTAAATTAAAGCTAATCTGAAAGTTTGAGTGAAAACAGACCATTATTAATAATAGAAATTGGGAAAACTGATCTGATCGATTCCTTAATTCTCCCAACTATAACAATTTAACTACATGATTTTTGGTGAATGTAAATCGTCTCAAGCAATGAATTGGCTCTATACCATTCCAGACATGTGAGTATTGAAAGATTTTCAAAAGCCTGTCTTTTTATGTCTTCTTGGAAAAACGGCTGGGAAAATTCAAAAATGGTTGGGAGAATTTACTATTAGACGGTGTTGCACAGTGACGCCTTCAAAGAAAACCATCATTATCTATGTAGTTTGAGAATTTTTTTCAGGATTTTTTTGCATGTTAGAGGGTTAGTACAGTAAAAGGAATATAATAAGTAACATTAATGTAGCAGGAGCCTTGCTGATAGTTGTCATTGGAAGATTTTCATAAGAAATTGATCTTGTGTCAGTTACAGTCCTATATATATATATATATAAAATGTAAAATGATAATACACAATATTGTGAGAAATGTTTCAACCTTTCTTAAAATTAAAAAAGAGAGGACAACAGTGGGAAATGTTGATAAAGGCACTCACCATTATTCTATCATTTTAATTTCTCACAATTTGGTATTTATTTCTAAAGAGAGTCGCCAAATCTGTTTGTATTTGTTAAGTTTTTTAATTTTTTTGGTGGAAATAATCATTCTCACTTGCAAGCTCAAACCTAGGATCTAACTGAGGCACCGCGGTTATAATGATTTTTCTAAATTCACCTGCCTCCGAAAAGGAATCAATAAAGGTTGATTTCGCTATTTAATTCAATTTATTTATGTATCTGCCGAAATAAATTGAAAACAGTAGCAGTGAATTGATCTCTGAAGGAATTACGTTTCAACTGTTTTAATCATCACATGTCTACAAACATATAGATGTATATAAGCAGAAATATAATGAAAATGTATTCATCCAAACTGATTTGATTATGACTGAAAAAGTGAATTATTTATTGAATATTACGTTTTGACGGAATGATATGAAGATGACCGGGCAGCGGTGCATAATGATTGGCACGCGGTTGTATAACCTTTCGAAAGAGCCGTAAATGTCTTCTTATCTTGAATACACAAGTATCAAAATTGTTCATGAGGATAATGACCTGAAAAAGGACAGACAAGGGTGGCTGTACTTACATGAATAATGACTGTGACATACATGTACTTTCTTGCTTAATTGCGGGGGCCTTAGACTTTTTCAAGTGCTCTTTACCGTCTATCAAACAAACAAATACAGAAACAGACAAACGTTTTAATGATCGATCAGGGATCTAATGGATCTAATTAAGGAGAATTTATACACTCTGACATGAGTTGGAAAATAATACGTAAATTTTATTTTCATTATGGAACACTAAAATGAAGGCTATAACAATATCTTTTTCACTTATTCACCACTCAGTCTTATAGTCAAGAGTTATGGCCTAGCCCATCTTTGATGTTTTTACACAACGGGTAATTATAGGCCTATACCGACTGAAACTTCAAATTGCCCTGTCTCCCACCCCTGCCCCTCCCCTGCCCCTCCCCCGCACGCCCCCCCCCCCCCGGCCCTCTGAGTCCCTCCCTTTCTCTCTCTCTCTCTCTCTCTCTCTCTCTCTCTCTCTCTCTCTCTCTCTCTTACCCTCTCTCTAACTCAAATAGCTTGACCCTGGGTCTGATAAACTTACACATGCAGTTCATGGACGATTAATTAAAAGCTTTATTTCTACTGGGTCTGAATTGAGCAGACTATTAATCACCATGCATATGGATTCACTTCCGGGTCATTCATTACATGCTCTACATTGCGTAACTTAACACCGGTGAGGCAATGGAGGAGTACGCACGTGAACCTTGGTAAAAATACACCTTTTTCATGATTCCTTTTTGTTTTGTAAGTGTACTTAATTAGATCTACAAACTTAAATAATGAAAAATGTTTTTATTTTTGTTCACGAATGCAAATCTTGACGATTAACGAAATGAGTATGACGTGACGTGAGAAACTATTGTTGGCATTGCGTGAGAAGATTTGTCCGAGTGACGAGTGTGAATAGTGAACGACAGAACGGACGACTCTGCGCCGGGCCCGGCCTACGTAGGGGCTCGTGCCCGGCCCGATACCGTCCCCTACCGGCGTCATGCCCATGACTGTTGTTAAATATGTTAGTTTGTCATGTTCAACGTACGAGTAGATCTAGATCTAGATCTATTTGATTTTAAAAAGAACAGACACAATTAAGAATTTGGTAATTCTACATGATATTCTGGCCAGATTATCATTAGAATAGTAAAAACTTCCAGAACATTCTCAATCAGACCAAAATAAAATGACTAAAAAGGATACTAAAAATGATCAAAAATACCTTCTGGATCAGTAGGGGCGCTGGTCTGAGAATGAGAATCGTTCGCATATACATTTCTTTGTAAACGCAGACAAATCACGTCCCCCTAAAAAAGGTCAAGGATCGATCGTAAGGATTTTCGCAAACTTTTTTTTCTTCGGCTCTCTGCGGGTTGGCGTTTGGGTTCCCGATCCGTTCGCTGGCAATGCGGAAATTGAGCGCTGTACAGTGAGTTTACTCTCTCTCATTGGCTGAGCCGCTCGAGCGACTTCAAATTTAAACGAGAGAGGGCCCACTTCAGCAGAGAGCGCACTGGCAATGCCAACACAAAATATTACCAAACACACGGACATGTCATGCGTTATACAGGTGGTGCACTTCACAGATAACTGATGCACACTAAACATAGGTACACACATGTACAATAGAAAAATCAGCAAACATTTCAGTACAACTCGCAAGTTTGTACCTTAAATATGACGAAAATGAGAATTTTTCAAACTTCTGAAAGATTTCAAATAACGGTAAATAACTTACTTTTCAAGGATGCTGAAAAAATCGTACAAAATAGAAGATTTAACTAGAATATCATGAGTTTGGTATCAGATTTAAACACAAAATCGCAAGCTTTCTCCTCGCACTCTTGTGTTAGGTTGAGCGAATGGCAGCCAACTATAGTCGCTCAAAAGGGCCCTGGTAGGCGCCATTCTATGAAAATGAGGCTGAGACTGGATGAACGTAATGCACATGCACTAAATGTAAACTAAAGTTCTATGTGCCCAGTTAACTGTCTACTTTTATGGGTTTTCCGTCTTCCCGATGATATTTTTGTACACGACTAACAGGGGAGTTACCCATCACTACACCACGATCCACTGACAAAATCCCCAAATTTGAGATTTGCATAGCTGTAGTCAGGACCTGTAGTGATCTCAATTTTTCAAACCATTCATAACTTTTTTATTATTGGTCCGATTCATTTCAAACTCCTGTGATTGTGTTCCTTTGATGTTTCTGTTTTCATTCAAATGAACTTATTACAAAGGTTTAAATTTGTGTAAGAAGAGTTCTTTTCATGCCAAGTTCAGATTGTACATGTTTTTGCCTTATTAACAATTTTACTCTTCCTTGACCTTGCTTTCTTTCTACCAGCCCATGGCGGATAGTAGATGACTGTGGAGGGGCCTTCTCCATGGGAGTGATTGGAGGATCTGTCGTTCATTCCATCATCGGAGCAAGGAATGCACCTGCTGTAAGTGTATCATCATTCTTTTCACTCTTTGATATGTTTCAGCATCACTTTGCTTGTGCAAAATACACAATCTTTATCTACAAGAATCGTTTGTATTAAAGGTAAAAGTGTATAGAAGGATGCAGCGAATGAAGAAGAACCTACAAATTCAAGATTACAATCTAAATTTCTCTCTCTTCCCCAACCCCCAACACACTCTCTATTTTTCTCTTTTTCTCTTTCTCCTCACATTAATACATTTGTACCTTTGTCATCAATCCTTTTAAACCTGAAGATATGTATCTATTTCACATACATGTATTTAATTTTTTTTTTTTAATGGTAGGAATTACACATCTTTGTCTTGGTCACTATATTATACCATTGCTATCTATAACACCCTGTAACTAGTTATGTTTTCTTTCACTTGTACAGGGGTACAGGCACAGACTTGTTGGTAGTTTTCTGGCTATTAAACACAAAGCACCAGTAGTTGGAGGTGAGTCAAATCTTAATACATTGATCTACCAATCTATAATGCTGTTTTACCTTGGCTTTCAGGCATTGTTTAACAATGTTTCCAGTTCTAAAAATCTGAGATGCATGGCCCTACGTGTTTTCAGTGTCTGTCATATGGTGTAATATTGAAGCCCTAAAAGAAATTCGCTTTAAAATTATCATGAAGTGCTTCAAAAAAGTAAACATCTCTGAGTGACCGGTTTTACCATACTCATTTTCCCAAATATACTGTAGTGTTATAAAAACTGTTAGGAAAACTTTTTTTGTTTTTTTAAATTTTGAATTCCAATCATAAATATTTTGATAATCAAACATGCAATTGGCTTGTAAAAGTCATGGGATTAATCTCTGACCTAAAGGTTTATACATGATTGCAGCATGCTCTAAATCCAGGATTCTGTGTAGAATCGGAGGCAATTGAAGTTACCTAATACCTTTAAACATAAACATGCCAAAAAGATCAAAGAAGTGGATCACATACTATGGTAATTCCTGTCCAATTAGATGTAAACAAGATTACCAGTTTATTGGTATCATACATTGTACCACATGATATAGTTTGCATGTTTACGACAAATGTAGTGGCTACACAATTAGAATTGTATATATAGATTGTCATATTAACTCTTTTGATGTTGTTCATGCTACTTATTTGCTCAGGTAATTTTGCTGTATGGGGTGGGTTATTTTCAACATTTGACTGTGCACTGGTCCACATAAGGAAGAAGGAAGACCCATGGAATTCAATTACCAGTGGAGCTCTGACAGGTGCTGTCTTAGCAGCAAGAAGTAAGAATTATTATACAACAAGTGTATGATGAATTTATTAGTGTATGGGCGTTCTAATTTACACAACAAAAAGTTTGATTCAGTAGAGAGGAACCTCATAAAGAACCCCCTTGGAACGGAAGCTACCTAGTTGTAACATAGTTGTAACAAACCCTCAAATGAAAAAGGATTAAAAATAACAACAAACAAACAAACAATAGACGTAAAGAAGTGGTACCAGTAAATTTTATCTGTTATAATGAGACTGTGTTTAATACACCAGTGTTCCACTGTATGATGCTACTACAGCAATTAGATTGAAAAGGTATTCAAAGGCGAATATCAAGTCTTCAATATAGTTGGAAAGGTTAAAACTAGGTTTTTGTCAAAAAGATGTTTATGTATTTTCATCTGTTTTTTAATTTTATTTTGTACACCTGTTTGTCTTTTTGTTTGATTGTGCCATTCTGATTTAGATATTTCATGTAAAATATAAGTATTTCCATATTTGGACAATAAAGCATTGATATTGATTATGCCTCTTCCTTTATTTCAGATGGTGCTGTGGCTATGGCAGGCTCTGCGATGATTGGTAAGTTTTGCAAAAGTAGAAACAAAGTATAACAAGAAGTTGATGCAATTGTCTGATCAGATTGTGCTCATTGGCATGCTTGGAAATTCATGTACTTGCATTACTAAAAAGAGCTTTGTACAAATCACTTTAGTTGTAAAGACACAATTTTTTTTTTCTTATCAGATGTATATTTGATCTTCAGCAATATGAATTAATCTAATAACATGAAGCCAAATGCAATTTTTTAAAATATCTCTGAATATATCAGATGATATGAAATGTAGGTATAAATTAGTAGGACTAGCGTGGGAAGCTGATCAATATAAAAGTACATTTAAAAGCTAACTTGGATTGATGAATTTAATTTTGTGAAATACAATATCATTTGTTTATTTTATTTTGTCAATTTGCTCTGTTATATCAGGTGGTGTTCTGCTGGCGATGATTGAAGGTGTTGGAATCCTCATGACTAGAATGTCTGCAGAGCAATTCAGACCAGGTAAATAATACTTCTTTTTTTTTTTTAGGGGGGGGGGAGGGGATAGCCGATTGTAAGTCATAGCAGTAAATGCACAAATTTGTTTTTCATAGTCTAAAGACCAGTTTATGTTTGTAGCTTCTGAAAGAAACGGGTCTGTGGAGGTTTTTTTTTTGTTTTCTCTCTTTTAGAAATATCAAACAGCCAATGTAGATCCACCAATCATGATAATTGCTATCTTTTGTCAACCTTTATTTTGTACCACCACCCCCCCCCCCTTTTTTTTTCATAATGGATTTGAATTAAACAGCTTTTAAAAATGCATTAATTATTCTAGAAATGAACAAGGTTGTCCGGTATTTTCAAGATCACAATACTTCTTGCTATTACTACAGCAGTCAGCCAAGGACTCTAATCCTATTTCTGTCTATTCTCTTTTTTTTTCTTCATCTCTAGTGAACCCACAAATGGAAGACCCATCGCAATTGGATCAAAAGGGGCCTTCGTTTGGAACTCAGTATCAATGATGATAATAAACTTAGTGCATTGTAGTAATGATATTGCCATGAACGGACTTGCTTCTCTGTGCGTACTGGGAGTGTGTGTACCTGTATTGACCATGGATCGTCCAGATTATTCAAGAGATTTTTGCTTTGAAAACACCTGGAGGAAGTGATCAACTTTGAATCAGTGAACCAATCTGCCAAACACGCCATGTGATGGAAGCTGAGGCGAGACATGGATGTGTTTTGAAAACCATGATGTTGTCATCTGAGCAATGATACGTGTTCAGCAATGTACATGGTATTCCCGGTGTCATTTGTTTAATATTGTACTAATTAACATCTAAATTATTGAATGTCTATAAATGATGATGGGTCAGAGAACAAATTGCTCTTAATTCTTTGGTTTAAGATTGATCTGAAGCGATACATGCTTCAAAGATAGATATTTGATCTTTTAATTTACTTTAATATTCCCACTTCCACCCTGTTTGCATCAAAGCACCTCTGTAAAAGAGAATTGAAAATGTATGACGGTATATGTGTACACGTGGATGAATCGGAAAGTTGGAATCATATCGATGTACTTCTCACTGACATATGATAAGAGGTAACAATGTCGCACAGTGGCATCACACTGTCTTTCCGGTGCAGACACTTCTGTGCATTTGGTATATGAGGAACTTGGTTCTGTATTAAAATGCATGGTAACTCTGATTGATTGTGGTTTATACAGTACATCAAGCTGTGATCATTTAAACTTTGGCTTTCTCTGATTTTTCACAGGGCATCTGAAAAGAAATAGAACTAAAATTTCTAGAGTTTGATACAGATGTAGTCAATATCTTGATTTGTTAGAATAAGGAACCTCCAACGAACATCATGCAATACACAAAGTCATCAGTGGCGTTATTCAGTGTATACATGATCTTATTTTAGTTGTAACATTGTAGATTATAGAATTCATGCATTTATATTTTGTTATACTCATTGGGGGTTCGGATGAAACAGAGCACTTTAATGTCATTTGTATAGCAGTCTTCGGGTGTTCCTATTCATAAAACTGAAATAGACACCTGAATACACATTAATATTGCTAATTAAATCTTTTAAGTTTCCATCCAAATACCAATCAATGAATTTTACATTTGCTCCATCACTAGAGTCACATGAGAAAAATTACATGCAATAGTAGAGGTGTCTTGGTCGAGTGGATATGTCACTGGACCAGGGATCGTATGGTTTGCGGTTGGAGTCGCTTCGCTGCAAGACATTAATCTACATTTGCCACCCTCCACCGCGGTATTAATTGGGTGCCCGGTAGGATGCAAATGTTAATGTGGTTGGATTGGCACGTGTGCGCTGGTAAAATAGTGCCTGGCTAGAATACTCCCCAGGGAGCAGAAAGTGTGCACTATCATGATTATCGATGACCGGGGTAATAATAATAAGAAACGTAGTAGTATCAAAGAGCTATACAAATGTGAATATTATTATTAGTATTATGATTATTGTTTGAGTTCTCTGCAGTAATTAATCTGCAAAGTTCTTTGTGCATTCAAGGTTGTGATGGCCTGTCTGTGTGGGGTCCTTTATCATAAGTACTTTGTTCGTAAGAATCCCATGATCAAACGCATGTGTACACACATGTAATTTAAATGAAACGAAGGAAAAGCAGATTGAGACGTTAAGTGTAACATTTTTACTGCTTAAACTATGACCTCATAGATTTGACCTATGGTAGTCCCTTGAAAATGAGTATAGAAAGGGATCGTAACTTCAGTCCAATGTCACATTTACTCTCTTGTAAAGTAGTTTCATAGTTTATTTCAAAATAAGAATATATTACATGTGCTCTCTGAACCCTCAAATACACATTCTAATGGCCATAAATCATGGTTTAGAGAATATGATATATAGGATATTAATAGAAGTAATGCATAAGTGTAATGACCTGTGTATTCATGATGACCTTTATTGATGTGAAAGCTTACTACCAATTGAGGAAATGTGATTGTGTAAGTTCAATAACAAGCTTATTCTCCACCTTGATGTACGGGGTATGACCGGTCTATGGTTGATAATACTGATGGTATAGGTTAAAAAGAAAGAGAGGTTGTTATATGTTCTGAAGTCCAACCTTCAGTCTGTAGACATATGACTTGTTCATCAACTGATTTGTAGGAATTACAGCAACGGCTTTTGTTACCCAAGTCTTTGTCACCCACCCCTACATATAGCTAAGAGCCGGGAGAAGCCTTGTCAAGTTCTCATGATTCATTCTCTCGCTCTGACTACAACACTGTGAGAAGTACGAGTATCAGTAAAGGTACTTTGAACTCGCCTTGGTATAAAGAACCTATTTATGATATAATCCATTACTGTTTTATATATCGCTACATCAAGTTAATGAAGATATCCTGTGGCCTGACACTGTGGGTGTCTTTTCATTTGGGGTAGCCAGGGCACCTAAAATTGTAAGAGTTTGACATAATTTGACAGTATATAAAGTAATAAGGGCTGAAAACACTGGATGTGTTGTGTATGAGTCAGTGTAAACTTTAAACTGTGAAGAGTACTTCTTTGTTTAAAAGAGCTCTCTATAGGTGGGCTATAGCTAGTCAAATCAAATTCTCACAGTGATATTTAAATTTTCTCCTTTAATGGGATCTCTTATGGGCATTCTTGACTCTACTTGAGGGTTCAGTGACACAAAGACATAACTCCATATTTTGCCAAAATGAGTATTTGATATCAAAATGTTCAGAAAAATGTGGGCTTTCCACCGAACACGCCATTGAAGTCAATGGCTAATGAAACATAGACTTAAGGCCCAAGTGCTCAGTGACACATAAACCACTTTTTCTCAAAATGGCCAAAATGGAGTTGCGTCTTTGTGTCACTGACCCCTCGTACAGGAGCTTTTTAAGCTACCTTCTCACCACTTGGTATGAGGTGTCTTTTAAAATTGGGCTCACCCTGATTGTATTCGTGAAGACAACACCACACATCAAATGCAGATTTTATTAATCCAGTGTGTCCAGCCCTGAATACACGAATGTTGGTGGAGAAATGTGAGTGGCAGAGATGTACATTTGTGCACATTACAATGACGTGCATGTATATTTAAATGTCTATTAAAAAAAAAAAGATTTTTAAACATAACTTGCATCAAATCAATGGCATTTCTGTATGTTGTCTGTGCTGATTGTATTTCATAACGATTGATTACTGATTTTCTAATGGGCACCCCTACAAGTCTCAAGTGCATGTTTGAGATGTTTTAATCTTTGGTTTGCCCCCCTGAGAATACACCTGTGCACACATGAATAATGATTACCGGGTACATACTTTTCACGAGCATGTATCCACTACGGTATTCGTCTCGATGGGATTTACAATTTTGAACGAAAACGGATTACATGACGGAAATCTATTATTTTTCTTCTTTCAATTGATGCATGACTTGTTATTCATAAATTAGGCATGATTGAATTAAAACAATGGAAAATGATGCTACCAAAAGTTCATTTCCTCGCACAGATTGCAACCTTGAGTGAGTTATGAGGGTAATAAACGTAATTATTTTATATAAAAAAAATGAATGATGTATGCCAGAGAAGAGTTTAATGAAAAAACATGCTTGATTTCTGCCCAAATGAGTGGATAGTTGAGTAAGAAGCAAATCAGCTTTCCTGACCTAGCAGCTGACAATGGACTACCAGTATTGCTTAAGTGAATTTGTACAAACATGGGGAATAAAAAGGAGCTGGTTGGGGTACAAAAAGGCTGGAAATCAAGCAAACCATCAGTGACTTGCCTGACCATTCTGTTAAAATCTCATTTCTGGCATAAGTAACGTACTACAAAACAATCAAGTCTATTATATCACGACACATTACAACACAATTGTTAATTCTTATCAATATTTATTAATCAGACTAAACAAAATCAATACAATTCTCTATACCAAATTTTATACATACAATTTCTGAAAATAGATCTCAAATTACAACAAAAAAAGTTGTATATCTCAAACAAAAAGTATACTATAAAACAATTTACTAGAGTTGTAATCTAAAGACATTTTCCAAGGGTTAAATGATATTAAGTGCAAACCGATGAGATCAAAGGTCACTTAAATCTACACACTTGTATCTTATGCAAGCATAATAGTTATTAATCAAAAGCAGAAGAAAGAAATTATCCACATCAAAAAATATCCTTTAAATCTATTCTATTCCATTACAGTTATCTTAACCTGGTGGGTATTCTTTTCGTGCAATTCACTCATTGATTTAGCAACACACAAAAATATTTCCAGCAAGTAATGTTGCATGCCTTAATCACTACAGTAAGCCCTATCACATGTTGTGCACTATAGCACGAGCCGTCATCGGGTCATGCAGCTTATTTTGAGACCACACTGATTGTAATGGGAAACTTCAATAGATTATTTTCATCTACTTCTCCCCAATACAGTTCTTTCATCATGATGATTGTGATACAAGTTCATGATCAATGGAAATAGATTGATCATTATTGAAAAGTAAATAATTGGTAGTGGTTGTGGGTTTACACGAATAACAACTCACAAATTCGTCCTTGAACCCTTGATCAGAGAAAATATCTTAACGCGAAAATAAGGACTTATACAATAAATTGTACAATACTCAAATTAGCATGAATGAGTTCAAAATGACCGAGTACACCTGTACATACATTGTACGTGTGGCAGTAAACAAAATCAGAATATCCTACATAAATGTTGTATATTTATCACAATAAAGTTGTGATGTCGTTTTCTGCAGCATCTCAACCGTACAAATACCATGTTCATGTACAGCAATGCATGTAGTTCACAATGGACATTCCTCAATGCCTCTATATCTGTAGCTCCTTGTGACAAACAAATCATTTATTCAACCTTGGGGGGAAATGTTGATAAAGCATATATTACATGACATGTGCTATACACATATTACACAAAATAACTACAAAATCATATACCCAGAATTATAGATTGCTTATCTACCTATTATACTTAGTAAATTCATTTGAAATTTTGTAATAAAATGTGAAATATGATTGTATGTTCACGTTTCTATTAAAGATTATCATGACGAGATGTTATTATTAGTTCTAGAAATGTATTCTTCTTGCTTTAAAAATAGTTGAATACTGGTGCATCAAATCTTTTTTTTTCTCAAAGAAATACAAAATAAAAATAAAAATTTTATTTGTTAGTATAAAAAAACAGGAGTTTGTATAGATATATATATATATATATATATATATATATAAAACTAAATCACACTGAGTACCTATCACACAGCAAATTATATGCATGTCTCAATTTGTATGCAAAAATACAGTTTGTGACCTTTATTAGGAAATTAAGAATATTCACTGAAAGTTGCAAGGTCAATATACTAAAATATCAAATATATAAAAATCACATACAATTATAAAATATGGATCAAGATTGCTAAAAAGTACAAAAATGAATAATGAATTTCAGAAGTAGTGCATATAAGATTACTACACACAATCCATTAAAACCTAATATTTTAATAAAAGACCCAAATTAGATATTTATCTCAAAACCGGTAGTCTAAACAAATTGTATCAGTGCACAACACACTGAAAACTATTACATGATTGTCATAGCTGATGAACATATACATATATATTTATTAAATTAAATAAATATTATTTGTAGACTGTGACTCATTTAAGAGGAGAGGTGTCGTAGGTGTTGAAATGCAAAGGTCATAGGTTAGATCGAAGACATGGCACTAATATCCTTCGTCAAGGTATTAATCTATATTTGCGACTCCATACCCAGGAGTGAAGCCTTTATGTTAGTAATTGCCATGATGCCCTCAGAGTGACAATATAGTAGGAATACTCCCAAGGGAATGGAGAGGGTGCACATTGTGCATGAATGATGACCGGTGTAATAATATTTAAGTATACTGGCTGTGTGTTAATGAATACAAATAGAGAATGTGACACTTTAACTTCATGACATGGAACAAAAGTGTATATAAGTAGATGTAATATGTGTGCTGTTGACATGAATGCATGAACATGCACACTCCATGTGTTTTCTTTTCTGCTTGTGAATGACATTTTTGATCTAATTACAAATGATGGCAGTTCAACAATAAAGACACTAATTTGACCAGGATCAAGCAAATCACCGACTACCCTTGACCAAGAAATTATGAGAAGAATCGTAGTCGATGATCTTGAGCTCTGGGAGTACCAAGATGGAGTCCGATTTCAAGATGGTGGATCATTATTGACTTCCTTTGACAAGGGAAGCAAAGACACTGTCTTCACGGGCTAGGAGATTATCAGGAGAATCGTACTCGATGACCTTGCCATCTGAGAGCACCAAGATGGAGTCCGAGCTCAAGATGGTAGCGATCCGATGCTGGAGGAAACAAAAGAATAGATTAAGATTAATCAAGAATCATTCCATGAGTTTAATATCAGTTAGGATTAAATCATGCCTTTTCTTTCACAGAAGTACATGAACCACAATCAATGCAGCAGCCAAAATTCTTGCAAAATGGACTTTCATGTGTAATGTTAAAAGATTCCTTTTCCCCTTTAGACTTTAATTAGTTTTTAATTTAACACATATATCAAACATTTGATAACTCCCAGTCGTAGATGATTGAAAGGACATTCCATTCAATTTTGGGTTTTATTATTGGGTCTCTTGCAAGAAGCACTTCATGGGAGAATACGTGTCGTAGGATGTTTAGTGTAAACAACCTAGATAAGAGTTTTAGCACTCTAATATTTGAGTCAATATACAATTTTCAGTCAATACGGAACAAATATATCTTATGAGACAATTGTACAGCTAGAAAGGAGATTATAGATTTGCTCTGATTTGATTTCGTCACTTATCACCAAAACTCATGTCACATTGAAAACATATAAATAAACACTGTATAATGTAGACATATTGCTTTTTTTCTTCTTTTTTCTTCTTCTTTTTTTATAAAGCTTATCTGCACTAGTTTGGTCAGACCTCCCTGCATGGTCACTGACAGGTGGTTATCTCATCAAATCAGCTCTCAATTAACATAAGAAAAATGGGAACATGGGGGACCAATGGTCACCGATCCGGTTAGGCATTGTTTGCGATATATAGAGGGTGCAAGTAGCTAGAAGTAATGCAGCCCAATGGGACTTTAAATATTCAAAGATATTTAATCTTGATCACAAAATATTGTAATCAATTAGAAATTATGAGCAAATGGGGAATCCATCCAAAGCTAAATAAATTGGACTTACTGCAATAGTCAGCACAGTCTTGTCTGCAAAAGCTGACGCCACAACTTCCTGTAAGATTTGATCCTGGAAAAATTGAAGAAGAAAACAATATGAAATGAAATTATGTAAATCAATTTCGCTATGTTTGTAAGCATCTATTGATAACAATGGCTAACATTCAAAACTGGACATAAGATGCTCATTCTAGAGGCATTTTGGCATAATCAAAACATAACAAGACAACTCATGGCATAATCTAATACCGGTACTTGGGTACACTGAAAAGAATTAAGGATTAAGTTATACCTTTACTCAATTAATGACTTGTTATAGCTATCTTTCATTATCATTAGGGGAAATTCAAAGGACTGTTTACTTATGCCACAGTAAACCGCGGCCCTTCTGCATGGGCTTTTTTTTTTCTAAACCATACTTTTAAGCAGTATGTGAAAGAACATTGTTGCACACAGCTACTTTTTGTTATCCCAACTTGCCATTCATTTTATTATTCACTCTACAAATTACCATAGCATATGTGAAAGAGCTTTAAAAGAAAAAAAAAAGGGGGGGGGGTGAATTTGTATGCTTGATAGAGTAATGATGTTCAAGCTACTTCCACCATGACATCACATGAATCAGTTTATAAAAAAAAAGAATGAATCCAGAAATGCCAGATGGCATCGTGTCACTCACCGTCTGCATATCAATGGATGCTGTAGCCTCATCCATGATCAGGACCTGAGAATTACGCAAGAAAGCTCGGGCAAGACAGAACAGCTGACGCTGACCGACGCTGTAGTTCTCTCCTCCTTCTGTCACCTTGGATTCTGTATATCAAAGGTAACCATGGAAACATATATCAAGTTTATATCTTCCATGGAATATGACGATGTTGCGACTCTTAGATGTCAATATGCAAGTGTCTGTAAATCGAGCAGGATACTACATACATATTTCTCAATTGCAAAATTCCATAGAAGCCAAAGGGTATCCATGAAACAACTATGTCTGATCTGTACTTGAAAGCGATTCATTTTTTTGTTCAGTACAACCTAACAGCATTTGGCAGGACCTCCTAACATATTATGCTCTGTAATTCTAAGAAACTGCGGCCCGTTTCATAAAACTTTATATCTATAACAAATGCAAAAATTTTATTACAAATTTGCTCTCAGCCAATCAGATGCCTTGATTTCAATAGCTTATAACAGTAGTTTGTAACTTGTTATTGATATCAAGTTTTATGAAACAGGATCCTGGTGTACATTTTGAATCAATGATTATCTTCTTACCAAGGCCTTGCTCCAGGTTTCCGACGACATCTTTGAGCTGAGCGATCTCCAGAGCCTCCCACAGCTCCTGATCTGTACGCTTCTCCTCCGGATCCAAGTTACGTCTGTCATAGATAGAAATTTGACAGACAATTCCAGCATCAGTATTTGTATTAAAGACGGGACGAGAAGAAAACTTCTTCCTTATATGGTTTTTGCCCACGTAACACTTGACTCTGTTTCACAAGAACATTTATGAATTCATAAACAGTTCACATTTTCTTAGCTGTATTAAAGTTTGCTGTATGATTTAAATCAAAGCTGATTGTCTATCTTGGAATGGTCATGCAAAAATAATCATATCTTTGAAAAGGAAACCCATACTTTCATATCCAAAACATGTTGACGTGGATCGATGTAAGTATACCATAATGTCATGCACTATAGAGACACAAATAAATTTTTAAAAAGCATAACATGTAGAACATAATACTTCCATTCATTTTTTAAAATTTTATAAGCAAAAAGTTCTGCTTTGCATTTGAGTTTTCATAAATTCTAGTAGCAAATTAAAATATTCAGATGTTTACAAAAAAAATGTGAATTGCAAGAGTCTATGAAAAGTTGTGACTTACCGAATGGTTCCTGTGAAGAGTACTGGGTCCTGTGGGATAATAGCAAGCCTCTGACGAAGGGTGGTCAAAGGAATGGTGGCGATGTCTATCCCATCAATCAAAATACGACCTGTAACGAACAAAAATAAACCAGATTCAGTGCTTAGTTCATATTAAAACATGCAGTAATCCAAAAGGAATGGGGGCGATATCTATCCCATCAATCAAAATACGACCTGTAAAGAACAAACATAAACCAGATTTAGTGCTTAGTTTATAAACATGCAGTACTACACATCAGTTGTACGTGGTAAAGCACCTGAAAAAACAAAATGGAATAAGTAATGATAATAATTAATAATTATAGGCATTTCTATAGCACCGTCTATCTAGAAATTCTATTCCGAGGCGCATTAATTATTACCCCAGCTTTAGCCTAGCTGCCATTACATCACTCTAGCATTTCAAGGAATCAATTCCTGCCAGGTACTCATTTACCTCACCTAGTTCGAGTGTGGCAATTGAAGATTAATGCCTTGCCAAAGGACATTTATAGTGCGGTATCGAGGATTGAACCAAGACCTTTAAATTGCAAGACAAGTGCTTAAACCACTCGACCACGACACTTTTAAGTGACAACCAACCTTTTATTATTTTCCTGTCAAGTTCCACAAGGCAAATGCAATGTAGTACTCAAATATTAATAGAATAACGTACTGTGATCACATGGGTGTCAATTAAAGGTCTCTAAAATTATATATAAATAGGCCTCTACATAGTAAGTTACTGCGTGTACCTGCATCATACCTAAACACGTCATTACACACAGATGCTTTCAGAGTTTCTGCATAAATAACCATAGAAGCTAGTCTGTATGTTCATACTTCCTGAATTGTACATAAAAGGAAAAGCGGGAGGTGTCCGTACCTCTAAAGATATCAATGATCCTGAAGAGAGCCAGAGTGAGAGATGATTTCCCACTTCCAGTACGACCACATATGCCAACCTGAAAGGGCAAGAACATGACATAATTACTCCACGCATCATACAAATACAAACAAAATATAATTCAATCCCCTATAAAGTATAAAGATATAATTCAGAACAATAAAAACAAAAAATATTCAAACTTTCTAGATTCTTGTATTTAGTAAAAAGATACATTTGTTAGGAATTTTGCTGACTTTGTTTTATCTGTTGATGTACTTTTTACAAATATATTATACTTTTTTTTAATCCATCTTAAAACAAAAATCCAAGTAGGTCTCATGCCTCTCCTAACACTTGTCTTGTATCATAATAACTATTTGGCGATGACAGCTTTTCTTTAAGAATCCTCTTATAAATCGGTTGATTGTAAATTGCAATTAATTTTTAACATCATTTAAACTTTGAACGCATATTTCCCATCATCATTTCAAAATTTGATACCACGGTATTAATTCTCTAAACATGAACTTACCTTTTCTCCGGCCCTGACGTTGACCGAGACCTCCTGTAAGACTGGGTCTAGATCTGCTGCGTATCTCACACTCACATTGTCGATTGAGATCTGACCTCTCTGGGGCCAATTCAGGGGTGGCTCCAAACCTAGGAGTGTGAATAAATAATGTGCATATATTTCTTATTCTGGCTGAAAAGTGAATGGTTCAAGGAATTTTAAGATGGAACCAAACATTAAACAGCAAAATGGTTTCATTTGGAATTGAATTTCTCTTTTAATTCCTCTTAATGGGCGTAGCAGGAATTTGCATGGTGACAATTTCAAAACTTGTAAAAAAAAGGGCCAAAATGTTGTGACATTTATGATTGAAAATTTTCCAAAAGTATGGTAGCAAAATATTCATTATTAGCAAAATTGCAGTCAGTTTTCTTTTCGAATTTCAATTTTGCAACTGGCAGTGTTTTATTCACCCATTTTTTGCGTACAAAATGAGGGCTTCAATTTTTCACTCATAGAGAGAAAACCACAGCGTCTTTTGATCTGAAATTTTGAGCATACTTTCATAAACCTATCTTGCTACTACAGATTAAATTTTAAAATAATTTTTTTGAGGGCTTACAAATTCCCCATACCGGGTTTACATTCATTGTAAAATTGTTCTTGTATATTATAATCTTGATTGAACCCACATTCTTTCCCGAAAATCTACTGCTCATACATGTACATGTACCTTGATTAATGCCTTCCTGTCTCCCTTTAACATTATTCACTAAACATGATTTAAAAAAATAAACAATCTAGTCAAATTAAATGAAATACGTACATTATTTTTTGTTTTCTATGCTAAAGTCTTCTTGAAGTATTCCTGATTCATTCATTTTACATGAGCCCCATCCCTTGCCACCCCCCCCCCCAAAAAAAAAAAGAAAAAAAAAACCCACTAAATTATGTTCCTGAATGAATTGAAACTGCATTTTACATCAGCATCATTCCTGAGTACCTCCAATAGATAGACAGGCACAGGGGCAGATAAAAAGTAAAAGAGAGAGGACAAGATTACACAATGACAAATATATCAATAAAGACAATGACTGGAGAAAAAATAAGTGATAGAGAGCATGGCTTTTGAGAAGCATACAGAGAGACAGCCGGTCATACTGTACAAGTTAGAGGGTTACAAAAACAGAGAAGGATTGAGGGGTGTTAACATACCCTCATATTGTTCCCTTTTGAGAGAGCTGTAGTACTTGACACGTTCTACAGCATTCATCTGCATCTCCGTATCTGCTGCACTACGTACCACCCAGTTTAGATACCCAGACACCTTTGGTATCCAAGGAGAAGAATAACATAGAGAAGTTTAAAATATCCAGACACCTTTGGTATTCAAGGAGAGGATCACATAGAAAAGTTTATAATTTAGTACACAAACACCATTACATTACTAATATTTTTTGTTAAAGTCTCTTTCCTTTCTTCTGACTATCGATCAGTTATTACAAGGCAAATATGTTGTTTTTAGTTGATATATAACTCAATGATTACCATTATCACAATAGCATAGGTGCTACAAACATATATATATTCTAGTTCCACTTACCAGCTACTATTTTATATTTCATTTTAACCATATCTTTTAATTTCAATACTGTTTGGCATGTCCGTATTACATATTCTTGTGAATATGACAGGGGCCTACAATTTATCAGTGTTAGTAAATCAATCAATCATCAATTAATCAATCAATCAAGCTATCTATCAATCAACTAAGATTTAAAGTATGACACTTTTATCACATGTATTCACTGTTTATCAATAGAATTACTGAATTGCATGAAATCATATTTGTTATCATCCATTCTCACAAAAATAAAGTACAAAGTCAGCAATTACAAATAACTGTCCTACATGCAACATCTCATTATTCATTCGTTGTGACACTTTATGACACAGATAGTTTGCTTCTACGTACCTGAAGTGCATAACTGATGGCCAAGCCGACCTCACTGGCAGCAACACTTCCCTTCACTGCGCTGATGGTTGTTGTTAATCCTGCTAGCAGAACCACAAGAGCACCGATGAAGTCCTGCCAGGGCACCAAATTCGCAGATTCATCATTAATATTCATCTTGAAATCATATTGATATTCTTTAAAAAGTGACTGATTTTTTTTCTATCTTTTATTCATTTTTATTTGTTTTATCTAAACAGGGTATACCTCCCTCAGTATTAAAATTGTACTGTGGTCAATTGATGTATCATAAATGTTGATGCTGTAAAAGAGACCTTTATGAAGAAAAAAAGATCAAAGAGCAAATTTCAATCGCTCAACTGGCTATACTATAGCAGGATTTGAAGAACTTTGTTAACAGACATGCATGCAAAAAACTAGAAATTAACATGCTATCTTGAGCAAGTTGTGTGCAATTTATTGAACATAGTTCTTCCCAACACCCTCTTTATAAGCTTAATTTTAACAGAGAAATTATTTTAAAGTTCTTACCAGCCTTGCTGCTAACCATCTGTTGGAAGTCTGTAGGTACAGATAAGCTGTGTTGTTGACGTTTATGCGCTCCATTATTGTGCGATAGAACGTCTTCTGCGAACTGTATAAGGTAAAATGGAAGCATTTATTCTCACCAGGGTTCAGTTTCATCAGGTATGTTTTCATCATGCTATCCCATTATATCATACATATATATGCATTTAAAAATTGAATTATTACATTATGTTCTTGAAACATGCAGAAGATCTTAAAGAAAATTGAATTGACTTACTTGTATGCTCTGATGGTCGCTAGTCCACCAAGTGTCTCAGAGAAATAGGCAAACACTGGTGATTTTGATACACTGTCCAGACGTTGAAGTTCCCTGTTATAAAAAGTATATAGTTATATAGCGATAATGATATTTCTTCATTTCTATAAATTTTGTATATACCGTTAGTACAGTGCCATCTTTTGGTGACTTTATTGTATTACATTTGATGTAAGATGCAATACATTACACATATGCAGAATGAATCCATTTTCTGTCTCATAAATGCAAAATTAAATGCAAAATTGCTATTTCCCCATAGAACTGGGTATTTCTTGCTGTAACATGGAACCACATCTTTTCATACATGTACAAGTTCATTTTCTATAAATCATAATTGGTATCAAGAATGTCAAAGTAAAGGAGAATCATAATTAGTTTATGCCCATTCAAGGAGGCCATGCTGATTCAGTAATGTCTTTGGAAAACATTGTTCCCTGAAGAGTCAAGTGCTGAATATCAAGGCATTCTTGGTATTAAAATGCAAGGGTCAAAATGACAGATTTAACCATGTAATATAATGCAGATCCTTGGCACTTGATAAAACGGCTTAAAATTTACCCAAAATTGTATATTGTCCATAAAAATCTTTTGAAGAAATGCAGTAGACATTATCATTTCAGGTTTCATGCATAGATTTTAAATAAAGGTGACTTGACCGAAAGGACGAGTAGGTGTTTCTTACCTAGAAGTGGTGATGAAGAACCTTTGAAGAAAGTAGTACGCTACGGCGACGGGAAATACCACTGCTAAGAAGATTGGTGTCACTATAGCATTGACTACGATGGCTGACAAGCAGTTCATCATACTACCGAGCAGGCCGTTCAAAGTGTTGATCAGTTTCTGTAAGTATAATAATGCAATCAAATACATTTAGTTTGATAATGATATCTGCCATCTGGAATGTTAAAGGGGAAGTTCACCCTGATATTTAATAACAGGAAAAACAGAGCAGTGAAAGTTTGAGCAACATCCTATAAACTAGATGGAATTTGACTGCACGCAGTCGAAAATGATGCCTCCGTCATAGAGCAATTTTACAAACCAAAACAGAACACATTTTTCGAATTCAAGTTCAATTGTAATCCATTAACAGGTTCTCATAATATCGTGATTACAAGCAATTTCTCATATACATATATGACCCTTTGATCTTTGACCTCATGACCCTAAAATCTACTCAGTTCATTGGTTCTGCAAGATGTCCTGAGTTAAATAGTAATCCATCTGTCAGTTCTAATGAGAATGTGTTCACAAGCTATTTCTGCATACATAATGAGCCCATGACCTTATGAACCAAGAATCTACTCAGTTTATTGGCTCTGCAAGTAACATACATGACCTAATTTTGGCAGGAATCCATCAATCGGTTCTTAAGAACACGATCACGAGCTGTTTTTGCATACATAATGTGCGTTGTGGCCTTTTACCTTTGACCTCGTGACCCCAAAATCTAATCAGTACATCTGCTCTGCAAGTAACATACATGACCTAAGTTTAGCAGCAATCGATCAATCGGTTCTTGAGATAACGCAATCACGAGCTGTTTTTGCATACATAATGTGCGCTGTGGCCTTTGACCTTTGACCTCGTGACCCCAAAATCTAATCACTTCATCGGTTCTGCAAGTAACATACATGACCTAAGTTTGACAGCAATCCATCACTCGGTTCTTGAGATAACGCGATCACGAGCTGTTTTTGCATACATAATGAGCCCTGTGACCTTTGACCTTTAACCTCATGACCCCAAAATCTAATCAGTTCTTTGACTCTGCAAGATACATACATGACCAAAGTTTGGCAGGAATCCATCAATCGGTTCTTCAGATAACGCGATCACGAGAACGGGACGTACGTTCGTACGTACAGACGGACGGACGGACGGACAACCCGAAAACATAATGCCTCCGGCTACTTCGTAACGGAGGCATAAAAATAAGAAAGTTATGCATGTTTGAAGTTGTATTCAATCAAACGCAAATTGGCAAAGCTGTGACACATCTTGCGAGGTCCTCTTCCATTCGCTATGTACAGAAAATTTAATATATTGCAATTTTCTTATTTGCTGACAAATGATTATAATTCACACATGTGTTGTGCAAAAATATATATGCTGTGATTTCATCTTTGAGTATGTATGATAAAATATTCTTTTTTAGAGAAAAGACAATTTTTTGTTGGTTTAATTACAGAGTAAATGGGAGAGGACCTCACAAGATACACCACAGAGTTGCCAATTTGTGCTTTATTGATTTAATTTCACAAATCCATTAGTTCCTTATTTCTTTCTTTTTTTAATAAGATTTTGTGAAAAATGACCAGATTATTTCCCAAGCGAAAATGAAAGATTCTTTGAATAAAAACAGTAACAGTAAATCACACATACATGTCACATGTTAAAGCACTTATAAACATAGTATTAGCTGCTATGCGAGTATGACTTGTTATTAAGAAGTCTCTAACCGAAGTGTTGGCTCAGTCGGTAGAGCGTCCGCCTCACAACCAGGAGGCCGTGAGTTCAAACCCCGGCCGCATCATACCAAAAGACGTTAAAAGATGGGAGTTGCTGCTACCTTGTTTGGCGTTCAACAATAAGAAATAGAGCAACGTCGATCTGGCGATGCACAGTGGCTGCCGGGCTCACGATCAATTGGGCACAAAGAATTTCCATTTTCGGTTCAACTTAATAAACATTTGGAGTGGAGTTTAACATATTATTTTTATTATTATTATAAGCATCCTTTGTAAACAGGTTTAATGTAGTCGTTACGCACCATGTCAACGATCTGAGTATCATTGGAGAAGCGGTTGATGATACGTCCGATTGGTGTGGTGTCAAAGAATCTGTAAAGAGATCATTGGAAATATCATACTTGTACTTGGCACTTTATCGCTAACCCTAACCCCTATCCTAACAACTCATGCTCCAGCAACAATTCCTCACGATAAATATCTTACACTAAATTAATTTTGAACTTCAACCATGGAGCAAACACCACACTTAACCCTAACCCCAAGCCTAACCCTAAACCTAGGTTTAAAAAACTTTAATTGGCACACTAACCCTGTATCTTTATCTTTGACGAAATAAAGCCTGGAGCAAATGTCTGGTCATCGCATAATCATATCACATGATCACAAGACTAGATTTACATACTTCTTCCAATTTCTTAAATAAGGACAAGTACAGTAATTCACAATAATTAAAGCATAATGCATTCAGCAGAGGAAATTACTTGTCTGTAAGTCTGGAAGCCTGGTAATTGTATTCTAGATTATAGCTAAAGATGCATTTTAGCATTGATATTGCTGTGTGGAACAAAGATGCTATTTCAGCAATCTTATAAAGAACTTTCACTTTAGGACATGCATTAAGCAACAAAAAAAAAAAAAACAATCATAATTATGGTTTAAGTTTAAACCCTATCAACAGGGAAGGCATGCATATTATTATCCCGACATCAGTCCTCACCATCACGAAAGCTAATTAAAGGGATTGTTTAACAATGTTAAATCTGAGATGCATGGCATTACGTGTTATCAGTGTCTATGACATGGTGTAATATTGAAGCCCTAAAAAATTGTGCTTCAAAATTGTGCTTCAAAAGTGCCTCCAAAAAAATCTTTGAGCGACCGGTTTACCATAGTCATACTCTTTTCCCCAATAGACTGTAGTGTTATGAAAACCGTTTGGCAAACGCAAAATTTGGTTTCGATTTCCAATCATAAATATCTTAATAATAAGACAGGCAATCGACTTGTAAAAGTTCCTGACTGACCTAAAGGTTTATAATTATCATTGCAGCATGAGCTAAATCCAGAATTTTGTTTCAGGATCTGAGACAAAGTTACCGGATCCCTTTAAGTCATCCCTTACCTCATGGGTACCCTAATGATGGTGTGTAGCATAGCCAGATGTAGACTCCTAGCAGCTATGAGGGATGAGAACACCAGGAGAGCAGAGGCTATCAGCTGAGCAGCTATGGTCCCAAAGGAGAGCCCTGCATAACCACCTATCCAGTATGTAATATCCTCATCACCGGTAGCCTGGATTGAGAAGAGAGCAAAGTGAAGCCATTAACTACTGAATTCCTATATTCCCCAAGGGTTAATACAGGAACAGTCCCTAGGATAGGACGTTAAATAGAGGTCCTGTGTAGAGGAGAGTCACCACCTAGTGTTGGGGGATACCCTGGGGTATTGGTCCACCTGCACATCCCAATCAGTTACATCAAGAGGAGAGACATGAGGGTTACAGTGGTTACGTTATAGACAGGTGGTTACTAAGGCAGGTTTGAATGTACATGTTTGAATATTGGCAATGCATTGATGAGTAACCCTTAGTGGTTGAGAAAATAAAAATCTTTAAATGCACTGGGCATGAATGTCAAACCTTTTGATATAGGTTATATTTACCTTCCACATGCATTTCTGATTAATGGAACCTGAAAATGAGTGTGCTCAGTCAGTCCTCTACAGGTTAAACAAAACTTGAGCCATCTTCTATCCTCTACGAAGAGAGGCCAAGTTATCCTGTTCAATGTGATTAGTGGTGATCTTGTATTTCTATGCTACCATACTCACATTTGGTGCCAAGTTGGCATTGGCGTTGGACCAATTGGAGAGCCAGAAGTTGGTTCCGATTCGGATGCCCGACTGACTCAAGATAAAGAATGTGACTATGAAGGCGACGGGGAAGGTGATGGCTCTGAGGTAGTACATGTAGACCCTGTAGGACACAGAGCCTCTCTCCATCTCTTCCTTCTCGATCAGCTTACCCTCTTCACTACCTACAAGTTCAAGGATGATGAAATGGATACAGATAGATCTTCAATATTGACTAGAATTTACAAAGGAGACTTTAATATCTTGCATCTTCCACTTTCAAGACTGACTCTATCATTATTGAGCAGAATTCACATAGGAGTGTTATCTTAAAACAGGGGAGTGTTTCACAAAGACTAAGATCGACTTTAAGTTGACTTAACTATGGCAGGCCGTTCATGCCACTGTTTGCTCTCACCATTATGATCTTTAGAGAATATTTTTTTCTGTAGATTTGTGACCATGATTTGTACGTCCCTTGATAGACCAATGCCAGTAAAGGGTGAGAGCAAACATTGGCAACTTAAGTCGATCTTTATAGTCTTTGTGAAACACTCCCCTGGTCTTTAATCTCTATCAGCATAGCATACTGGTGTAGCCTAATGTTTAATGAATGGGCAGTGTACATTTATAGAAAACAGGGTATTTGTTGGAGAGTATACTACAGGCTGATAAGCTATCACGTGACACTCAATCAAATGTTGTATATGCACGGGCATGCAACATAACTCAATTTTTTTTGCACAGTATAAAATGAATCATACTGTGCTTTCATGCTTGCCTGCGCATACCCACTTCTCCTGTATTAGCTGTAGACAACAGACACCAAAGGCAACTCCTAATTAGAAGATAACTAGAAAAAGGCATGCAGTTCACAAATACCCCCATTTAATATATTATAAAGCAAGCAACTTGGGGGATGACAAAGGATTACAATCATTTAACACCACAGGCTTGAAGTACTCCATTCAGATCACGATGCAATCACAACGACAGCATACTTACTTATATTGTCCACTGTTTGCAAGGTTTAGATAGAAAACGAAGGAAGAATGAAGGACGACAATTTTGGTTAGAATATTGAATGAACCATATCAGTCTTTCTTTAATCCCTTCAGGCCCCCTGTGAGTTTTATTTTCCTGCCCTATTCATCTACATTACAACATTTATTTTTGCAAGTAAAAATAGTGTTCACAAGAACCTCAAAGGGGTACCAATTACTGTTCTTTTTAAATCATCCATCTCAAACATCAGTCCCACAACATGTTACTTCAGGATTAAAAAGAAAAGAAAACGGGTCAGAATTTAGACAATAGCAATGTACTTGTGTACATTAAAAAAAGTTAAATGTGTTTTTAAAATGAAGATACATCATGTAAATTAATAGCACAATGTTTATGAAGGCCTTTGATATTAGGATAGATGCTATAGCTCATTTTGATCCTGTGAATTCCAAATCCTTGACAAGCTGTTATCTTCGCAAATTTTACAGGGTGTGAAAATTGGATGGCGATGCGTGTACCAACATGTAAAGTAACTGTTTAATAAATCTTGAAAACAAAAGAATCATGAGACTTTCTGCATCCCTATCAACCTCGAAAATATCTGTGCAAACAAATATTGGTTTATACAGCACTTGACCTAACCTACAAGTTATACAGTAGGCTTGCGGGTGCACCATGTGAGAGAGTGGGAGGATTGAGGAGTCCTGAAAAGGACTCTCGGTAATCTTTCTGAGGGTGAGTAGTCCTGAAAAGGACTGTTGGTGTAGTCTTGAAAAAGTTTCTACAAGTTGTTCTAAAATATCAATAGGTAGAAATGACTCACCGGCTTTCTTCTTTTCCTCTTCCTCTACGGTCTTCTGCCTGGAGATCTGTCTCTTGAGCTTGATGCGCTCTGTCTCTGATTCCGATTCATTGCCGGACGGGTCCACCTCTGCCTCCGAGACCTCGTTGACGGCCTCTGTCCAGCTGCTGTAGAGCGTAGGATCGGCTTCGGCTATCTCATCCATAGTACCCTGGTGCTTAATGCGACCATCCTGCATCACTAGGATCTGTTATGATGGAACCCAATATTGGGAGTGAAATCATTATTAACAAGAGGGCTCTTTGTCTGCTCAGTGTGAAAGAAAGAGTTTGGCACTAGAAAGCTCCTCCCGAATCGGCATAATCACATAAGTTGGACAATTCTTCACAATTTCACAATAGTTGTATTAAAGAAATGACAGATTTCATGTTTCATGGCAGCATTGAAATCATGAGACAGAAGTGGTCATCTCAAGATGGTTAGACCTTGTATTATTGGTCATACTATCAGCATATGGAATATCTTGTTAGTAAAAGGATTAATAGAAATCATGATAAACAATAATCTCAAGCAGCCAATTCTGTATTCTCTTAAAATCATAACATAGAATCTATACAAAATTAAGAGATACGATAAACATCGCCGCATATTTTTATGTCATATCAATGATATGAATAGAAACCATGAGATAACTTGATCGGTCTACCTTATCAGCCTCCGAGAGGTACTGTAACTGATGGGTTACCAGGATAACAGTCTGGTTGTTCTTAATCAACAGCTTCATGATTCCTTCTTCAAACAGTGTCTTTCCAACATGAACATCCAGGGCAGACAGTGGGTCGTCCTGGGTTTAATAAAGATAGAACACAACAGAGTGCTTTACCTGTGACAGTTCTATAGAGGAGCCTGAGCCCAAAACTCAAATCAGCTTCACCAACAACAGCTCTAAGGAGAGTACATTTTCAAGTATTTGTTGATATAAGCTAATGACTCTTGTAAATAATGATACCCAATTACTTATATATACATGTATTTACTATATACAATTGTTTATCTAGATGTCATTAGAGGAGCTTCTTCTATCATTTATTCATATTCATATTGTCAATATAGACCGATTCATGCAATGCTAGATCTTGAATAGTTTAAACAGGACCATACCTAATACCTGGGCCCCGTCCTATAAAGAGTTGCGATTGATCTGGATCAATCGCAAGTCCTACGATTAATCACACAAGTTTGCAGTCCCCTATCTCTTATGTACATAGTTGTGATTGATATCAATCACAAATAAGTTGCAATTAATATCAACTCTTTATAAGACGGGGCCCAGGGCCGGTATTCAATTCAATACTTAGCATAAGTAAGAAATTTACTAAGTAAATGACTAAGTTAAGTAATTGACTTATCTCGTATTCAAATCGCATTTTAGACTTATACTTACGTAAGACAAAATTTAAGTAAAATACTTACTGATAAGCATTGTGACGTCACACGGTCAATCAAAAGTAATGCGCAATTGATGCATTGCAATAAATGCGCGCTGATATAATTGTGCGCGGGATACAATACTGCGTAAGAAAACCATATGCCTGCCAATCACGGCCACCAAATAATTGGCTTAAGTCTGGTATGCAGTTGGCTTAGATTGAAAGTAAAATACTTACACAAAAGTGTGAATTGAATACCAAAATTGGCTAAGTATTTTATGTAAGCCAAATACTAAGTAAAAAGCTTAAATTTTGTACTTAAGTATTGAATTGAATACGGGCCCAGGACTCTTGCTGGATATTCATCATGATAACCAAATGAAAGAGAATAAATTAAAAAGAATCTTGGTTTAAATTTGACTATAATATTCAAAGATATATCCCTAGGTTGACAAGAACCGTCCTTGGTAAGAAAGCTTTAATACATGAGAGTCGCATGTGTAGTCCCATATACATCTTTCTGTGTACAGTGATTCTAACTTTATGAAGACTTGGCCAAATTTCTTATCATTTTGATGATTCCAGAACCTTGCTAGATGATCAACCTTTTCTGATTGATTTCACAATGTTTCTTTCACAATGCAATCGCATGACCATAACTGGTCTTTAGCTTTAATCAATAAAAGGTCTTAAACGCCCTTAATGTATTTCTTAAAGGGATGACAGAGGGGGTAGGGGGGGGGGGTTCTGTGCCCCCTTTCTTACCAGGATGATAATATCCCTGTTGGAGTACATTGCCCTTCCGACGCTAACCCTCTGCTTCTGACCTCCGCTGAGGTTGATGCCCTTCTCACCGATCTCTGTCTGATCCCCTCCAGGAAGGATCTCAATGTCTGGCTCCAGGGCGCAGGACCGGAGCACCTTGCGGTATCGTCTCTGGTCAAGCTCATTGTTGAAGATGATGTTGTCCTTGAGGGATGCATTGAGCAGCCAGGCTTTCTGGGCAGCATATGCAATGCTACTCTTGCTATTAAAAATATGGAGGAATTGGAGTAAAAAAGATATTCACATTCATAGATCATCGAGGAGTAAAGTTGGTTCAGCTGGTAAAGCATAGATCTGCCTGTTGAGCCAAAGACCATGGGTTCAAATCTAACCAAGGCGGATGACTAAAGCCTTTATTGTGGATTAACGTGCGTCTCCCCTGTTCATAGACGCAGGCTAGGTTACAGCGGAAACATTTCATCCCTCAGACAGGATGTAAAATGGAGGCTCCGTTTGGACTAGTCACGTCCTTTGTAAATCAAGAATCCACTGCACTTTATTAGTAAAAGTGTGGGGAGATACCTCTGTGTAATGGTCTTTCTGTACATCCCAATTTGTTATACTGGGTGGAGAGACTAGAGTTAAAGTAACTAAGTTTGCTTTTCCCCTCCCATGCAAATGTAAAACCAAATACTTAATTTTCTACTTTTTTAATCTCTACTTAAAAACCACCTTTTCAGCCTCACTTAGTTATGATCATATCAGTATCATATCGGTTTAATATTTTAATCTTTTAAAAACTTTTCCTTTATGTAATGTGATAGTATCTTAAATTGTACCCTTAATTTGAATAATTTTACATTTAGTACTATGTAATATGTATCATGTCTCTGGTTTCGTTTGTACAGCACATAAAGAAACTGAAATGTTTATTATGAACCAGAAGTGATATCAAAAGCAGTGTTGTTATCTCCCCCAAAATGGTAGTAGTAACATCTGTACAAGTAGATTGGATAAAATAACAAACCTGTTGAACAAAACACTTCCACTCATCGTAGTCATCTCTCCAAGAATAGCTGAGATAATCGATGACTTTCCACTTCCTACCTGGCCAACTATCATTGTTAGTTTACCTGAAGAAAAAAAAACATATCAGAACACATAAAGTGCATAATAATACACACAAAGCACAATATTCAAATGTGCCAGCATCAACTAAAGTAAAACAGAGGCCTTCTTATACAATATCTGCCCAATTTATTCAATAACATCTGTAACAAAAAACGAGTTGGGGGACGCAATATTTTATATCATTTATTACATCATTTTAGCTTTGAAAATTTGCAGTATAACTGCATTGATAAATGTTTTCCGGCACTACATCTATCTATTTTTTTCAGGGAAAAAAAAAAAGGAAATAGACCTTGCTTTAAGATATTTATGACAAAGTGAATTTTCTCCTATGTTCCAGCAACTGTAAAATTTTCTCTTTTCTATACCTGGGCAATAGAGATATGGTTCAACAAAAGAAACCAGTGCTGTATACCACAGTTTCCCAAAAATGAATGATTATAAAAAGCCTACTCAAACAAACGTGTTGACTACGTTCATAAATTCACTTAACCGATGGAATTTCAAACTCATAAAGTCAAACAATATGCTACATGTAGCTATGTCTTTCATTACTCTAAGGAGCTGAACCATATTAATCTGTATATTTTTTGTATGGCTAGAATGTTATTTGCTGCAATGAACCATTCATCTGCTTGGAGCCAGGAGGGCGTTAATTGATATACTTCAACACAAATAAAGCCCTGTTGATACTAAACAAACTCCAAGGAGGCGAGTTGGCTCAGTCGGTAAAGCGTCTGCCTGTCGAACCAAAGATCCCGGGTTCGACTCCCACCCAGGCAGACGACTGAAGCCTGCGTTGTGTGTTAACGTGCCCCTTCCCTTGTTCATAGATGCAGGTTACGTCAAGTATAAAACACTCTGTCCCTCGGATAGGACATTAAATGGAGGCCCCGTGTACAGGAGAGTCACCACCTTTGCATGTTAAGAACCCATTGCACTATTCATATAAGAGTAGGGGGAAACCCCGGTGTAATGATCCACCTGCATACCCCAACCAGGTTGAGTATACGGCATCTGCAAGAATCTTCAGTATTGAAGAAGGCAGATTATCTTGAAGAAGAAACACTCACCTCTTGGAATCTCCACATTAGCTCTGGATATGATAGGAAGGTTACTGTCTGCATCCCATGTAAAACTGGCATTCACAAGCTGTCAATACAACAAACAAAATCCAGTTATCCTCATAATTGGCATAATTACTATAACAAGCAGATAAATTAGTCTGCATGTACATAATATGTATGTGTAATTTCATATTTTCTTGTTGCTTAAGCTGTACAATAGAGGGAAATCTTAAAAATGGCGGCAAGTGTAATTTTAATTTAAACATAGCCGATAGGTTTTTATCACTACCGGTATATGTTTCAATTACTCAAACATCAAGACAACCAATTGAACAAGGACAAAACTTGACTGCACCGCTAAACATAATCCTGTGTCTTTGATTAAAATAAAGCCTGGAGAAACTATTGCAGGAATGTATTTTGGAGCACCTCAACTTTCTTCTGTATTTCAATAAATGAACTGGATTGCAATAAATGAACTAAATTGTTCATAACTGCATGAAGACCAAGCTTTGACAAGACTGGAATACAACTGGTTGGAAGTGGAAGTGACTTTATCTACAACTCCTTGACAACAAATTATTTGTGCACACTCTATAAGTTCCCTCTCACCTTGACAGCTATGTCATCAGGGATTGGACTGGGTGAAGCCTCTGACCTCGACAGGCGATCCACCGAGCCATATCCATATTTGTGAGAGGTATCCTCATTCTGCAACAGCGATGCTTTCTCGCTGGTAGAAGGCTGACGGAAACCGATAGCAGGAACCTATTGTAACAGGTCAGAATTGAACTGTTTTATAGTGAAAAATATCTATCTATTTCTAATCAATATCTCCTCAGGAAGCGAAGAACAAGAAACTAAGAAGTGTATATGTTTACAAACTTTGTACTTCAAAGAAGTATGACTCACACATATTCTGAGTAGAAGCTATGAATTTGGCCAAAACATGACATTCCACAGCTATGAGAGAGTTTAGGATGTACGGTCACTTGGTCAAATGTTAGTAACTCGACCCCCCCCCCTTCCAGAACACTTGTAATAACTTTATAGCCAAACAAACCCCGAATTGTAAACATCAGATAAGAACCCCCAAAACAAAAGACTTCCTGTCTCCCTCCCAATAACAAGACCCTTTCCCAGAACAGGTTACTTGTGGTAGCTAGATCACTGGGGGAATGTTACTGTTATAAAAGAAGGCAGAGGTATATTTGTCAGATTCACTTCTGTACTGCACCCCCATCCATGGGGCAGGCAGGGAGGTCGACTCTGCAAGCTTTTGGTGTTACTGTACATTAGGTAAGAAGATTATTTTTTTGTTAAGTTGGATAATTATTGAGATAATTAGTATTTTTGTAGATGTATTCTGATGTTAGTTAATAACATTGGACTTGGTATCGTTCTGAACGATATAGTTTGTGCTGAATTAATAGGCATTCTGTAAGGTGGGGCATATATCTGTTTAATCATCAGGAGGTTGATTTTGTTAGTGAGTTAGCACTAGATTAAGATTTGGTAATAGTAATTTGAGATGATTTGAATATTACTATGTAATCTGTTATATTACTTGAAATCTTTAGGAGTTTTAGTTTATATATAATGTGTTGTTGAGATTAACTCTGGATAATCGTATTTTGCAAGACCGTTGTAATCAAAAGTAATGTTTTAAGAGTTAACAGGTTTCGGATATAGTCTGAATCTTCTTCAGTTTTCTGTTGTAGAGTATAATTCACGATGATTTGTATTAATTATTATTCCTTTAGGTATTGACAATCAAGATGTAAGAAGCGGGTACAATGAGAGGAAACAGTCCTCTAGGCCAGATTGCCAGGGTGAGTGGGTTATCATATTCAATGTATAAACCACTAATTCAATGTAGTTTTAATTGGGAATTAAGTTTGATTTTTTGACAAAGTTCACTTGATGGTTGTATTCATTTATTTGTTGGGAGAGTTATCCATTGCGATGGAAGAACTTTATTTGTGATTAGATACTTGTTATTTTCATGCAATATTGATTAAGTTTTAATGAATGGAATATAAACAACATGTTTATCATTTATTATCATGAGTCGGCTTGACGTCATATTGTTGGAATTCGTATCTTGGAGTCATTAACGAATATTATGTTTATCGCTATTATGTGTGTTTTTCAAACATGTCCTCATTTCTATTTAATTGTTTTAACTTTGTTTATTTGTTCAGGCTTTTATCTTGCACCTGAAATAAAACGAACCGCAACACAAAGAATGGTGTGATGAGTCTTTTCTACCAGTTTCTGCGTGTTACACTATGAAAAGAAGGCAAGAAAATATCACACTACCACTCTAACATGAAAAGCATTTCAGCAATTCAAACAAAACTTGGATGAAGTATGTATGACCAAGGAAGGATGAACTCATTAGAGTTTGGGTGTATAGTAAAAGGCAAAGGTGAAAGATCACAGGGACATAAAAGTGTTAAGATTTCCACAAAATATATATATATATATATTTTTACTGTTATAACTTAAAGAAAATTCAACCAGAGCAACCAACCTGGGCTCAAGCATGTACGAGCATGAAAAGAGAGGTTCGTGAGGTCAGATGCTAAAGGTTACAGGAGCATACATACAGGGGGAGGCATATTAGAGATTCAGTTGTATACAACTTGTTGTTGCCTTGTACTAAAAAACCACAAACTTCGCAACATAAACCTTTCTTAAATTGTAAAGGACTTCAAGTTGCACAGCAAGAAACTTTCATAAATCACAATTTTTTTAAATATGGTCTCAATCGTGGTTAAAATTCCACAAATCTGAACCACTCACGAAATTAGCAAACATTTCATGCACATAACATTTCCTGGTTTTACATGAATCTACAGAGTCACTGAAAAAAAAAAGATTACCTGGCCGTTCTCTTCACCCCCATCGGTGGTATCCTCCTCCCTCAGCGAATCAGTAGTGCCAGCGGTCTCCACCTCGGGCGCCAGGAAGAAGTTGAGTAGACGGTTGGAACTGACCACCGCATTGACCATGACGGCCAGGGTCATGGGCAACAAGAACAGTGGTATGGTCAGTTGGTTGAAGAAAGAGAGAGAGGCAAAGGCCACGTCAGGAAGGAGTGGTTTTCCGGTGAAGAGAGTGTAGGTTCCAAACGACTGCAAGGAGAATTTTCAGATTGCGTTTTCACAAATCATGCTATGGTTTCATTGACATTTATAAGCACTAAAACACTGACTCATTACCTCATATCAAAACTAAAATGATGTCCATTCTCATTTTTAAAACTAGTCTTCCTTACAACAAAAGTCAATAGTTGAAGTCTAGCTGCCATAACAATCATGCTTTTAACGTGATGGTGATTATTAACTTGAGCTCTCTGAGTCAACAACATCAATTTCTGTACTATGTCTAGACTTGGGCATTCATGAAATTATGAAAATGCAGTAACCCTGAATATTTTAATTCCCTCCATTTGTAGATTACTATTTCATAAAATGTTGATTCACAAGAAGTAACAAAAGCCTTACATGAGACATAGGCCCTATAGATAGACATATGTCCTAGATATAGGTCCTATTATATTCTGCATCAAAAATTTGTTGGCTTTTGATTGGTTGAGAGCTCGTCACATGACCAAACATATTTGACCTATTTTTAGAAAGTACTATATGAGAGTACTATTTTGGTTTACTATTTGGGAGTTGAAAAAAAATGTGATTTTTTTTTTTTTTTAATTGAATCAATTTTTTTTTTTCAAATCTTAATTTAATGAAAACAAAATATTTTAAATCTTTTTAGATAAAAATTGACATTTTTTTTGTTCTAAATTTTTTTTTCCAAAAATGTTTTGTTTTGTTTGTTTTTTTTTAAAATAATTTTTTGATGCAGGATATAAAACAAATACCATGCCTTCTATTCGAGGTACTGGTTAAACTATGGGCCTCGGTGACTCCAAAAGTACCATTTGCTTCGGGGCTGCGCCTCTCAGCAAATAGTACTATTGGAGTCACCTCTTGCGCATAGTTTTAACCAGAACCTCTCAAGGCAGTGTATATTTGTATATCGTAATCAGGGGAAATGTGCCTTTCAGTTTATTCTATTTATCAAGTCTGCCAAGACTCATTATACACATTATGCCTATATATAAATAAAAAACCATGAACTTGGTAAAAATAGTATGAGAACAAGAAAAGCCTGGCATGCTACTCACCACAAGGGTAACAAGGATGGGTCCAGTAGATGTGATAAAGACTGAATGGGGAATAATACAGAGATAAAATGCATATTTCAAAATAATTTTGTTTACATCAATGACAGAACCTAGGGGCAGTATTTCTATTTCCATTTCCAAGGCCATGCATGAAATCTGGAAATCTATAGTAATAAACAGCCGTCACATGGGAAATCATTCCAAATGAATAGGTGCTTGAAATGACTCATTTATATGAATATCCCGAGAATCAAAGAACTATTAAATATAAAACTTTGCACATTCTATTGCATTCTATGTGGTTATATTATACATAATTTTGCTTGCCTTCTGTGAATATATTTAACTTGATCAAAACAATTATATTCATGGGCATGAAAAAGGCGTATTGTTCATTTTGGAAGAATCATCATTTCAAAAAAAAATTTTAAACAGGGTATTAAGATATCATAAAGAGCAAGAAGTCTCACTTGTGGCGACAATATTGCCATTGATCTTAAACATGGCCCAGAGTTCATTGGTCCTCACTGCCTCGATGGCACTACAGTAGAGCTCCTCCCAGCCATACAACTTCAAGAGTTTAATACCCTGCAGCATCTCGTTGGACAGCTTCAGACGTGTATCAGAATAGTCCTGAGGAGATGTGTTTAAAGAAAAAAATGTTAGATGGAAGTAGAAATATGTGTATTTAACAGAGAACAACTGTATAAGGAATGGGACAGAAAGACTGCTATGCAGCAATTTATTAATTCACACCATCTTGATGGCACTACAGTAGAGTTCCTCCCAGCCATACAGCTTTAAGAGTTTAATACCCTGCAGCATCTCGTTGGACAGCTTCAGACGTGTATCAGAATAGTCCTGAGGAGATGCGTTTAAAAAAAAACGTTTGATGGAAGTAGAAATATGTGTATTTAACAGAGAACAACTGTATAAGGAATGGGACAGAAAGACTGCTATGCAGCAATTTATTCATTCACACCATCTTGATGGCACTACAGTAGAGTTCCTCCCAGCCATACAGCTTTAAGAATTTAATACCCTGCAGCATCTCGTTGGACAGCTTCAGACGTGTATCAGAATAGTCCTGAGGAGATGTGTTTAAAGAAAAAAATGTTAGATGGAAGTTGAAATATGTGTATTTAACAGAGAACAACTGTATAAGGAATGGGACAGACAGACTGCTATGCAGCAATTTATTAATTCACACCATCTTGATGGCACTACAGTAGAGTTCCTCCCAGCCATACAGCTTTAAGAGTTTAATACCCTGCAGCATCTCGTTGGACAGCTTCAGACGTGTATCAGAATAGTCCTGAGGAGATGCGTTTAAAAAAAAACGTTTGATGGAAGTAGAAATATGTGTATTTAACAGAGAACAACTGTATAAGGAATGGGACAGAAAGACTGCTATGCAGCAATTTATTCATTCACACCATCTTGATGGCACTACAGTAGAGTTCCTCCCAGCCATACAGCTTTAAGATTTTAATACCCTGCAGCATCTCGTTGGACAGCTTCAGACGTGTATCAGAATAGTTCTGAGGAGATGTGTTAAAAAAAGAAATGCTACCCTTGACAGTCCTTGTCTGGAAATTTTGACCTTGGTACATTGTATATCTTGCTGTATAGATGATACACACCCACAGAGAAATGTATCAGGTAGATGCAGTCAAAGAAGTGCCAAGATGTAACCAGCACCCATCGGTGCCCTTCTGCCTAGCACACCATGATATTCCAGAATAGGGTGGATTGACAATTAACAGCGCCCCCACCGGCAAGCTGTGACAGGCAACTTTTCAGCTTGCAGGTCGGTATATTTCAACCAGTGCAGGGAAGCAAATCGCTAGCCTCCAATCGAAATGGTCTGAACTCTGTAAAGTCGTGATTGTTCTGATATCAGCGCTCCATTTTGTATTGAATTTCGAAGTCAAAACCTACCCATCAACTGGAACTGAAAGAAACTTAGGCCTGAATTTGGACAGAAATTAATACGAAAATTGCCATTTTGGGCAAAAAAGTGTTCGGAATGACCAAAAAAGGTTGTGAATAAAGTTGATAACATATATTTGAAATTGGCGCAAATTGTTACCCCGGATAAGCTATTCATTCCTTTCCCACAAAAAATTAAGGTTAAATCCCCTCATCTCCTAGGGTATATAACAATGCCACAGCTAACATTTTTGTTAGACCTTTTCACGTGATAAATCATGTTAAATTGAGTATTAAACACTGATGTTGCTAGATGGTGCTGTGGATTGTGAATCCACTGTATTGAATCTGCTTAGAGTCATTATAGCTGGTTTAATAGACTTACTAGGGTTGTCTTCTGTAGTCTAGACATCAGACTAGCAATCTTCGCCTGGAACGGTAGCAGGAATACAAAGATTGCTGAGCCAAGCAACGCAGCCAATCCAAGCTGCTGATACAGCAACACTAATGTCACAGTGATCTGTCAAAGAGGAACATTATTAGTGTATGATAATCTATGTATCTTTCTACGCATTACGGCAAGAACTGTGGTTTGATACCCATGGTGAATATCCTAATTATTTCAAACAGCTAGACAGTAATAAGATTAATTCTATAAACTATGTGTTGAGAGTTTAAGCACTTTACAGACTTAATAGAGTAAGCAATGAAGAACAGAGCGCCCTGAGGCTGAATGGAGGTGATGTGTGTAATGGGTGTACATGTTATACATTTCTTCATCCTCAAACCTACATTGCTGTAGAAATACATTTTAGTAGTTGTTTTATAAGTTGTTGGCTGAATTTGTTAAAACAAGATCGATGCCACACAGGTCCAATTAATTTATCAACAATAATTTCTTCCTCATGTACCTTGGTCTGAGGCTTTAAACAGATTTAAAGATCTCAGATTCTGAAACAAAATCTCGTACTGCAATGATAATTATCAAGCTCTAGGTCAGTCAGGAACCTCATGACTTTTACAAGCCGATCGCCTGTCTGATTATCAAGATATTTAAGATTGGAAATCGAAATTTCAAAAACCGTTTTCCTAACAGTTTTTATAACACTACAGTCTTTGTAAAACCGGTCACTCAAAGATTTTAACTTTATTGAGGCACTTCATGATCATTTAAAGGTTTTTGGGCTTCAATATTACACCATATACAAACACTGATAACACATAGGGCCATGCATCTCAGATTTAACATTGTTAAACGATGCCTTTAAACACACATCTGTATGCCACAGAGTCTAACATCTATCTTCCTACAACTTAGATCTTTGTCTCTTACATGTCCTGAAGGCCTCAACTAAAGATCACATCAACTATTTATACAATACTCACACAACACCGGTTAAAGAAGTTGTCTTATCTGGTTTAAAATAAGTTAATAAGTTGATCTTGCATGTGCTAATAAAAGTGTTGATCTCAATGAATGAAATGTGCATTTATACCTGAAGTGGAATGGACCAGCAGTAGTGCATCATTTGAAAGCAGAAGAGAAGTGACATGGCGTCCGTCGACATGTGGTTGGTAATCTGCCCCATCGTCATCATTCCACCAGTAGTGGCATAGGTAGATAGACGGAGTGACTTCTCGTACACCATGGTCTGTATCAAAAAGATGAGAGGGGAATAAACTCATTCATCAACCGATCTTTAGTATCATATTCTAAATGATCAGTACATAAAGACACGGTGACAAATAAAAAGGGTCCTTCTTCTTCCATACTGTAAATTTTTTTTTCCTCCTGGCCCAGGTGTTTGATAATAGAACCACATTCAATAATAACAAAGGGAAATATCAGAAATAATGGAAATCCTGATAGTAATTGGAAGAAGAATAAAAAGAAGGAGACAAAGAAAAAGAAGGAGAAACAGAAAATAGGAAGGAAAAAAGGAGGAGAGAATGAGAAAGAGAAGATGAAGAAGGAAAAAAGGGAGAGAATGGGGAAAAAAAGGAGAGGAATAGGATAAATAAGAGGAGGGGGAGAGAGAAGAGGAAGGAGGAAGAGGACAGGATAAAAAAGCAAAGAAGAGGAATGGAAAAAAGGAGGGGCAGGAGATGAAGAAGGAGAAAAAGGAGAGAATGTGGAAAAAGGAGAGGATAAGGAGAAAGGAAGGGGAGAGAGAAGAGGAAGAGGAGAGGATAAAAAAGCAAAGAAGAGGTATGGAAAACAGGAGGGGCAGGAGAAGAGAGTGAAGGAGAAGGAGAATTAAGAAGGAAGCCTGTGAATGAATTGGCTCACCTGAATAGCAGTCCTAATATGCATACTTTCCAAGATGACCCAATGGTAATGGGTTTGAAGGGCTAAGAACTTAATAGTCGCTGCAAAAAACATCACTCCCACCAGCACAAAACCATTCGCAAAGAAGTCGGTGAACGTGACAAAGCCAGTCTCCTAGAGGAATCAACCATATAAGTAAGATGATCATTTGATACACACAATTTGGAGACATATTCACTGACGTTATCTTTTCACAAGTTTTGAAAACTATCCAACTTTTGAAAATGTTGAGTGAACTAGACCTCATATACCAGTATCCACACTTTTTGACAAAGTTTATATGCATATTATCTACTGAATTGCAACATATCCCACACAAATTATTTAAAAAAAAAAATCTTTGCATATCACCTTTCCAGTTGTAAGTAGCTGGTCAAAATTTTTTGAAATAAACTATCTCAGTTTTTGGTTTCACTTCAAGTTCCACACTTTGAGTGAACACTTGGTGGAGCAATCCAGTTAGCCTCCATACAGTACATGCTAACATCCCACCATGGACCCATTTATTCACTTGGGTTAAGAGCAGCAAAATACATTGTAATTGAAATTAAATGGCACATTCGCAAATTGCAAACTAGATGGGTCTTCTACTGCACACAGTAGAATATGATGCCTCCGCCATAGAGCAATTTTTGATTGTTCTGACAGGTTCTGAAAATATTGTGATTACAATTTCTTTTTCATATACATGTATATGATCTTTGATCTCATTACCCCAAAATCAAATCAGTTCATTTGGCTCTGCAAGATACATACATTTCTTGAGTTTGATGATAATCCGTCTATCATTTCTAATGATATTGCGATCACAATCTTTTATTGCATACATAATGAGCCACATGACCTTTGACCCCATAATCTACTCAGTTCATTGGGCTCAGCAAGATCCATTCGTGTCTTAAGTTTGATGGTAATCCGTCAATCCGTTCTTGAGATAACGCGATCACGAGAACAGTACGTGTGAACGGACGTACGGACAACCTGAAAACATGCGGAGGCATAAAAATTGATGTTGTTTCAGTTGTGACTGGATTAATCCATGGCACGACACTGCCGAGTATCTGAGTCACTTTTGTGTGATTTGTGACCGTTTCATACATACGAGTGGGTTTGGTTTTACAGTGGATGTTTTCTATTCACCCATTAACTACTGAATGTTCTCATTCCCCGTTCCGGTAGCCAATGGATTAATCTGTCAGGACCATTTTTTTTCTCTTACCTTAGGAATATCCAACTTGATATTCTGGACATATAGGGTAATACCCCCTACAGCAAGAGGGCCGATATATCCCATGCAGTCACCGATCAGCTTCAAGAGAGCTGCCCAGAAGTTCCTCCTGCCATACACCTTGAGATAGACCTTCCACATGCTGGGTTTCTTCCCTACCTTCGTCTTCTCTTCCTGATAAAGAAAAAAAACGATAAAGTAATAATATTTTTACATTTTATAGCACATTAGATGAATATTTCTATGGGCTTTACAATAGTTACTATCATTGATACCCTGGTAAAGTCCGCACCTGTGTGCACCATCTACATTTGTCAGGGAGTATTCATTTTGCACCATTAGCAGGTACATATACATGTATGTATAGCAGGGGCAAGGGCAATGGCAGTCACATGGGCTTTTTGCATTCCTTGCAGATACCCATTCTCTAGCTCCTGGAGTCCTGGGTAATAACTTAAAGGCATCGTTTAACAATGTTAAATCTAAGATGCATGGCCCTATGTGTTATCAGTGTGTGTGATATGGTGTAATATTGAAGCCCTAAAAAAATTGCGCTTCCAAATGATCAAGAAGTTCCTCGTTCCTGACTGACCTCAAGGTTTATAATTATCATTGCAGCATGAGCTAAATCCAGAATTTTGTTTCAGAATCTGAGACAAAGTTACCGGATCCTTTTAAGAAATGTGACAATGTACAGTAATGTCTTGCCATAGGACGTTACATGTAGTGTCCCTACTGGGACTTGAACCGCAACCACAGTCCGTTCATGTACATGCACATGGTCATGCATACAATAGACCATGGCACCTCTACACCTCTACCTCTGGTGTTCAAAAAAGACACAAACTCTTTTCATACTGACAAATGTGTTTCAGAGAAGGCCATATATTTTTAATTTCTCTAAAAATAGTGTTTCTCACTGAAACATGTACTGAAGGAACATTTAAAGAAAGACCACCAGCATGTACTTGTATGTTAAACATTTTGTGCCTCCTTTGAGCAGTCTTTGTACACAGGTTAAGTGCGAAATAAAATGTTTGTTTTGGTTATATCCCGAGGCATTTTTGTGCTGTGAAATAAGTCGACCAGAGAACTCTGCAAATACCTAATGTCTTTAGAAGCCTTTGTGCTTGAATTGACAAATGCAATGATGCAATCCGTGCAAATATATGAACATCCAAAGCATTGTTCATTTAAATGCACAGTCATGCACTTTCAAGTTTCAAGGTAATATTTGTGATTTCCCAACCCCCTATATGTATACAGACAAGGCATGCTGAAACAGCAGACATTATCAAAGCAGGTCTTTCAGTGTGTGATCAATTTTCAAAAGTCAGGTGTTATTTGGAAACGTTGTTGCCGCTGAATTCATGTCACATGGCAATCAGTCAAACTTGGTATGAACTTTAATTATGAAAAATGATGAAAAATTATTTATGATACATTGTATTATACAATGACAATTTTAAAATCTGGTTATACCATAAATTGTTCCTCAAAGTCAAAATATGTTTAAAAAATAAATAATGATTAACCCGCATGACCAGCATTAAGATTTTCAATGAGTTCTGATTACTGCAAGAAAATGCCTTGAAATGTAGATGAATACATGAACAACCATCTTTAGAACTTGTAAAGTAAACATCTGTTTACGTTTTTATCTTGTGACTCAGCATATCCATTTACAAGAAACTCAGTGATTACATAATGCTACATGTATGTACTGTACATGTATACTCATCACAGTGAATGAGCTTGCATGAGTTTTATAACAGTTCAGAAGTCAGGAAAATACAGTTTTTGTGTATGAAGTTCCATATTTATTTCCTTTGGTTTAGATCTAGACCATCTAGGGATAAAATACCCCTTAAATATGACATTATTCACATGTACAGAGCCTACATGTACATGGTTGTACCTACATTCCCATGGAATGGAATCTAGAACTGTACTTAAAGTGCCATACATTGTACGTGTACCTGTGGATGACTTTAATACGTTACTGAAACACATTGCACCCTGTCAGAATCTTATGTTTTTTTTTAAATATGATGTGTAAAGTATCTCACTTTTGAAAATAAAAGGTAAAAATTGAGAAGTAAGGTTTTAAAATTGAAATCGTACGTTTTTACAGCTCTTTTTCTATCTTGTATAGAAAAAAAGAAAAGAAAAAAATTATCAGGAAATGATTATGATTATTATCTGGCTTGAGCATAACAAATTTGAGATGAATTTTAAAACATCATAAACTACATGAATCATGGAGTTTTATTTGTCCAAGTAAAACAGTACATGTGAAATATACAGATAACTGCACATGTACACATTGAGTGATTTCAAGTTGGGTGTTAGTGTTAGTGTTAAGAGCAGTCAAGAGCTCTTAAATGGAGCGAAAAATTTGCTGATGAAATTAAGAGCCCGATACCGATATCAAAATCGATAGCTTAACACCAGCTGTGACATCACCACATAGAGGTCTACTTGATTTCACGACGATGATTTAAAAATAGTACATCAAAACTAATATATCATGAAAAGTACAGGATAAATATATTCCTATTTCTCTGGTCTTATAAAATAGCTCATTTTACACAAAAGAATAAATGAATTACCTGTTTCACATGTTTTTATTTGATCCTCAGACAATAAATTGGCGTCGTTCGTGCGTTGACTGTTGTGCAGTACAACACTAACACCGAACTGGAAATCAACATTTGCTTAATCCCTACGGGCTAGTGTTAGTGAATAGGACATTTGTACGTAAATTATTAACACCAGCCACAAAGGTCGGTTCAGCAGACGACAATTTTGCAAAATCGATAACACTAGCTACCGGAAGTTGACGATTTTCAGAGGTCAAAGCCTTAACACCAGCTGATTTCCATTTCGGTGTTTAGGCTTGGGTTGGTGTTTATTAAACACTAACACCAGCCTTAAACACCCAACTTGAAATCACTCATTGTACCCAAAGTTTACTTATAAACCACATCGGAAGGTCCAGTACAAAGCTAAGTAACTATTTGTTATCTCTCAATAGATTCCCTTTTTCTTCTGTGTATTTCAAGGCTTCCATGACTATGTAAATATAATTATTCACGTTACCTCCCACATGTGGTAACCTTTGTTAGATCACATGACTGCAGTACACCAGTTCAACAATTTTATTGGTTCGTAACGATGACCCCATAGCTTGCTGGAGGCTTGTACACATAGCAACAAATAAAATAGGCAACTTGCATTCTGAATATTGCCAATACTCAGTAAAAGGTGAATGCAATCGTGGTGTTCAGGCTCGGGCAGAAGAATTCATATATAATAATAATAATAATCTTTTGGAGTCCACTCCAAATTTTATCAAGTTAAACCGAAAATGGAAATTCTTTCTTTTTGCCCAATTGATCATGAGCCCGGCAGCCACTGAGCAGCACCAGATCGACGTTGCTCTATCCCTTATTGTTGAACGCCAAACAAGGTAGCACTACTATGCTACATGTGCCATGTCAGTATAGTATAAAGGGCTAGTCTGAAATCCACAAATATAATGATTAACTATATAAAATAAAATCTTCATCAATTCATCAATTCTAATAATATACTTTGAATTCACGTTTTCACATAATTCACAAAAACATATTTCATAGAGGTGTTGTGGCCTAGTGGATGTATATCATCAGACTGTACGCGGATCACATGATTTGTAGTTCAAGCCCCGCCAGGACACTACACTCCTCTGGCAAGACATTAATCTACATGTGCCACTCTCCACCCAGAAGTACATGGATACCCTGATCCTTGATCGCTTTAGCGCATTGTGGCAGCTCAGATACAACTTAAGTAATAAAGTTCTTTGTATTAACTGCAGCAGGGTATAATTGTGTAGTACCTGCGCTATATGTACATGTAAATGGACATACACATGGCATGCATTATTATTAAAAACATGCCAGGAGATTTATACAGTGGGAGCCACTACTAAATTCCTTTAAAGGGGGCACGAAAGTACAATCAACAGAGTCTGTGGTAATCTGAAATAGGAAGCATGATTGTGCACAAACAGTTGGCACTCCTACATGCAAATTTTGTTTGTGAATATGATTACTTTTTTGCAATATGGGTTAGAGTGTACACTTTGAAGGAAATACACTATACAATGCATTATATAACATTGCAAATATACACGTATTATGCAAACAAAGCATGCTAGCTACAGTATGCATACTGTACTTTGGGGCTCCAGTTTAGTTTCACAACTCACTACCTTCATTTCTTGTTCATGTCATAAAAAATCATATTGCACAATGAGAACTCTACAATATATTACTCATACTTATTACAAACAAAATATATTCAGTAATTTAGGCTGTGTTGAATATGTCCCAGACTTTCTTGCATAGAATGTTACAGAGGTTTTCCTGCATTCATTTCATGCAGAACTTTAATCACTGAAAATAAATTTAAAATTCTGGATCTTAGGCCATTCATCTTTAGATTTATGATAGGACAGTTGACATTTCAACATAACATAAGACCAAATTATACTGCCATTTAGAAATTAGTCTACATGCATCAGCATTCATCTCTATTTCAGAAAGGTCTAAATGATATTTTGCATATAACTGTTAGTTAGGATAATACTTTAAATTTATAATAATATGTTATAGAAATATTTAGTTTCTTTATTATATATGTACATGTGTAAAAAAAAAATATATATATAACATTTTGACATGAAGTTTTCATTGTTTGTATATTTTGTATTATACCTTAGGTTTACATGTTCTTTGTTATTTTGTTATTATATTTGGAAAAAATGCAGAAATCAAATCAAAATCAAATCAAAAGATATACAAGTTGCTGATTTGAAGAGGAAAACTCACCCCCTAGCATTATGTATTGTCTGCTTGACAAATTAGAAAATTGTGTAAACAGCTTTCTCATCAAGTAATTTAAGAACCCTTTCATAAAGACCATCAATGTACATTACTACCATCAGTGGTCTGTTGGATAAATACAAAGTCCAATATCCAAAGTCCGATGCAAGTCATTCGTTAGAAGCAATATTTTACTGCTTCTGATTGACTCAGGGAAAGCAAAAAAACCTGGTTGTCTTTAAATACGGCACTGTTTATTTTTCCTTACACAAGTTATCACATGATTTCCAAAAGAAATCCAAAAACAAGATGCACAACTATATACAGATATGAAAATCTCCATTTCTTTCATCCATGAATCGAATGAAATTAAATTATGATGATTTCAGAATATGTAACCTGCTACCTCAAAATCAACAGTAAGTTGATAATCTAGCAAAAAAGCAAATGGTGAAAAAAGGATGATTATATTTGAACAATTTGTTTTCTGTTTGTTTTCTGATTTTTAAAAAAAAAATGAAATAAATGGGTATTTCCATTATAATACATGTTACATCCCAAACAGATCAGTGAAATCACACTTTCCTGATAAAAAATATTTAAAAGGACGCCATCATAGGAGACTGACAAGTAATCAGTGTACATGTTGCAAATCAATGTAAAGTCTCTCATATCTCAAAACTAAAACTTACCTTTTCTTTTTCAAAGACGTCTCTGAATCTGTTATGGTTGAAGTTAGATTCATGGATGAGAGGTAGGGCACCAAGATCAGACATTTCCAGCGGACGCTTGTAACCCAATTGCAAAAGCCAGTTCAACCACCAGTATGTCACCTGTCAAAACAATAATAATGATAATGATAATGATGATCATAATGATAATAGCAACGATTCTACCATTACTATTACTACTAATACTACTTATAATAAGGATATATTGACTGCTTTGAGAGGCATAGTGGTTTCTATAGGGTCAAGGGAAACTCACAACCTGCTATGACCCCAAGGCGCTTGCGCCGCGGGGTCATAGCAGGTTGTGAGTTTCCCGAGACCCTATAGAAACCACTATGCCTCGAATATTAAAAGCAGTCAATATATATTTTATATACCGAAAAAAAGGAAAATGTTGACTCACCCATTTAGGTTTCCATCTCTTTGAAGTCATGAATATTAACACCAACAATAACTTGTGTACAGTATGAAATCCAACAAGCCAAAATGGCGATCGGTCGTCTGCGCTGCGTGGATTGGTAGATTCGTCGCCTGAATGCAGCGACCAAAATCGAATTGCACTCAAACACCGTTAACGGTATTGCGCATCGGTCATCGCACAAAAGAAACTTATACGGTAACACGTAAACCAAAATGGGGATCGCAGCAAAATGACGTCACGTTTCACAGCCATGGAAAAAGTGCTATGAAAAATGGATATCCGGTAGAGCCGGGAAAAATGACTATGAATTTCAATTAGCGGGCATGGTTAAGAACATGACTGCATTTTCAACCAATCAGAAGACAGGATTAGTAAAGAATCTTAAAATGAGGTATATAATAATTATTATAATATTTGTATTTGCTTATAGATAAAGCACTGATCATTCAGATGCATTACAGCCACTTCAACCACAAGTATGTTACTTGCCAAAATATTCACAAATTATTTTAAAATACTACTATATTTACCAAGTATGTTAACTGCCAAAATATTCACAAATTACTTTAAATACTACTTTATTTACCAACAACAAAGCATTATTTGTATAAAATCAGAATATCCAAGATGTTTCTTATTCAAAGTTTCATATCCATTCTGAAGTCCTTCAGATGAATGTACATGAATATCTGTAAACCACTAATAGTGCTACATGATGTATATAAATCCAGAATATTATGTACTTTCTTTAAAAATAGCTACATGTATCTACTAGTCTTTTTTTCTCAATCTTACAAATCTATCAAGATAGTAATCTATCACTGTTATCCCAAGCCTCTATCTAAAGATACTGTGTATCTTTTCTAAGGTTTTAAAAAAGCTTTGTAGGATGATTGTGACTTTAAAACTGAATATTTCAAGGTCCGTTCACATTATGACAAAGTTCACCAGGGTTGTTTCTGTTTTACGATAGAAGAGTTACATACTCAACCATCATGTATCTTATGACATAGTGAGAAGGCGTAGGGAGTCAAGAGGATCTTTGTTGTGCGCAGCTTCTTTGTTTCATTCCCATTTTGCCGTTCAATTTGCGTGTTAAAAAGGAAAAAGAGGGGACATGATCCAAGTTTTCAAGATATTTTATGGTATAGATAGACTCGATCCATAATGCTTTTTTGTGAAATCGCAGTATCAGAGAACAAGAGGCCATTCATTGAAGTTATTCACTACTCGCTGTCCATTGAATGTCAGGAGTAACTTTTTAAGCAAACGGGTCATCCAGTCTGGAACGTAATAGCATAGTCTGACATCTACACATGCACTGATTTATCCTGTATAGATGATGATGATGATGATGATGATGATGATGATGATGATGATGAGAAAACATCTAGTTTCCTGCACCATGTGAACGAGCCATGACACCAAAGAAGTGTATTAAAGTTACCTGTGAGAGAAGGTTCACATGTTGGTCAAGGTAATTCATGTCTGCTCCTCTCAGGTCCCGGGGCAATGATTTACTCAGTCCATTCTGACAGCATCCAAAAACCTAGATAGGCAGAGAGATATACATGTAGTGAGTGTCGGGAGAGAAGGTTGGTGTTGAAGGAATGATGATAATAATAATTTTACATTGTTCTACCTTGCCCGTTATATCTACATATTTTGAAATTTCGTACTTATTTTCCGTACATTATATCAGATTTGAAATCTTTGATTTTTTATATTTATTTATTTCTTGAGTGAAATCTACTCTTATAATAATATATGCCTGTATAAAAAAAAATTAAAAAAGAATATCAACTGTTTTTCGATGGAAAATGTGGAATAAATAAAACTTCAAACTTCAAATAGTCTTATCAACTTCAACAATTGCATCTAGTTTACCCAGTGAAACCTCATCAGCATTTAATACTGTTCTTCCTGAGGGCACTACAATTATTATTCCCCAAGCATTATGAGAAAGAATGAAAAAGAAAAGAACAGGAAAGGAAATATATGGATAAATAGAATAAAAGGATTACTGTACAGAATTAAGGCAAACAAAGAGGATCCCTCCACCCCCCCCCCCCCAAATGGTACTGACAGTCAGTACGAGAAGTTATAACAAAAACTTAAAAGCGTTTGGCTTATGAACATTACGATTTAGCACAGACTAGTCAAATTTTTTCAGCCACCATGTGTCATGATACGGGTTCAGTCCTTGCCGATCACACTAAATGAATAAATCTATAAAATTGGGGAGGTCAAAACTGGTAAATTTGCCTCCCCACTTGAGAAGATGTGCTTAGTATATGAAACATATAATTGTGTAAAAATATCAAAAATTCACAAGTGCAATATTTCAAAATAAGTTCATGAATGTTTAATATTTACATTGATTCTGATAATGTTGAGTTCGAGCAAAAGAATGAGGCCATAGAGTGCAAGCGTGCAGATGGTCAGATCGAATCTCATGCAGTCATAACCTGTTTGGCCTAAACTGATCAGGTTTAGCAGGACAGCCACCTCACCGACGATAGCCAGGGTCCAGTAGAGAACCAACATTAGGGACATACTGGCACATTGCCACACCTCCATGTGATGGTAGAATACCAGGGACAGGAACGACGTCACAAGTGCCGCAATAGATGGCAGGTAGAAATGCGGCTGTGTGGGGTGAAATTGGTTCATATAGTTCTCATCTGTTAAAATGCCTTCGGTGATGGATGTTAAATGTACAAGGAAGAGAACACCAAGGAGCATCCATTTATAGGCGTGGCCTTTGTAGCGAAGGAGGTACTTGGTGTTGACAGTCCTGTACCCTGCGCAGCATCCCATAACAAGGAGCAAGAAGCTGAAGAGGACGAGAAAGACAGCATGTGGGGCTGCATCCAGGGCATCGGTGAAGCATGTGTTGTTTGAGATGTGGTCCTTGTTCCAAGCAAAACCATCAAAGAAGTGGAGGTCGGAACTGTTTACCCCACAGAACCACTCCCAGCTATCTGACCCCATGATTGCCCTGAAAAGGTGGGCATCTGTGGAGAAGAGAAAGAGAACTAAAGTAAATTATAGTCAATCAACAACATTTCACCAAAGCATGGTTTTTAAGAATATAAAAATGAAAATGAGAGAATTCCTCCTTATTTATGCATGATGCTGATTGTATGCATTTGTAGCGGCTCTTACATTCGCCCTACTTTTACCGTACATTCATGTCTCCAGTATTTTTCCATCACGGTACTTATTTATATGCATTTATTCGGGCCACGTGTGTATTTCTTTCCAATCGCGCATCGTGGTTCCGCACTGTTCACCCCGCGTATTTTCAACGCCACGAGGTTTTTCTTCACTCCTGCATCCATCTTCAGTAGAGTCACACGCTCCATGATTTTCTCTCCAGGCTTATTATTCTACCGTGCCTATCACCTCTTGCATGGCACGTCAACTTTCTCTGCCGTCTTCAACGGGCTGGCAGTTTCCCAGTGGAACAGTTAAAATCAAGATCCGACATATATGGTGCTTGGTTATCCGCTGGGAGCTGCCAGTTTCTTCACCGGTAGCCTTTCACCCACATGAGCTCGACTTACCGCAGCTCATCTAAACATTCACCATCAAAGTTTGGCGCATCAATCGAGCGACTCACTGCTCAGCACCAATGCCGGCTTTGATGTCTGCATTTTCCACCTTGGCCTCCGACATCAACGACTCACTGTTTCATCGTCGAGCGCCACTTTCTTCTCTTCTCTTCTCGATCGCCTGAGAGCTTCTTCACTATCTTCATCACGAGCGTCAGCGTCGAGATCCTTCACCGCTTTTCAGCCACGAATACGAAGCTGCATCTCCGCCTTCAAGCCTCCGCACATATCATCGCGCGAGCCCCTTCCTTCGTTCTCAACTCTCTTCATCTTCATTGGACTTTCGACTTCATTTCTACTGATGTCGTAAGCTCTATTTATGTACATCGCATTTATTCACGTTCATTATGTACATCGCATTTATTCATGTTCATTATCATCATTGATCATTATGTAATCTCCGTGCAATATTCACATTTACCATTTATGCATTTTCATTCCGATTCTTCGGCTTGTGCTTGGCTACACTTTGCAAGTGTACGGCCAGCCTCATCAGTACCCAATAAACATAATGAAAAGGGAATACTTTCTTTCATGTATTTTATTGTCAGTGCAACCTTGTTTCCTCGTAGCTAAAATAAAAATAAGAGTTATGTTGTGTCACGAGTGAACACGCTTTCAAATATCCATTCACAATACCTCACACTCATATCTCTACACATTAATTTAATATTTGATTTGATTTGTTATTTACCAACAGCAATACATTTCACAGAATGATATTTACATAGATCTATCTACAGAAGAGAAAATATTGATTGGTAAAATGGGCTAGATGCTAAACAAATTATTTTGGTACAAGTAAAGTTCAGAAACCAGCCCCCCCCCCCCCCAAGTAATAAATTACCATTACAATCGATACTATAAAATAAGTCTACTTCAAAAATTTCAAGAATAGTCTGGATATGGATCCGCTGAAACTAAGTAGATCTAGGTCTAGAGTCTAGATCTAGATCTAAAAAGGTATTTTAATATTAGTCCAAAATTTGCAGAGCAGACCCTATAGGTACCTTAATTATGGTCGGCTTTTGTCTCTAAAACAGAGGAGCCGACCCTTCTCAAATAAGAGGCTAACAAACCCCTAGGTGATCAGCATCTGCACCCCCGCGCTGGACCCTGCTTTGTCTATGGAGGATGCTAGGAGCCCTCGCCCGCCCGCCCGCCCGACCGGCGAGAGCTGTCCTGGCGCGGTGGGAGGAGGTGGTGGAATTGAACTCCGTCTAGATAGACCCCTACTCAACTCAAGGGCTAATTAATTCAAGATTAATTTACCATTCCCATTCCCCCTTTGATCTGTTACCTCAAATCACAATATCATTTTCACCGATTATTCATAGGAATGTAGGAATCAATACTCACCAACCGAGCTCAAGTTTGCAGAAATTCGACGATCGCTTCACAATTCAAGTGGCGTACAACAACCTTATCGGGTTCAGTGACGTAATACCTGCCGCAATACCTGCCCTGAAATCCTTGCAAAAGCCTCTAATACCCCAAAACCACTTTTGTTTTGTTTATTGTTTTTTGTGTATGCGATTTAATTTCTTTTCTTTTCTTTTTTTTGGCAATATTTCTTGCAGGCCGTGCATTTCCCAAACGCCTATTGTTTACTAATGAAAAGGAAAAAAATGCCGACTCATCCTAAAGTACAATGGTACAGTCCGCACAAAAAAAGCCCTCATTTTTTTTTTTTTTTTTTTTTTTTTAGGGGGGGGGGGGTGGTGGTTCAGTTCTCCCGTAAAGGCAGATTAAAGTAAAGCGCATGTGTGTCGGACAGATAAGAAAGTTACCTGGGCTTGGAACAGGATCATACACCAGATCATTTTAATATGTTCACAACAAAAGGGACGGATAGGCCTACCGAGGAGGGAGAAGGGGGAGGGGCTTTAATTTCATGACGGAGCGGCCTCTCCTTCCCCCTCGAGGGGTTTACTTACTGGCATAGGGAGAGAGAAAGTGAGAGAGAGAGAGAGAGGGGGGGAGAGAGAAGGGGGAGATAGAGAGATATAGAGAGAAGGGGGTTCCCCTAGGCCAGTGGGGGTGGACACCAGACCCGACCGGCCCCAGCCTCGTTTCGAGCCCCCATTTAGCGCATATTTTGTTGACCATTAGTCATAAAAGTTGGAATCACAAAAATAATAATAGTGAACATTTATAATGCGCCATGTCTGTCAAAATTGACACTCCTGGCGCACTTGTGTAAAAAATGGTATAATACAATGTATACTATTACATGAAGTACATGAAGGCGTATAGGTCTGATACATTGATAAAACTTTTAATTCTCAAATATTTTGAAAAAAGTTTCCTGTTGTTAATGTGAAATAGGAGTGACGCACCTTAACCTTTCAGGTAGACGTCCATAATCATGTCTGATATTCTAAAAGAATCCTGCCACTCATTCATAGTTTTCATACCCCTCCCCCTGCCCCCCCCCCCCCCCCTCTCTCTCTTTCTCTCTCTCTCTCTCTCTCTCTCTCTCTCTCTATCTCCCCCTTCTCTCTCTCACTCTCTCCTCTCTCTCTCTCTCTCTCTCACTCTCTCTCTCTCTCTCTCTCTCTCTCTCTCTCTCTCTCTCTCTCTCTCTCTCTCTATCTCCCCCTTCTCTCTCTCTCTCTCACTCTCTCTCTCTCTCTCTCTCTCCACTCTCTCTCCACTCTCTCACCTTCTCTCTTTCTATCTCTCCTTCCCCAACATCTCTTTTTCTTCCCTCCTTTCTACCCATTTATTTCTTATGATATCATTGACGAATATAAAATCTGTGATCACAAAGAATTCCGAAAATATCAACCTTATAAAGGTAATTTTAATAGCATTGTTTACCATCTTTTGAGAAGTGCAAACAATACGAATGCACTATAATCTAGACATTATTTCTTAAGTCAGTAAAATAGGATACAGTATACAAAATTGCAACTAAGTTGATTTCATGAAAGGCCTTACCATTGTGGTTTGCAAACAATCATTTTATTCATGATTATACATTTTTTATTTATTTCGATTGCTGTTTTTCTTGACATGCATACTCTTTATTAGAATGAAATTTCATCTACTTTATACTTTGAGAAATCAAAGAAGTATTGTGAACCAAAATATTTCATGGTATAGATAGACTCAATCCAGAATGTTTTTTGTGTGAAATCACAGTATCAGATAACAAGAGGCCATTCATTGAAATTATTCACTACTCGCTGTCGATTGAATGTCAGGAGTAAAAAAAAAAATTAGCAAACGGGTCATGTGAGTCTTGGAACAGTTTATAGTGTCTCACTGTCTCTAGTAACTGCTACCATGGAGCATCAATTCATTTAAACACAGCTTGGATTCTTTTGGGTCAGACAAACACCTTGTTATAGCATAGTCTGACATCCACGCATGCACTGATTTATAGACCTTTACTAATATACCAAGTGATCTGACCGGGAGACCTACAGGATATCCTATACTCCCGTATAGATGATGATGATGATGGTGATGAAGTGCATGTTTGAAATTAAAACCAGACTTCCGGTAAAATGGTTATTTGGAAAATATGACCTCTATCGGAAACCGCAGGAATAAGCATGGCTCTGAAAGCAGTTGATATTAAAAAGTTATATTTATTAATTCTGCAACGGTATTTCTGAGTAAATAATTAACCATTTGATCAAAAATTGTGAATGATTATAATAGGAGAAACTATGCCTACATGTCTATCTTAGGACGAAGTTTTAAAACGTATTGTTGGTATGACCTCTGAAACAATCAGCAAATACAAAACAATGATTAAGAAACGAACAAATCAAATTAACTATTAACAAATTAATAATTAACTATTTTTTAATAATGTATTCCAAACCACCAAAATTATATAAGAAAATTGATTAGATCAGAAAAAACAAATTATCATTTTTTTTGTGTGAAGTGTGTTCGTATATTTAGGCTATATAATATCGCATGTATATGAATCTAATCTAATCAACAAACATTCATCTTTGACTATTTAAGCAATGGTAATAAAAATAATATTTACTCATTAAAAAAATGTTTGTTTTAAACCAAATGTATTTCTTCTTTTCAGTTATTTTTTTATCTTCATGCTCAAGCATTAAACAAAATATAGTTGAGGGCAGCATTTAGCCTAACATTCTGCATAGAGTTTGGACAGGATAACGAATGACAATGCTTTATTTCTGCTCATAATCAATTTCACCCCAAACATAATATGATGATAATTATGATAGAATTTTCAAATGCTCCTAAATATGTACATTGCGTCGATACCCGATAACCATATACTATGAAATGACATTGCTATACTATTTATAGATTTAAAAATATAAAAAAAAATCTTCCTCTAAAGATAGTAGTTAACCTGAAGTTTCAACAGAGTTGTGTCTTTGTGATGCACTCCATGCTTCTTCTCTTTTAGTTCAAGCAAAGCAGATCTCCTGTCGCTCCAGGCATGTGTCCTGTAAAAAAGATAACATTAATGAGCAAATAAACAAGTTTCGTTTTCTCCATTAGCCAATAAAAAGAAGATAATGTCATTATCGTAACCAAGTGGTAAGTAATGTTTGAAGAGGGGTTTACTTAATGAGGAAAGATGTTACGGTATATCAAGGTCTGAAATGCCATGCATTAAATCTATTCCCTTCGTATTTGAAATATCATAGGGAAAAATCTTTGCTTTAAATGGGTGTTAGATGATCTAATACCAGTCATCATTATGAGAAACTTACGTGCATCATAACATCAATAACAAAAACGACAACAATGCACGAATCCGAAATAAAGAAGTGTTTCGCCGAGTACTCATTGGTTCATCTATTATGTTTGGAACCAAAAGGGCGTTATAACTCATATATTTTAAAACAACGGTTAACGCCCTTCTGGCTTATTATCTCAGTCAAACGTCAAGCCGACTCCATATACTGGCTCCAAAGTGGTCGATTTTCCTGTAATACATTTCTTTCTAAAAACGGTAAAAAAAAAAAAAAATTAGAAAGCCGACCGTAGATTTCAAGATTTTTGGGTCGGTCGGAAAGGGCAATACAACATCTTTTTTTGTTAGGCATTATAGAAAACTCTCTTAAAATAATATCATTATCATTAATAAAATCTCACAAAATATAGTGGTGCTCTTATAAAGCCCCTGACTGCACTACTTATAGCTACGTGCGCCCTCTTTATAGCAAACAGAGCTGATTTGATGAGATAACCACTTGTCAGTGACCTTGCATGGAGGTCTAATCCCTCCTGGCCAAACTAGGGCAGATGGGCTTTAAAAGACTTATTAACCTCTTCCCCCAAAACGTGATAAGTCATTCACGACCCCCCCCCCCCCCCCCCACCTCCTCTATAATGTGTAATGTAAAACCAAGGGGGTGTTTCACAAAGATCCTAAGTAGAACTTAAGACTAAGTTGGACTTAAAAATTATGGACAGCCATTGGAGCCTTAAAATGAAATATATTCAAAAGCAGAAATTCAAGAATTTTTGATTTTTTTTTTATAAATTCCACATCAAGAACATGAAATTTCCTTGATGATAGAAAATATGAATGATTTGAATCTACATTTTTATGCCTTTCAAAATAACTTTTACAAAATATTTTCAAAGATGCTAACGGCTTTCCATAATTTTTAAGTCCAACTTAGAGATAAGTTGAACTTAGAATCTTTGTGAAACACCCCCCTGGACCCTATTTTTTTTTTTAGTTCTTGATTGGCCTATATACTGTCGGTCTCATTGATGTGACTGTTTACATATTACACTGAGCTTAGACCCCATCGTTAGCCCACCGGCTCAGTCAGTAGAGCGTCCGCCTCACAACCGGGAGGTCGTGGGTTCGAACCCCGGCCGCGTCATACCAAAAGACGTTAAAAGATGGGAGTCGTTGCTACCTTGTTTGGCATTCAACAATAAGGGATAGAGCAACGTCGATCTGGCGCTGCTCAGTGGCTGCCGGGCTCACGATCAATTGGGCAAAAAGAATTTCCGTTTCGGTTTAATAAAATTTGGAGTGGACTGTTAGGCTATTATCATTATTATTACCGTGGTTTGTAGCAGCTCGGTCACAGATTTGTGTATAGACATCAGTGTCTTTGATGGCGGCAAAGGCCTTATTCCACCAGACGTTAACGGAGCTATCCATTCGAGACATCATGGAACCTCCTCCCTTGACGCAGTTGGTGATAATTTGCCCCACCGTTTCCACTGTGTTATCACCTGCATACAAGTTGGTGTTGGAAAAACCTGCTGCCACCTTTAGAAGAAATAGGAAGTAATAATTGTTCATCGTAAAACTGACGTACCAGGCCAGGTTATTGCTATATATTACCTTTGATCAAAATTACAAGCCAAACAACACAAAACCGCATTTTTATGATGAAACTGACGTTATGAGAAATACATTTTGAGTGGGAGATACTTTGATGATATTGTAGCAACCAATATTATTATTAATGTCATCATAATAATTCATTACAGTAACACCTATTGGATATTATACACGGGATCGGGTGGCTATAGTTGGCGCCAGTATCTTTGTTAGGGGACACTGTTCTAAAACATTTCTGACAAGCAAATAGAATAAAAGATCTCGTATAATAATTACTGAAGCGTTACCTGCCTCTAAAATCTCTGGTACAGGAAACAGGAAAGTTTCGGAGTTATTTTTGGTTTAAGGGCATGCTTTTTAGTAAATCGTATTGGGTGATCGATAATCGCATATAACTCATGTTTGTGTCTAAGTAATACTGTAAAATCATTTCTACAATAAATTTCATCGTCATACTGCTTAGTATTTCGATAACTGTAGGTATGTGTTTTTGCTTATTCGTTGACATACATTCAATATGATAGTGTAGTTATTTGGGGTGGCTATATACTGGCTCTATTCAGTATTCAGAGTTGGAAACAATATGATCACGATGGTGATAAGTATAACGTACTCTAATGAGTGGTATACATGTTATAATTATCATTCTCAAACTGATCTGAAGAGGGAATGCATACTTACGTCGCCATCAAGGATTGCAGATTTAAGTGCTCCACTGGTAGCATAATGCATCAATTGAGACGTCGCAAGTGGAACACCCTGGAAATAATTTTAAAAATATAAACAAGTATACATCTACATCGATTGATCAAGAATAAATTAGTAAATCTTAGCACTACGAAGATCTTTGAATCTTCATCCGGCAATTTTCTTCTTCTAATAGCTTTTGAAGTAGCACTACTATTCATCTGGAAGAAGACAAGAGTACATTATGGTATAGACCCGGGTATTTATTTTCAGACGTAATCATTGTGAATTGACCATTAAAGTTTATTACAACCTCCGGTATACCTCCTAGAACTATGATTTCCGCGGGAGATCATTGTGAAAAGCTAATTATAAATGTTGTATCTTTGTATGACTTTTCCCGCTTTCTTTCTTTCTTTTGTCTCTCTTTCTCTATCTCTCTCTCTCTCTCTCTCCCTTCACCTTCTCCTCCTTTCTTTCACCCTCCCTGTCTCTCTCCCCCTCCCTCTCCTTCTCTGTCTCTCCCTCCCGCCATCCTTATCTCTCCCCCACGTTTATCCCCCGAACGCCTCCCCCTCCCTCTCTCTCTCTCTCTCTCTAAAAAAAAAATAATATAATATCTCCCTTCACCTTCTCACTCACTCTCTCTTCACCTTCTCTCTCACTCTCTCATCCTCTCTATCTCCTCCTCCCTCAATCCTTTTTTTTTTGCTCTTCCCCTCTCCCCCTCTCCCTCTCGTTCTCTAACTCTCTCTAGTCTAGAGCTAGTCTCGCTTCATTCATCCATTTTATATATTTTATACCTGTATCGTGTCGGTGTTCCGAGCCAAGCAGTACTCGTCTGAAGCCCATCCGCTCCCGAAACCGATCTTCTGATCAGATCGGATATTGGTCGGATCGAAGCTGTCTGGATTTCCAGGTCTGACGTAAAAGGTCCCACTGAGACCAAGGCGGAATTCGTCTGAGAACTGCACTGTTAGGGCCCGCTCGTAGGTATTGAACCATCCTGATGAGAGATATGGAAATTGTAAAAAGAGGGTGTTCAGAAGGTAGAAAATTTATTTTGACCGCCTTGATTGATTTTAATTTACTTTCATGCACATAATGAACAAGTATGAATATCATTTTAATACAAAAGTTTGAATATGATTTTTGCGTTTCACATTACTGAATAAAAGCACAAAATTAATTGTACACTCAGAACATCATCTCTAGGAAGTGAAAAATACGGAATAATTGTTAACACTGTAAATCATAAATAACTGAACAAAATCATTTTTGTACTAACTGATACAAATTAAGGTGTAATTTTTTTCTTTTTAAATTGATGTTGTTGACATGCATTAGTTAAATAGTAATCAATAGTTATTATGATCACTATCAAGCCAAGTGTGCTGACTGAATCCCCCCCCCCCCCCCCTCTCTCTCTCTCTCTCTCCCTCTCTCTAAAAAAGGCCATGATTTATTTTTAGCCTAGTCAATTTATTCGGCACAATTTAATGTTTCTTTTTTTAAAACACAGAATTTGAAAGGAAAAGTAAAAAACTGATTGCAAGCCCATCTTACCGGTGCAGGCATCATACCACCGCGCCATGAGTCCAAAGCCCCCACGGGAACGTTGCCCAGCCTCTGAGTCCCAGCAATTCTCGTACACATCCCACACTAGTCGGCAGTCCTTATTCGCTTGAGCGCAGACTGCGGGGAGAAACAATGCCAAGGCATTTCAATAAATAATGTGGGAACAATGAATAACATTCATAACTCAATCGTTCTTGACTTTTGTTCCATGCTTAGCCTAATTCCCACCTCCGATCATCCTTCCATTTTGGTATCTTCTTTTCTTGTCACTCCAAGGGATATCAAACTATAAACAAACCCCTGCCAAATATAGTACTTCGATGTGTATAATCAATAAATATTTTCATCGTAATAAGCATTTAAGTTCTACCCGTTTTTACTGGCTTATTTTTTTAAAATCACTAATCTTAGATATTACAGATCATTCGAATGTTATGTAAATAGTTTTGTCGTTCATTAATGCTACGGTCACGAAGGTTCGCACGAACGATAATTTCATACGAATCTCCCTGTTTTTCCATTGTCTTCCCGAATTTCCATTGTCTGAAAATCGTTCGCACGGCGTTCGTAGCAGTTCGTAATGGCATTTGTGACCGAGGCTTAACTTGAATAGAATAGCTCGCATGAGGAAATATTACATTAACTCTAACAAACCTATGAAGTGCAGTCTTTCAAGAGAGGAGATATAGAAGATATATATTTGAATATTATTAACATTTGTCTTGTCTTCTTTATTGGATTGGGTTAAAGTATTAAGTTCCTCTAAAGCCTCGGTCACAAATGCCATTACGAACTGCTACGAACGCGGTACGAACGATTTTCATACAATGGAAATTCGGGAAGACAATGAAAAAACAGGGAGATTCGTACGAAATAATCGTTCGTACGAACCTTTGTCACCATAGCTTTATATATCTTTTATTGGTAACAGTTTGATGAAGTAATAAATTTATGATCATGTGAAAGTTATGGTCACATTCTGCATATTCCATTATATTTTACAGTAACTGTATATATTATGTGTAATTACATATCAATGAAAGTTTTGATTAGAGTGACAACAGAAATAGTAAACAATTATTTACCAGCATCTACGATATCCACATGAAAGCCACGAAGAGTTCCAGTAGTATCATCGCTGTAGATAGATTAAAATAAAATACAACATTTAAAAATATAAATTGCGGTAAAATTATCATTGATTTTTTGATTTTTGATTTCTGCATTTTTTCCATATAAAATATAACTGAATAACAAAGAACATATAAATGTAAGGTATAATACAACATAAACAAACAATAATTTCTTCATGTCAAAATGTTTTTTTTACATAATATATATAATAACGAAACTTAATATTTCCATAACATATAATCATAAATTTAAAGTATTATCCGAACTTTTCTATTGGAAAATTATCATTCAACGAAGGGTAAATATATTCACCATTTTTAGGGCGTCTTCGCAATTGTGATCAGTGATTTTGTGCATATTATTTATATTAGAAATGATGATAATGATGACAGTGATAATAACAATAACTAATAATAACAATTACGATAATAATAATAATTAAAATAGTAATGATAATGATATTGATCTTAACAACAAAATAATAATGAACACCCCCTCCTTCCCGGACTAAACACACCATTGTTCATTCATTTTAAAGTAATATGATTACCCTATTTAGCTCATTTAGACTCATATATTGCATGACCAGGGGGGTGTTTCACAAAGATCCTAAGTCGAACTAAGTTGGACTAAAAAATTATGGAGAGCCATTTGTAGTCTTGAAATTAAATATATTCAAAAGCAAAAATTCAAGTATTTTAGATTTTTCATAAATTGCAAATCAAGGACATGAAATCTCCTTAATAAAGGAAAATATGAATGATTTGAATCAACATTTTAAGCCTTTTAAAGTAACTTTTTTTAAATATTTTGAAAGATGCTAACGGCTTTCCATAACTGTTAAGTCCAACTTAGAGATAAGTTCAACTTCGGATCTTTGTGAAACACCCCTTATGCATTTCTTTACAATCTGCCCCCAACTATCTGTCAGCTCAATACGTACATGTATTCAATGTTAGTCCCGTCATGCCCGATGGCGAAAGTCCAGATGTCCCCTCCAGAAATAGACGCGGAAGAATCTTTAAATATAAAGAAGTGTTGTGAAAGGTTATAATTATGTTTTTATACAGTCATCTTTTCCTGTCGTCACATTCATATTTCGCATTCTCGATGTTATTGAATTGATTTTTTTTCCTGCAACATACAAATCATATAACATTTCCGTGATACAACATAATTATACAAAATATAACACATTTGTTGAAAGTGTACACAATAAAATAATAATAGAAAGTTTGACATTAAAACAAAATGCAACTGATAACACACTAACAAGAATAATATATTCATTAAGAAATCTGCAGAAGAAGGGCTACCATACAAGCGCTTGTTTGATAACGTGATAGCCTGTGGTGGGGAAGGGGTGGTTGATTTAAAAAAAAAAAATGGTGATGGTGATGATGATGATGATGAAGATGATGATGTTAATGATAATAATGATGAAGAAAATGAAAATATGTTGATGTTAATATGTCTGACACAGAAAATTTCATTAAGACTTCATTCAGCACTGGGAAAAGATCAACAATGTACTCTGACATAAATGCTTTCTTCGTACTAAATTTAAATAAAATGTGCTTTACTTGATTGTATTGACTCTCGGAGTGATTCCATATTAATCTGGACCATGACTTCTTATTGATTTATGCAGGATAAATAATATAGGATTTATCAAATGAAACTTTGATGAATTCCGAGTAAGGTAAGAAAAGAGATTAATAGATCAGGAAGCAGGTTAATATCAAAATATTGTCAATGTTTTTTTTTTTAAATAAGAGGTTTGTATGGGCTAAATAATCGGAGCCAGCACATTATGCAAAGAATTACGCTCGCTGTCGCCTCATTCACATTTTTCTATATATTTATTCTCCTCTCCTCTTTTCTCCCCCTCTTCCTCGTCCTCACCTTCTATTATTTTCAATGTCTTTCGAGTCTATGCATTGTATGGCAATGTAGTAATCCCCAGAAAGTAGCCTACATACACGTATTATATTCATGTCTGTGCTAAAATATGATTTTCAGCTCAAAAAAATGTCTGTAAACAACCATTGTAGTGTATTCGCATGGATAACCCTCTACAAAAAAAGAAACCGCGTATAGTCATGCAGGTAACCACGATGAAAAGAAAGATATGAATTCAATCGATTTTTACTGGGCGATGGGGGTGTTGTCTCCTAAGTTTTTTTTTTTCTTCTTTTTGGTTGAAAATATGGTATCACAACCTGCAAACGCACATAAGAGCGCAAACACACGCACACACACAACACACACAAGGCGCACCTATGTACACAATATTCAAGTGAGTACATCAAGTAGATGGAACAAACATAACCACTATTTTTTCCATAGTTCTATGCTGTCATTGTGTGTGTAAAAAGACCCCCAAAAGGTGGTCTAGGCATGGTACATTTAGAATCAAAGGTTCGGTCGCTTAAGATATCGTGGATAAATAGGTTACCAGAAGAAAGTGAACGTAGTTGGAAAGTTCTTTTTAGATATTATCTCTCTAAAGATGGAGAGATCCCTTTATGTTTTTAATATAATACTTCTTTGAAAGATATGGATCATCTTTGTTAAAAAAAGTAACCTAGTGTCTATCTTGACTTTCTATGCATTTGGTAGATGATAAGGTATGTTGGTTTATTTGAAGTAAATAATATTGAAAATCAAATTCTATGTAACAATAGTAATACAAAATGTGATACTCATATGCTGATATTCAACAATTGGAATCAGACTGGTGTAGTGAGAGTAGAAAATGTGATTAGAGACGGTAAATGGAAGGAACCGTGTGTTCTAAACAACTCAATATATTCCTCTCAGTTATTATTTGATGTGAAATATGCAATCCTTTCCTGTTTACTTTTTGAATAAGATGAGATCTAGAAAAAATACAATTGAATGCAAACGAAAGGAAGATGATTTAATTACACTTAAAACAGGAGATGATATAACTCTTCTATAACTACAAACAAAATATCAATATTGAATGCAATAGTGAATTCTGAAGAACCGTCAGCTATATCATTTTGGTCTAATGTTTTGTCATTAATTACCAGACTCCTTCAGTTGGAAATTTATTTTTTCAGTTCAAAATGTGTACAATTAGGGATAACAGGATATGTTCAATCTTATTTTCAACATAGCACAATATACAGTCTATCGAAATTATATAAAATGTACATTCAAAGGTAAACAAATACAACTCAAAGCCTTTATGGTTTGATTTTAAGTTTATGGTGAAATCCTATTTGTAAAGTGTAAGTAACTATAAATTTGGAACAGAAGGTGAAATTCAAAAAATTCTATCAATGGTTGATGTAAAAATTTGATTTAAAAAAAATTTGTATGTATAGGGCGTATATGTAATTGCTAATACATACCTCGATAGTGGATAAGAAGAAAAAATCATAGTTAGGCATGGAGATGTAAATGAGAATATATAGTAAACTTCAGGCTTACCTTGTTGTTCAGCGGTTGCATCCTGATTAATGATGATATTCGGCGACTCCGAACTACCATCACCACCACCACCACTCCGCCCAAGGCTCACTGCGGCGATGACGAGAGCGACGATCCCGATGATCAGCCCGATGACGAGAACAACGATGAGTAATGACGACGACGACGACTGCGATTCATTTTTCTTCGGCTCCTCGTGAATGATAGCTCTGACATCAGAAACACTACTCAGCTCAACATCTTTGCTCGACATGGTTATTTTATATCACGGGCCTAACTCCCAACAGAAAATCTTTAGCTTGCCTTGAGAAATCTACTTTTGGGGGATAACACTAGTTCATCAAAATGTGCAGTTAGAATATGATATATGAATACGATGGTAATGATACAGCAGCTGGACACACCCACCTCTGCACTTGTTTTTCCCTCGAGTCAACAAGATCCCTGGTACTCGGTTTATTGTTCCCAACTGCTCTCTTTTCATACTCGATATGCTATTGAAATCTAGCTCACTAAAGCTACAGGAAAGTTTGAGGGGACATAATGTGTTTAGCTGAGCGAATGATAACCCGTTCCAGATCAAACATAAGAACAACAAACATTTAGCATGGCATGCTATGTTTTATATAACTTCCATCCGCGATCCACTTCAATTTTCAAAATATATGAAAATGTTATGAACATCTGACCAATTGGTTCCGTTACGAACAAGATCTTGATAATACTGTACATTAAACATTGATTATTTGTATTATTATTCGTAATAGTTTACATTCTCATGATCAATACGTTTTGACTTACTCTCGGATATGAGATGCATACTTTTTTTTTAAATATACGATCACATAATGTTCATAATATTCAAATTGGCACGAAATAAATAATCAAAAGTGCGTGGTTATTGATGCTATTTTTACCCGAATAATATGGTTTCCTAAAGTGAAAGATGTCATGAAAACTAGAAGTTCCTCTTTGGTTCAAAATTTCTTAAAGTGTCATTATTCCTATATTGACATCCGAATATCGTCGCTGGATACATAATTTATATGAGGTATATGATCAGCAGACGAATTTCCATTAAACAGAATGATTACATTGATGGTCGAATTAAATTATGACTTGCCGTCTAAACACCACCCAGCAACAACAAAAACTCCCGACAAAGAATTTGTAAAGTCTAACTACAAGCCCATGATACAGCAAAATTAAACAATATAAAAAATAGTTACCTGCGCGTTTCCAAGTATTATTTCATTGCAAACTGTTTTTTCCAACCAGCCATCCATGACTTTTTGAATCCCTAGATGCATTGTCAATTTAAGCACAAAGGACTCTTCACGGGCCAGGAGCATTTCTTTTCATTAGAAATCTTCAGAATCTCAGTTGAACTAGGTCAACAGTAAATGCCAACATAAATGTTAAGGCAGTAAGATGGTCTATTATGAAATGTTTATGTTGTATATATTTTGATGACAAAATAAAGGTAATAAATAAAATTTTAAAAGTTTTGCACACTCATAATAATTTACGATAATTGGGCATGACACACCAGCCTCCTGACAAATTTGGTCCCGTGTGCCTATGCGTCCATTATCTTGCAGTACTGTCGACGTTGCTAACGTTTTTGGACGGCCCATCGAAAGATATAATTCAAACATTTACAGCCAGTCCCATATCATACAAAGATTATTAAATGATTTTCAGATATGATATTGGTCTTATTTCATTGTTTACACCATCTCATGCGGAATTCGTTAATTTTCGTTATTCTCCTGCATGCTGGTATATGCAGGAAGCTGCCCTTACCTCTCATTGCCGATGTAGCCTATAGGTCATGCCTCCCCTCCAAATTACCTATTCGAGATGTATATTCCACTTACAGTTTGCCAAGGGCAACAATATCATAATACATGTAGTCAACAAGCTCGAATCACACAAAAGATATCCTTCACTGCTCAACCAAAAAACAAGATTCTTTTGTCATTTTTGTAAAGTATAGTTGTTAACAATTATTTGTGTCTCTCTGCAGACATAAAGTATATTGAACGAAAATGGCGTGTAAAGAGAAGAGACAGTAGGGACTTTTAGATTCTGCACGACGAGAACGCGGACTGCCCTTTTAAGGCAATGTGACGTCACTGCCAGTGCCTTACAAGGACGTCACATTGCCTTTAAAGGGCAGTCCACGTTCTCGTCGTGCAGAATCTAAAAGTCCCTATTAACTGTTTTTCACTGTCTGAACACGATCTGCTGCTCAAACCAGGGTTTAATTCCTCAGTAATGTTTGCTCCATATACGACATTGTCATCATCTCTTTGATCACACCTCGTTTAGAGGAGAATCCCTTTAGCATTGTCTAGCCTTTGCTTACAAAAACTATACATTTCTATGATTTCTAAAAGGTACATATTTATTTCTCGGTCTTTTTTTTACCCAGGTGCCTATACTCAATTGTACATTCTAAAGGGGCGTGAATTACTGGGAAACGGCCGTTTTGTGTTCGTGGGTCATGTAGAGTTAAAGAAAAGAAGAGTTTCGCTCATGATAATACAGTTGTAGATAATTGTTACATAGTAAATGAGTTTCAAACCAAGAGTGAGGAAATATGAAATAATGTTGGAGAATTTGCGTAACCACAAAAGAAATATTGGTACATTCAAATCACAGAACAATGTACCCGCTTGCCTCACACGCAATGCAAGTTTTATTGCTTCAGTTTACTTTATTTATGGTAGGATGCTCGGCCCTCTATGTTGATGCAAATCCTGGCTGCTTTGTTTGATATTGCAACTAGTTAGAAGTGGGTCTGGTCGAGAGTCTAAGGTCATTTTCGAGAGAATCCCAAATTGATTATCTTTTCTTTTTGATTTTTGTGTAATTATATTTTTAAATACCCTGAATTTTTTCAATTTTGCACTGGCCACTGTACAAGCAAACATGATCGAGAGCTCAATTAGCATTAGATCATAGTCGATATCGATATTGTTACGCAGTAATCATTAATCTGATCACATCTTTCAAAATTTTATTAAATTCTTTATCATTTATTTCTTTTCATCATCAGCAACAGTCATGTTCCTCTTATTTTGATGATTTAACCAAATCTAACATGCAACAGACAATGCACGGGAGATGAAGTGCTACCATCCTGATCCTCATCGGAGCCATCTATACATGAGTTTCGCAACCTTGGTTTCAGTTCGTCACAACATGGCATGTATTCTCTTGTTAAATGTGCTTGCCCGACATAGCGGTATTCTCGATGTTGTGCGCAACTCGAACCGGGTTTAATAGCCGAACTCTCCTAATCAATGGCTCTTGACTCTCCTCACCGTAGATGACCCCATTGTCGAATCATTATTAACTAGTTGGAAGAGCCGTCTGTGGTGCCTTGATGCATTCTTTTTAATTGACTGGTTTGTACCCTGTATTACAAACCACCTGACACTTTTAAACCGATGTAATCCTTAGATAAACTCTTGTTCCTCACTGTGTGTAATTAACCTTTAGATTGTAAACGTTGTAATCAAGATAAGATTTATTAAGTACTCCGTATCTCGATATGTAATGAAATATCTTCACGGTTATGTACAATCCTTTCTGTAATATATGCTATTTTATCTCAGACAGTCATACGTCGAGGACATAGAGTAAGGTAAGCTGTCGCAGTTTAATTTTGTTCTTTTTCTTTTCGAAATTCAACAAAAATCATTCATCTTGTTGAAGAAAAGAAAAAGGATTGAAACAATTATTTAAAACTCACACTATCCGCCATAGTGCGCTGATTCACACTTGTAACCATTATTCCCAAATACAAGGATATACATTGAGTTGTTTTTCGCGTTGCTAGTTAACGTGAGGAAAGTTATCTCTCTGTGCCAACAAGTTCATTAAACGAATACGTTACAAAATTCTGCATCTGAGAATGATCACTATTTTCATACCAAGTGTATCTCCGATACTGAGTATAACAATAGTATGTCTATATACAACCATTAAACAGATTAGATTAAACATTAGATCATAATTTTATTCTCATGCCACTCTTCATTCTCGGGTGTGATTTCAGACCAATTCTCTTTCCCTTGCAGGTATATTGTTGAGTTACCATACCGCATTTTAAGTCACCATGAGGTTCGTCATCCTACTTTTCTTCCTCGTAACCACGGGGGTTACCATGGCAACACACTTCTACAAAGCTGATGTAGACGCCATCGATGATCAGTTCATCGTTGTCTTAAAGGTGAGAATGCATTATTTTGGGTTCATTATCTTAGGCTTTAACAAAAAAAAAAAATCATATTTGATGTATAGTAATTATATCATATCTTACAGGATGAGTAAAATAGCTGTCAGTAAAAGGAAAAGTCTTTGTAAAAGTGGTAACAGTTAAACCTTCTTGGATATAAAAATACATGTCTCATCGATAGTGAAAGTGCGATCTCACTGACGATCACCTAGATAAATGGATGTTAGATAACTCTGGTGCAAGAAATTGAAAGAGTTGGCTCAAAGTAATTTTCTTTTTAGACTTCATACATGCCTATTTCATTTCTCTATTCTTAAACCTATTTTATAAATTCTTTGAAATTGATTTGATGGTGATTTTGTAGCTACACCCTGAGTAGGTACTTGCTGTACAATGAACAAAAGTCAAATTCAAAGACAAAAGTCAAATCATCGATAGTGAAAGTGCGATCTCACTGACGATCACCTAGATAAATGGATGTTAGATAACTCTGGTGCAAGAAATTTAAAGAGTTGGCTCAAAGTAATTTTCTTTTTAGACCTCATACAGGCCTATTTTGATTTTCTTATTCTTAAACTTATTTGATAAATCCTTTGAAATCGATTTGATGGTGAATTTGTAGCTACACCCTGAGTAGGTACTTGCTGTACAATGAACAAAAGTCAAATTCAAAGAACTTTTGAAACTTCATATGGTAATCAAATTTAATCATGTTCAATTGCGTGATCTTTCCTCGTCCCTCTGTCACTTAACTTGCGGGAGACGTGTATCTAATTGGTTTAATTACAAATTGGTGCGAAATATGTAATGGCTACATTTCAATTCCCTACTGGTGATGTCGAGGGACTGTTATCTCCTTTAGACAAATAAAGTCGTTAACAAAACAAAGTAATCACTATTAGCCATTATTTGAATAAATATAATGGGTTATCTTATTTTCGACCTGTTTGGACCCTACTTTTGTATAAACATAAAACTATATAGGTTCTTTGCTAATTGCATTCACAATTGCCCATTTCCCTAATATAGCTTGCTTTAGACAAAAAAATCTATCACATAGCTTTTGTATATACGATTAACTTATTACACACCAAACAAATTGACCAATAATTAAATAAAAGAGGGCGGTGTATCAAAGGCCTATCGTAGGTTAATTGCTTTGAAAGATCTTAATATTGTTAGTGAATATAATTGCCATTTGGTGTAATCCTTCAACAATCATGAAAACGAATCCTTAACAGTCGTTTGAATATCGGGGCTTGTAATTTAAGAAAAAGTAGGGTTCCAGAGATGATGGAACATAATTTGTAAGTTTTCTCATTTGTATATGATAGTTTTTGAAGAATCTCTCTCCCTCTCTCTGGTGCTCTGCTGTACAGCAGGTTTTATACAGGAAAAAACACTCCTTTTTTCTGTCTTGAGCTCTTTATTTCATCTTTTGGTTTGAAGAATACCATAGAAGAAAATCCCCTTAAAACGATTGCTCTTTAAATTTCCCCTTATTAGAAATATCATTAAAATGGCTGCAAAATTAGGACCAAATTTTCTTTCATATTCAGCTTTTTTGGGAAAGGGTCTGCAGACCTCGATCACCGAATATGAACAGTACAGCAGTATTCTCCTTACATGATAAGTTTTGGACAAAACTATATGGCCTTTCACGTGGCATGTATCTAATAATTAAATAACTTTAACTGAAACATTTGAAGTATGAAATGTCACGATAAGAATCCTTTGATAATTTAAAATGTTCTTTATTAAATCCCTTGCTCAGGATGGAATCGAACTTGAACCAGTTATTCACAAGTTTCTAGCTGACACCCACTCCGAAAGCATCCTGGCATCCATCAAGCTACGCTACCAGAATCTTCTCACTGGGTTCGTTACCAAGGTTACGGATAGGAGCCGCGCCTTGCAACTGGTGAATGAAAATTGGTGTATCATTGTTTTGTCTGCTTCACATTAATTTCATCCTTTCTCTCTCATTTACCCATTCTTAACCATTCTATCAATTTTTGCGTGTGTTTCATTTCCCTTCCCGCTTTCATTTTGTGTCTTTGTCTCTGTCTTTCTCTTTCCCTATATGCACTGTATTATCGACCATTTTCCTTCATTAAATAGAATTAAGAATTTAATATTTCAGTGCAACATTGATTTTCGTTCGTATACGTATAGTGCTTAATGTATGCGCGCGTGTGTGTGTGTGTGTGTTTTATCATTGTTTCTAACTATATGTACATATTTTGATTCCGCTGGTAAACTTGTCAGAGCAATGATAAGAAACGCGGTAAAATAATGTCGCTGTAGACACATAGTTGACACGTCATTGATTACCAATAACTGATATGTCGTCCTCATTGATTTATACCAAAAACTAATATTATGTTGTTATTCTTCCTGAATCTCTTTTTAGTTGATGGCCCTACCTGGGGTTGACTACATTGAACAGGATAAAATAATTCGAGCCAATGCGGTAGCTGGATCATGGGGAGTTGATAGAATCGACCAAAGAGACTTGCCACTTAATGATGACATGACTATTAATAGTAAGTTAATATTTTACCCAAACTGCTGTTCAAAGAACCCATACTAGTAGTAGGTCAGTGAGATGTGAAATAATGATAAGGAGAAGTACTCGTGTATCATCAGTTCTTCTATCCTACTTTAAAATTAAACAAATTAACTATGCCGAATGGTTGTCCTAGTCATCTGCCGTGGGTAGGTTTCTTGTGCTCAAAATGTGAATAAATCTCAGGAAATAGATACGACCTACTGAATGTTGATATTTCCAGGGGCGTAGACAACGGGGGGGATGAGGGGGATGCATCCCCCCCACCTCACAAGGTGGGGGGGATGGCATGTACAATCATCCCCCCCAGGTTTTGGGGAATGATATTTGCTTACTTAATAAGTCATAATGATGATAATAATATTAATAATAATAATCATTATGATGATGATAATAATAATCCTCATCATTATTGTAATTGTGTTTATTGTTATTAGCCGCATTCACACGGTGAAAGCCAATTCAGACGGTAAAAAAAAGAAAATCTTACAAGTATTTTGTGGTTATCTTGTGGTTTGGAAACCAGAAGATAACCACAAGATTAAACAGGCACGGATCTACGGAGGGGGGGGGGGGGAGTTAGGGGGTTTAGGGGGTTTAAACCCCCCCCCCCCTTGGGCGGCCCAAAAAACAAACAAAACAAAAACAGGAAAAAAAAAGAAAAAAAGAAAGAAAAAAGAACGCACGCTGGATAGAAACCCTTTCAAGTGCAAATATTGTGAGAAGATATTCAACTCATCTGGTAACTTAACCAAACACATGATAACTCTAGATATAACTGTGTATTTAACTGTTACTTGATTTAAAAAGACGTTATCATGCACTGCTTTTTATGGTCTCCATTGTGTTAATAGATGCCAGGAAAACATCACTTACGGGGTTCAAAATAATAAACACCCCCAAAAAAATCGGCTCGCCGCTTCGCGGCTCGTGGACGATGCTCCGCATCGTCATTATTTTGGTCAACCCCCCCCCCTTAGCAAAAAGCTAGATCCGCCCCTGAGTCATCCCCCCCAGGTGTACGAACCTGTCTACGCCACTGGATATTTCGGACAGGTTTAACAGCAGTCGAATTACTACACCTCTTCCTCTCTTCTCCAGAAAGATAGGACGTTTCTTTATGTTCATACCAAACCTCCTTCTCATGAGTTTGTCCGAAAACTATTGTAGAGGATAATGTATGCCTTTTCTCCATTTGTCTTTATTTATTATTTATTTATTTTATTTTTTTGAATTTTATTTATTATTATTATTATTATTATTATTTTTTTTTTTTAAATTATTATCATTATTATTATTATTATTATTTTTTTTTAAATTTATTTATTATTATTATTATTATTATTTTTTTTTTTTTTTGGGGGGGGGGGGCGCCATAGTGTTTTTTTTCTTCTATTAGCACATTTTTCCTCGGAATATTATGCAGTCCCATGCACCATCCTGTCAATGTTATGTCAACGCCCTTTATACATTACTGATAAGGAACTGCGTCACTATGCTTCCACATTGATTCAGTGAGAATGTGGAGGACTGCGTTTGTCAGAAATATCTTTTCTTTCTGTATAATTATTATTCATCATTAGGCTATGGAAAGGATGTCAATGTGTACATCATCGATACCGGTATCAACCCAGACCATGAGGACTTCGGAGGTCGGGGAATGCCCGTCATGGACTTCGTTGAGCCAGACAATGGAGTAAGCCTATTTTCAAAACCTAAACATATTCATTTAAAAAAAAAGTTTAAAAGTTCTTGGCATTCTTCGACTCATAATTCGTAAAATGCAGATGATGCGTTCTGGAAACACACCACCTGCAATGGAGGTGTTGGTGGGGATGGGGATGGGGGAAGTGGCGTATCCAGCATTCGGTGACCCTTGCTTCTTGAAGGGCCAGGAAAAACTCAGAGAAATTTACTATGGGGTATACAAGAAAGGGGCTGCCCAGATATATTAACTGTATCCTCCTTTTGAGAGGATGACGACCCTCTCCTTTATCAATCACTGGATACGCCAATTTGGCTGAGTACAGCTAGGTATAGGGTTAGAGATCAAATGATTGCTCAAATAAATTATTTATATTTAACAGAACATATGGCATAACTGCCTGATTTCTACTTTGATCCAATCCAAGGCTGAAACATTTTAGCGCAAACTAATTTTCGCGAGTTTTTTTTCGAAATTAGCCAATAATTCTCACTCAAGCGTAAAATATTGTCAATACTTTATTTTTAGTGGCATCCGATTGAATAGACCTTCACCCATTTTTTTCGTAAGAAAAATAATGAAGTTGTCAAAACAAAAAAAAATCGGAGGATGTTTTAAAGCGTGTACAACAAAACCGACAACAGACCGAACGAAAAAAAAAATGATCATACCTCAAATGGTCGGTTTGAAGTCGTTTTTAGGGTCAGTCTGACATTTTGTAAGTTTGGTGAATTGAGTTTGATAAAGTTGAGTGAAGTTAATGGTGACATGATGAATGGGTAAAATGTTGGTTAAATGGTCTTCCTATATATTGCACGACAGGCTATCGACTGTAACGGACATGGAACCCACTGTGCAGGTACGGTGGGTAGCAACACCTATGGTATCGCACGTGAAGCCAACCTTTATGGTATCAGAATCCTGAGTTGCAGTGGTTCTGGAGCCGTCAGCTCATCAGTTGCAGGTATTATACTTGATGTATGCATGCAGACCTGAGATGTTGAAAAGAACAATTTAGTGCACTTAATTATGAACAGTCCCATGCCTTTGTTGTATGAACATAATGTCCTTTGACATTAACTAGGAAAAAGCTAATGCGTGATGTACAATGACACTAAATACTAAAAATGCATGGTTAATGAATTTCTACTTAATTTCCTTCTCAACGCATCACCAATCAAAAATTAATCACAATGCGGATAGTTCACTTTAAAAGTTGATGTTATAGGCCCTCGATTTGAAATATGACCAATATTTCTCGCATTGAGCAATGGAATGGCTGGCAGTTGAAGGCAAAAGACCAACCGTGGCATCAATGTCGTACAGAAGGTTCTATTCGCCAAGTGAGATGCGGGCGACAAAAAGGGCAAAGGAAATGGGTGTGGTCCTCGATCGTGACTTCAACCGGGACAGCAATGCAAATGCCTGTATCCGACCCCCCCCCCCCCCCCCCCGCTGGTAATCCAGATGTAAGTTCACATGAATTACCACTGTTCTCTCTTTTCTTGCTTAATACGACAAGCATTGGATTGGGTAGCTGTAGAGGGAAAGAGGCCAGCAGTAGCGTCAATGTCCTATGGAGGGTTCTACTCACCAACTGAGATGCGTGCTGCGGAGAGGGCCAAGGAAATGGGCGTGGTCCTGGTGGCTGCCGCTGGAAATAGTAATGACGATGCCTGTTTCTCATCCCCAGCTGGAAGCCCTGATGTAAGTTGCCGATCAAGATTTTTTTTATCAAGAATAATCCAGACTCAGGTTATACCAAGGAACTCCTACTTCAATCTAATCAGCCGGAGTAATGGACCTCAAGCTAAAGGATCCTAAAACATGTTTACCAGTTTTCATATTGTTTGATAGTTACAGTTCTAAAACTTTTGTTTTAATCTTTCTCGTGTGATGATTATTTAGGGTGTGAGTGTCCTTGATTCTATCCGGGGACTTTAGGATTGAAAGATCCTTCCAAAATATTTTCCCCCTTCTATTTCCTTCAGTGAATGTCAGAGTATAGAATAGATCAGTTGCCTGTAACCATGTTTAAAATCTAACTGTTCAATACCTGTTCAATACATGTTCATTTACACATTATACAAAACTACAATCTAATAAATATTTACAATATTTACAAATTCCAAATCTCTCTTTCTCCTGTTATGCTCCTACAACTGAATGATTTATGCTTGTAACAGTTCTCACCTGTTTCATCCTATTCTTCTTCTTCTCCTCTTACCAGGTGATTACCGTTGGTTCCTCAGACAGTCAAGATAGTCGTTCCTCCTTCTCCTGTTATGGAAGATGCGTCCAACTCTTCGCCCCAGGCTCCAGCATCACCAGCCTGGCCCACGACTCGAACGATGGAACCAAAACCTACAGTGGGACGAGCATGGCATGCCCCCATGTTGCCGGTGAGCCATTAGATTTCCTAGTAAAATAAGCCTTTGTATATTGTTGTCAACTTAAGATCAGCAGTATCAAGTTCCTTCTTATGAGGAACTGCAAACAAACGAAAGCACGACTTCATTCTTGGGTTTTGTTCATCATAATTCCTTGAACTTCTTGGCCTGTTGCTTTATGAACCAACAGTAATTTCCTTTGCTGGAAATGAATAATCATATCACCATATGAGTGCACTGTGGTATATTGGTGAAGAATTTTCACTCTCATACAACATGAGAGGTACTTGTTCCATGCTCACAGTCATGTTTATCACTGAACAAGGTGTTTTACCCACATCTTTCCCTCTCGACATAGATATTGCAGGGCCAAGTAAAACAAGACTAGGGCCTATATCATTATTTTTTAGAACCGATATAATTGTAGAATGCGTATAACTCTTTATTTCATTACTTTGTTCCACCAATAGGCATTGCAGCCGTACTGCTAGGCCAGGGTTACTCAGCTCAACAGGTCTATGAGAAGATTGTCAGTTCTGCAACCTTTGGCAAGATTGCCAACCCTAACGGAACCCCTAACCTGCTGGCCTATCTCGATTAAATCCATCTGCTGACAATAAAGAATTATGTCGCTTTTGAATTTCCTCCATTGTAATGCTAATCACAATTGACTAAAATTGTCATTAAAAGGTCTAAAACACAACCGCAGAATAAACAACGGTAAGTTTTATAAACGTGAGTGCTGTCACAACAAATTGATGGCATTCTAGTGAATTTTTTGCACAAATTAAGTACTCAAACAGTATTCGTGAGATAAAAGAGCATTTGAATTTCAACAGGTTTATAAAGTTCGTAGATTGAATTCCTCTTGGTACAGATGAGGTTGAATAAACAAACGACCTTTAGTCATAAGCATAATTCTAAGTACTTTTCTTTCAAATGCGTTAAATAGAGCGAGACCTTAAACAAACGCGACATAATACATGGTTGTATACTGTGAGAAATATTTTACTGATCGATGGATCGAGGTGCTGGATTGCGAATCATTTCAAGGATATCTGGTTTGATCCATGGACTCATGTGTATTGTTTTGTGTGAACAATAAAGGAAATCAATGATGAAAGGCATTTATCGTTTAATGTATCAAAATAGTGAGCAATGGAGTGACCAGTCCGAATCTGAGAGTGTAACTTCATGAAAAATAATTCGTTATGATGCATTTCCGAAAGAGTGTTTAAACTGCAATTAATCAAAAGTTTATCATTCATTAGTTAAACATGTTTTAAGTTAAAACAATCATTATTCTATCTTATGTATTCTCATTACATCGACACCCTGATTTAATACATGTACATGTAAATCACTACAACTTTACATTCTGCCTCTAATGTAATAGTCGAGAGTTCTTCCGGATGGGGTCAAGGGGCCCGCATGGACAGACGCCCTGACTGGTTCCAGGGGCGGAGCCCCCGTGCGCTCTTGAGTTTTTAACAATTTTAAACCTTCAAGATGGCCGTAACGAGAGATATGAATTGTAATAATTCTCCTTGAAATTCATTCAGTCAGTCCTTCATTCGCCCCCATGATCCGTTACTGATTTATACATTTACCCACGCATTTTATAGGCATAGGTTGCGTTAATGACCCGTTACTATTTAGATTTTTTTCCATATCTCTCTCTCTCTCTCTCTCTCTCTCTCTCTCTTTCCCTCCCTTTACATTCTTCTTCTCTAAGTTGACCCTTTTCCCCTCTTGTTCCCCCATTTTTCTTCTGTCGCGCTTTCTTCCCCCTTAGGTTACCATCTCGCAGCCAGGAATTGACTAAACTAAGCCCTAACGTAATTACATTCATTAAACAAGGGCACGTGCCTGGGTGTGCCGTTCGCCTACAGTTAAAGTGGCAGGGCCCGGTAGCGTTATTTTTTTGGCGGCACAGATTGGGGTTAGGTGCGTGTTGAGCCTATGGGAAAGTTTAGGGTTAGGGTTAGGGTTAGGGTTAAATCAAGACCTCTTTTTTTTTAAAAGCCACAATCTGTGCCGCAGAAAAAATGACGCGGCCCGGTAGGCTCATAATTCACAAGTCACCATCTCGCATCCAGGAATTGACTACACTAAACCATAAACCTAATTACATTCATTAAAAAGAGCATGTGCATGGGTATGCCGTTCACCTACAGTTTAAAGGGCAGGGGCAGGAAGCATCATCATTCACATGCAGGAATTAGCTGTACTAAACCCTAACCCACATACATTAAATACAAAAAGAGCATCTGACTAGGTGTGTGGTTCACCAGCAGATTAAGGAGCAGTTCCCGGTAGGCTAACCATTAACATGCTACCATCTGCCAACCAAAATAAACTACACTAAGCCCTAACCTATATAGTTACATACAATTAAAAAGATGTTTAAAAAAAATATTTAGAAAAATAAAAAAATAAACACCTAGCTGGCTCACCTATCCAGTTTAAGGGACAGGACCCGGTAGGCTCATCATAATGTAATTTGAATTGCAAACATATGGATATAAATGTCCAAAGTAATGTGGATACGTACATACCACATAAAACCGAAATAAACTGAATGCCACTACTACATGTACAACAAAATTACACCCATATAAATTTTAAGAGTTGCCCTATTAATACAACGTATTGTAAGCAGTATACACTATCTTCGTACAGCGCATGTTGCCTAAAATGGTGCCAAATTTTTGGCGGCGGAATTGTTGAAGAGCCGAGGAACGGCATTAAATATGAAAATTCTCCGCATAACCAGGCTCTTTTGAATATGACATCACATGCCAACGATGACTTCATGAGCAAAAACTGTTGGGGGATTAGAGCAAAATCCGCATCACCACGAAGTAGCATAAGTCATGGGCGGCGGAGCATCTTCCAAAATGGGGGGGGGGGGGGGGGGGGGGGTCATCAAAAAAGGGCGCCTACATAGGGAAACATCAAATAAAAACAAAAAACAATTTGTAGACATTGGTATATACCCCTACATCGTCACGATTGTGATTACACTACCAGGGATCACATCAATGTTTTGTTCTTTCTTAACGTAGTACGATATACTGGTTAATTAAGCAACATATTTTGCAGTTGGGTGTGATGGTCTGTATATCACTTTCGAGCGACCAAAGCGAGCGAGCAAAAATTTAAAGATTTGTGAGTTCCCAGTGCGAAAAATTACATCTTAAAAAAGAAGACAAAAAACAAACACTGACGAGTATTAAGCCCAATCTAATGAAAAAAGACTGAAAAGTTCTTTTATAAGTAACATAATTATAACATCTATAAATGCGAGCGAGCGTAGCGACTGAGCTCTAGGGAAAATTAAAGAAGAAGGGGATCTAAGTCGCCTTGAATTAGGGGTGCATGTTATAGAGAAAGGAAAAGTAGGCACTTATCAAAAGGCAAAAAGGAAAATTATTAGAAAAGGAAAGGTGCTCGTGTCAAAGTAAATATGGCAATTATCAGAGGTGAAAATTGCACTTCTTGCACCTGAAGAAGGACACTCAACAGAGATGAAAAAGGCACAGATCAGATTTTGATAGGGGCATTTTGAAAAGGGGTAGAGGCTCATATAAAAAAGGAAATGGGGCACTTATCCGAAGGAAATATGGTTCTTATTTAAAGGAAAAGGGGCACGCGTCAAAATAAAAGGGGCCCTTATCAGAGGTGAAAAGTGGCATTTAAGAGACAGAGAAGGGGGTTCTTATTACGAAGGAAAAAGTACACTTATTAAAATGGAAAAGGCACGAGTCAAAGTAAAAAAAGGACAAAAATATCAGAGCTAAAAAGGGAATTTCTCGCACCTGAAAAGACGTACTCACCAAGAGAGGATGAGGACAGTTATTAGAAAAGAAAAGGGACACTTGTTCTATGCAAAAGGGGGCTTTTGAGGGGTACCTGAAAAATTGAGGGGCACAGTGCCCCCCCCCCCCCCCATCCCCCACACAGGGTGTTCCGCCTCTAGCATAATTTGGCAAATATGAGGGGGAATGGAAAATCATGTAATTTCAGCAAAATTTGTAAATCACTGGCATCGAATTAGAAAATAAACCACGTTTGATTTCTATTTTTTCTTCTTCTTTTATTTTATTTATTTTTTTTTTTTTTTTGGGGGGGTCAACTGCAATCAGTGTTCATGATCACAACATAGTTTTTTGGGGGGCTAAAGGAGACAGTTTACAATCCAGTATTCCATATGCAGCCCAACATATAATTGTAGATGTACATTCAGTGGTTAAAAAAACTTGATCAAATCCTTAAAACTTCATCTTTTCATATATATCACATTAAAATACACATATATCTCCACTCACTGCATTATTACTCTCTCTCTCTCTCTCTCTCTCTCTCTCTCTCCTGTATTACCTTAAGCGGTAGAATATTCTAGTCATGTAAGTAAAAAATATTCCAAAGAAACAATATTTCATTACCAGAACTCAAGTTTACACAAAAGTGTTACAACGATGGTAAAAAATAAAATATTAAAACCATCATCAGTATTGTCAATAAATAAGGTTTGATATTTTAAGCTTCATTTGATTACTATTCCCGGAGAAAGCCTTGTATACTATCACTTCTAATTATATGATTTACTCAATAAAAAATGAATATGATGTGCTGCAATCAATATCTCATTGGAATTTATTGACAATGTTTTGCTAAAAGGATACAGCAGTGAAACGTTTACTTTCCAATGATTAATTGTTGTAAAATTTATTACATATTCAACTTCAATTAACCGAGTGTTACAATAAAATACATTAGAAAACATTCCAAGAATAAAATTCCACAAAATACATGATCATAAACAAGGAAGACTGTGACTTATTTTGATACTTTGCTAAATAAAAATTGAAACTATCATACCTTATAAATAAAAGATCAAGTTATTATACTTTCATATTAGCACACATCATTTAAACTCAATTTGATAGCAAAAGATTTAGCAAAAATATGTATTCAAAACAACTTCTTCCTGATTTGCAATCATATTAGGCTTATCTTAACTGGAAATACAGAAAATTGAATTTTGGCAAAGTGTGGAGCTCTCATTCAATTTTTCTTGACTTCAGTTTGGCAAATTAGATAATCAACATAAATCAAGGTCCATTCAAAATTACTCTAAACTATTTACAGACTACAGGAGTGAGGGAGATGAACTTAGACAAAGAAAAAAGTTTAAAATCATAATGGAAGATGTACAAATACATGGCACACAAAAACATAAAGAGTAAAGTTTGGCATCTGAAGATCGTATAATGTAAAACAAAATCCTAGTAATGTTTACATCAAAATATCTTGCACGAAAATTAAAAACTTTAATGATAACTGAATAAATATTGCAATACATGATTCCTTTGATTTGAATAATGCACTTGTAAGGTTATTGTAATACCAATATGAGGAAGGACAAAGTTTCATCAGAATCCAAGTCAAGAGTTGGTCAGTCACAATATAAATGATCAGTTTTTTTACAATTTAGATAATACACTACCACAAGGTTGTTCTTAAACAGTGACATACTTTTTTTTCTCCAATTAGAGTGATTAGCAAATATGGGTGAACGATAATTCATACCACCTGGCTGAATCTACTTTGTATTGTTACATTTTCTATAAAGCCTTCTAAAGTTTCATTTGTGAAAAAAAGTGTCTTTACTCAAACAATGAGCAAGGCCACATTAAATATCTCATAATTTTGGTACTTACCGTTACTCATAGGAAACTAAGGCTGTCAAATTAGATACAACGTCTCAAGCAAACATCCTACAGAGAAATAAGTTTGAAAGACTTTACCCAACAAAGGGGGTTTTAATAAATACATTGTTCTTTTATATGCTACAGCACGAAAAGGCTTTTTTTTTTAAAGTACAAAAATAATATTATCACACTCAAAGAAGAGCCATCTAGAAAATAACTCATAATCAATATCTTTAAAGATAAAGTTGAGTTCTAGTCATGCGATTGCATTGTGAAAGAAATGTTGTGGAATCGTTCAGAAAAGGTTGATCATCTAGCATATAAGTATTGATGTGTACTACAAGGTTCTGGAATCATCAAAATGATAAGATATTTGGCCCAGTCTTGGTAAAGTTACAAGCACTGTACACAGAAAGATGTATATGGGACTACACAAACATGTGGCATAAAAAATCTTTCCCGATTGTTATGATGTTACATGTCATATTTGGAATATTAAGGCATTTGGAGAGCCATGCTTTTCGGGGAACATTTTTATCTGGTCTTCTTCCACACTTGCATAATAAAATGATAACGCTCACAAATTATTTTTCACCTCTTCCCAGAACTCAACCTTCTCTTTAAGCTATAAAACAATGTTTTGTTTATCTATAGCAACCAATCGAAGCTAAAGTGCATGAGAATTTATCAATATACACATTCATTCCCTCAGAAAATAGCTCCCTGAGAACAGTTGTATCTATAAAGAAAACTAGTATATAGATATATGCAATTATTTTCAACAGAATGTAGTTCTTAATAAAAATAGAATATTCTCTTTCATATCCATAGCACCATAAAATGGAACTTCGCCCTTATTAGGAAACATAAGATGACCAGTAATTTCAATTAAAGTAGAGCTTGCATGTGGAGTATAACATTTCAAAATAAAGTTTTTGTACTATTAAATCACATTCTATATTTGGAGGAAAATGAAACCAGGAGTAAAAAAAAAAGATCAGATTCCAATACTACTGGCTCAATCATTTCCTGACTCCTTCCTGTTTTGGCTGAAACCTGATTTGCCAGTGTCATAATGTATTTGTATTGAATGACTATAATATTGTTACCGTATATTTGTGTTTTTATTTCATAAAGGTATTATCCCTCCTAGTCTTTCAAACAAATTTATTTTGAATTTTGAAATACATTCATATAGAACTATATACCACTTATTAAAACGTCCGTCTCTAAAAAATTCAATTTTCTTTAAAGGAGCTACACAAAGAAAATTCACCAACATCTCATAATTAGAACAAATTACATATGGATGGAAAGATTTTCTCTTGAAAAACACGAACAATTTGCTTCACGATCATTTTGAAGTGCAATTTTTTGTAGAGCTTCAATATTACACCATATCACAGACACTGATAACAAGAAGGGTCATGCATCTTAGATTTAACATTGTTAAACGATGCCTTTAACACTACAGCCTTATTCACGAAAATGGTAATAGGGCAAAATTAAATGAAATATAAGGGAAGAGTGCTTCATATTTCTGCATTTCATAACTGGGAGGGAGATAAGTAAAAATGATTAAAAGGCCTCTTACGCACAGCTAGCTTCTCATCCCACTTGCAATTTATGTACACAATAAAATATATTTTAAATGCAGCATAATTTTTAGAGCGGTTTCCCTCCCTTGGTGTGAGCAAAGGCTTCAAAGATCAATTGAGAAATGCATTATTGAATATCACAAGATAGTGTCATCAAGATGATCCATAGTCTAGATTATACCCTCCAAGAGTGATGTGATTCTAGTGTTACCTCTGCTGTACATGAAGGGCATGTAAGGCTTCTGCTTTGGCTTTTAGAAGTATCATCTCTTCTTGAATTGCATCTGTTATCTTCTTTCTCATCTCCAACTGTTACAAAAAAGAAAAGGAAAAGAAGTGGATAGAAATATAAAGCTGTTATTCGCACTGGACAGATCTTTCAGGATATTAGTTATGTGACAAATAGCTGGAACAGCAACCTACATGTACACTAACATTTTAGCAAACAGTATTTGTGGATATACATTATATGAATACCTACCATTTACCTTCACAAAGTGAGGTTGAATATTTACTCTCACCTCTCCCCTTTAATTTTTACTTCATAAAATATGTAGCTACCCAATTTCCAAAACAAAACCACACATTGGCACTGTTGGCAGTTCAGTGTTATGCCTATTGCCTATTAAAGTATCTCAACCGCAAGGATATCAGGAACTATGCAAGATATGATTAGCCTCTAAGTACTTACAGGGGACAATAGTTCTGCCTTCATCTTTTCCACAGATTCTTTGAGGTCCATTGGTTGACCGACGATGACCGTCACTTTCTTGTTGGTACGTGGAATGTAAGGAGGGTAATTTGGTAGGATATCATCCATTCCTATATGCCATACAGGCACGACCAAGGGTACCATTGTGCATTCACTGATCAAACGACCAACACCTGATGAAAGATAGGGGTAGAGACAGAAGAAAAGTCACAGTGATTACACAAAATTTGAGCCTAGATACCACCCCTGGGGGGTGTTTCACAAAGATCCTAAGTCAAACTTAACTCTACGATAGAATTATACATTATGGAGAGCCATTTGTAGCCTTAAAATAAAATATATTCAGAAGCGAAAATTCAAGAATTTTAGACCTATTATGAATTCCACATCAAGAACATGAAATCTCCTTTATAATAGAAAATATTAATGATTTGAATCAACATTTTATACCTTTTAAAATAACCTTTACAAAATATTTTCATACATGCCACAGCTTTCCATAAATGTTCAGTCCAACTTAGAGATAAGTTCAACTTAGGATCTTTGTGGAACACTCCCCTAAAGTGTAAACATAGATAATTTTTAGCTTTTGCAATTTCAACAATAGAGAAGCAGTTGGAAAAAAAATATTTGTAGAATATTGAACAAATAAGTGGAGGCAGGATGAGCTAGCAACATCATGATATATATTTTATCTTGCTGCCTGAAATCTAAAATTCATTTAATGAACAAAATATAATAAAATGCTAATAGCATTTTATTATATTTTGTTATTTTTGTATTTTCTGATATTGATTTTTTTAAGGCAAACTGGAAGTTTTGTATTGTAAGTTAGATAAGATATAAGTCATGTTACTAAAACCCAAGCACTACATATACATTTATAGCCTGAGCTAAATTACAATTTATGACAATTGTTTTCAAATGCTTGATAAAAAAAAAAATTTAAAAAAACTATTTCAGACAGATGTTTAAGATATATATATATAGCCATTTGATGACCGCCTTACTTTTTTTGTCAATCAAACAATGGACACAATTGATCTAATTTTTCCAATCAGTTTTTAGGATGAATCTTAATCACAGTCTATCTTTAATCTTTATGGAAAATGTGGTTTATGGTAAAAAAAAAAAAGAAGAACTTGGCACAAGCACAATGTCATGAGAGAAAAAAAAGGTTATTTGATCATACACTCATTAAGAGCTGCTGCTAGTATTTATTCTTGATTCTATATTTCTCCTATCTAATCTATCTTAGAAGCTCAATCTGCCCTTAACATAATGAGAATGATATTACACATATCTGCTTTGAAGTTAAATATGTACAGTTTCTTACTTACCCCATTTAAATCTGATAAATTCGCCGTTCATGTTTACACCGCCTAAAAAATTAAAAGCAGATTTTGAAAAATGTCTTAAAATCTCTAGAACACTAAACAGTCTTGTAATGAAAGTGAAAGTAAAAACTTTACTCCTGATAAGGGGCAAAGTACAAAGCTCATTACAAATGTGGTAACATTGTGAATTAGATTTCAAAGAGTTTGTATGCACAAAAGAAGCTCATTGAAAGCTAGATTTAGTAGAGTACTTGAAATAGCTGTAGGAAAGTAATTGTAAAATAAGTTTTTGAACTAGGTCTTAAAGGGTGTTGCAGGAATTGCACCATGACAATCTCAAAACTTGAATAGGGCCAAAATATTTTAAAAATTCATAATTGAATTTTTTTTTTAGAAATATGGTGGCAAAACACTATTATACTATATCAGCAAATTTACAGTAAATTTTCTTTTCAAATTTGAATAATGCAACTGGCACTGTTTTATTCACTCCCATTTGTCATGTGCAAACGAGAGCTTCAATTTTCACTCATAGAGAGAAAACAAAAGAGTCTTTTGATCTTAAATCTTGCACATACACACTGTACTTTCATAAACTCATCTTACTTCTACAAATAAATATTGAGATTAATTTTGAGGGCTTGCGAATCCCTGAGTCATCCTGGCTGCATAGACTAGAGTATAATATTGTATAGTGCATCTTTTCAACAATAAATTTCATAGGGTGCGATACAAGGGCATATGTTGCAATCACTGAGAATATGTCATGAGTCAGCATGAAAAGTTGAATATTTTCTCAGAGCCAGTGAAATATACATATAGGTGTGAACACATGACAGTAATTCATTCCTTATTGTCATTAATTACATGAAGCCTACTATCATTTCTTCAGTTCCAACCATAAAATAAATTTATTTTGTCAAAACGTTTGAATTAATGACACGGCAAAGGGATTTGTCCTTATTGATTTGTCCCTATCAGGTTATTTTGTTAAGAATGTGCATTTCATCCATTCTCTAAGCCTTTGCTCACTTAAACTATTTCACTTGTTATGCAGTCAGTACACTTGGAACCAAAAGCAATGCAAAAAGCCAACCTTTGAAACTAATTTGCTTTAAAATCATCATTTCATCACACACTTTTTCATAACTATACAGCTTATACAGCACCTTCACAATATGATTTTAATTGATTTATTGATAAATAAAATATAAAACATTCAAATAACAATAATATAATTGATTTACATAAAGAGTGACAACTTAAATACACACAAATAAAAATGCATAATTGAAAGCTTGAAAGTATGGAGGTAAGTAAAACTAATCAAGATAAATGCAGAGGCCAACTATCATAAACAAGAATGCCTGAGTTTTCTGTCTGATTCCTTCCCACAGTGGATTCAAATAAAACCATATTTTTACCTTCTGGATATATATTAGTCCATCCACAGTGGTTTAGTTTATCTAAACAGAAGTCCATACCTCGTTGATACACACCATCACCTGGTATAGAGAGAGAAAATAAGTTATGTCAGGAAATCATTGAAATAAATACAGATTATCAAACTTATAATTTGTCCTTTTCAATTTCTTTAAAAATTCAAAGAACCATGTGCGGAGGGGAAAAAAACCTGACAGATTTGAAGAAAATATTGATCAAAAAATGGAAAAGAAAGCAGCTGAACTCTATGCTTTTTTAATTAAAGAAGTCCAATACCCAACAAAAAGAAACATTAATCTTTTAAACTATTTAAAACTAGAAATCTTTTATTTGCATAAGGTGACTATTAAAAGAATTTTCATTTCGGTTTAATAAAATTTGGAGTGGACTATAAAAGATTATTATTATTATTACTATTAATAAATGCCTATATTTCCACCTTGGTCTTGTTTTATATTTTCATTTTATACATGTAGAAGGTGTATTCAATTACCTTGTACAGTTATAACAATAAAAATTGAAATACTCATCCATGCTGTGTAAAATCTATTACAACTACAAATCATGTACATGTATGTCACTCAGAGTTAATTATACCAAAACTATGTTTCTTTTTCTTTCTGTCCATATTACCTCTTAAGACTGGAACAACTCGGCCTAATGAGAAGTAATAGTTGTATCTTTTTGCAACAAAGGCCACTTCACTTGCCCCAGGGGTCCTTCGAAATAAAAACAAAAGAAATATCGGTAAGGACATTAGGAATCGAGATAGATACATGTACTAATGGAAAATAGAACATCACATTTTGCACAGAGTCTTAAAAGTGCAGACATATTGCTAAATTATCATTATTAAAGTATTACCTAGTGTTTTTAAAGTCCTCTCCTATACACACAGTTCAACAGACTATAATCTATATGTAGAAAAACATGCATAATTTTCAAGCAAACAGATTTCACATTTAAAGATTTTCTTTGTGTTTGTTATTCTTTTACTTAATATCTTCCTGCCTACAAGATTTGCATCTTGTTATCTGAAAGGTTTAGTAAAATTCCAAATGCATAAAAAACATTCTACTCTTTATCATTCACCAAGTTTTAAATGGTTTCTTTGATTCACACATAAATGTAGTATGTTATTTATATACTTCTATAACTTATCCAGTTTACCATCTTGTCCTTTTCAAGCTGCAAAAAGTTTTAAACTTGAGGAGACCTGTTTGAAAGATAACAATCAAAATACACATATGTCATTTGAAATTATAGTTTCTATTCTTTTAATGAATGGAATCTCTTATTTGGATTTTGGAAAATAATGCTTTATTTCAGCATCTATCAAACTGTTTCAACATTTCTCTCTGGCAAAGTATTTTCACCATGTGTCATATTTATCAATCCATCCTTACTTTTCTTTCCAAAGATACCAAATATTTTTACTTTGAACTTTGTCACAGTAGGATATGTCATTCACTTAGTCAGTTTCCTGTTTTTCAAAATTACAATGCCTTTCTACTAACAATCAGCTATGCAACCATTGATCATTAAAATTATTTACCAAATAATATCATAGCCTATCCAATACTTCATATTTGGCATAGTTGCATCAATTTGTAGTAAAAAACTTTGCCATCCATTTGATAATAATTAAAATAAATTGATATGTATAGAATATGAGTTATTATTTATTGAATTATTCGAATATCACATTCCCTAATACCAGTATTTTCAAAAATCTCCACTAACTTTAGTCACCCCATTATATAGACTTAATTTTAAACTAAAAAATCTTACCACAAAGAACGCCATCATCCGCAGATGAAGTATGGTTTGATACAGTAATTAAAGGCCGCTTCTTCAAATGCAATTGCTCGACTTGCTCTTGGAGAATTTCCTTGTGATGAAGCTGGACTTGATTAACCCAACCTAAATCAAGGAAAGGGACAAAATACAAACGTAAGTAGAAACATTTTATATGTTTTGATCACAGCTACTTAACTGGTTAGGCCAAATAAAAAAAAAAAACATGTTTAGCATCCTGTTTTTCGAAAAATAGGAAGGAGGCCCTTTTTTTTTTCTTTCAAAATGGCCGCTCAAGATGGCGCTCGGTACATTTTCCCTCACAGTCCGGCTTTTTTTCAAGATGGCCGCCAACATTTTTTTTTTTTTTTTAAAATCAGAAATAGATCCATCTAGCAGGGTTTTTCATGTTTTTTTCTTTAAAAAAAAAACAAAAGTAATTAAATTTCAAAACAAAACAAAAATTTAAAAATAGGAGGCAGCCTCCAAAAAGGAAGCGGGCGGGGACGCTAAACATGTTAATTTTTTTACATGGCCTTAACTACAAGATGAAATAATAGAATGGTACATACATTCTAAAGGTTCATAATTCATAATGTTCATAGTTCCGAAGATTTGTATATATCTGAACATAACATGCTACAGAGCATGGACATTTTCTTGCTTGGCCGCTGCACTCCTGCCCGTCTCCCTCACAGAAATAAATAAATGGCATTTGTAAGAGTGCATTAGATCTAGTACAATACAGTGTGATCTTCCTCCATTTAGTATCATGGGGAGTTGGTTTCCAGACACTTACATACATAGTCTTCCCCTTTGCCTTAAGATAACAAAACTTATGCATTAAATAGCACTTACCGTCATAACTATTTGCTCTTTATATATATCCAACAAAAGTCGTAGAAGATTTCATGAAATATAAAATTATTGTTCATAAACTTCTTCTAATCAAATATTTAAATCAACTGTCAGGATATAAAACCTGTCAACAATAATGCTGGCTGGGTATATTAATTCGAATATTACTATTTAGTTGCTTTTTATGGTCGCTTTGTTCCCTTAAATATTACGTTGACCAGTCTTGAACCCCCCACTGAAAAGGGACGATGGCTGGCACTGGCCAGCCTTCCTTGGCCTGCCCTTGTAACAATCCTCCATTCCTCCCCCTTGCCCCCCCCCCCCCCCGAATACCATTTACGATTAGACATTACAGCACGCATTGCAGGATTGTACACAACATACACCACCCCACCACCCAATAAATGTCCATAGGGTCTACTCGCTTTCCTTTTGCGAAAGCCACCCACATCACACGTGCAATTCAAAAAACAAATACTAGCAGATATCAGTGCACAAATATCTGAATATATGGGACTGTAGCTCTGGACTACAATAACTTAAAATTATATTTTGGGTTACAGATCAACTCACAAAGCCAAAATTTTGATAGTAGATATGTTGTACATATTGTTGCTTGAGATGCAATTTTCCAGATTACGCCAGGTTTACAAGGAAAAACCCATTGCCCTTTCTCCAAAGGCATGATTTTGACTCAAAACTTTGCCAAAAACTCAAGTCCCACGAACTTTTTAATAGTCTTACTAGCAGGCTTTTGCTAAAAATACGTACTGATATATATCTATTTTATCACCATGATAAGAAAATAATTGACGTTATTGTTTAAGAAAAAATAAGATTGAGATATTATCCATTCAAATTTTTGATAATTTTTCACAAAATGATATATTTATTAGGAGGTTTAATGATTATGCTGTTTTAGATCCTGTGTAAAGACTATCGATCTGGCGGAGCAGCCCACTATACCCATGACGTCACAGATCTTATGACCTCCATTCGCGGACATATTGATACAACTGTGAGAAAGTCGTCACAGATATTCCGACCAAAAACTGCGAATAGCATTGCGACAAAGCGCCACCAACACTTGTAGACTGATTTTACAGTAATTTAGGTAAATATGAAATACTTTTAATGTGATAATTAAAGACCATTATTATTCATGACATTTTAATTTACTCGCAAAAGTGAGGTTCAGATTTATCTATTGTATTTTGCTGAATAGTGCAACTGCGCTGCAATGCAGGGCAGCGCCAGAGAAACAGTGCAGTGCAGTGGAAATGCATGTGAATGTGACGTGAAAATGCAACCGGGCCGGGAGTGCAGTGGCCAGTGGGTTTCCGTGATCGTGAGTGAATATTATGGCAATGTGTGCAGAGATATAGCCGGATTAGGCCATACTCCATAGGTCGACCTGTTACTGATACAATTTCTACTAAATTGTGATTGAATACAGGATTACAGTTGAACACCGGCCATCTCAAGAAAAATTTGCAGATCCGTCATTTTTCTGTGTGACGGTGAGTGTGCAGTAGGGGCGCTGGTCCGAAAATAAGGATGGTCTGCATGAACGAGAATTTCTTCGTAAACGCAGACATATCACGTTCTTATAAATAGGGATTGGCCGCATTTTCGTGGATGTCTCTTGCCTTTCGAGTGTAGGGTTACCACCACGCTGGCAATGCGAAATTCTACGTCTACTTTTAGTTTTACGAGTTAACCGTCTTCCAAATTTATCGTTCATAACATGAAAGTCTCTGTGCTGCATAAGTGAAAAATTCTTCATGGAGCATCATCATGGAATCTGGTTTTTGCATCGCCAAGACGCCAACGCGGGGATTGGAAATAGGACGCAATTTGTCCGCGTTTATGAAGATATCGTTGTTTAATAAACTCAAACTCATGTAGGTCAAAACTTATCATATATTCCCCTTTTTTTCAGGTTCCAGTCTAGTTCTGAGTATGGGAAAGTATCCTGGTCGGGTTCGGTCCAGGCTTTTATCCTTAACTCCTAGCACTATCTTACTTACAAATTTAAATTCACTCATGAAGATTGAAGGTACCTCAATTATATGAATTCTTATATTCTTTTGAAACAAACACTTCCTGCTGTCTTGAAGCTAACACGGAATAAGTACCGGTAACCTGCTTAATGTTACCTGTCTTGCTGTGGAGAAGGCTTTGGGTAAAGTGTGGCCTCTTCCAAAAACTGGAAGCTGTAAACATACACCCTCTAGGCCTCTACAACTCAACATGATCAACTCACTTTACAAAAGTCTATCTAGCCAGGTCCTGTACGATGATAAAGACGGTGAACCCTTCCCTGTGTCCCAAAATGTTAGGTATCTTGGAGCTTTCCCCCATTGTTATCGATGATTATTGACTCCTTCATAATAAGAAACTACTGTAGGATGCACCTTGCTTGCTGGGTAGTCTGGTATGCTGCATGTCATGTGTAGCAGACATTGTGGTTCTTTCTAGCTCATCTCCTGGAAAAATATACATTTGGCACCTAAGCAAAAGCATTGCAGATGAAGAAGCATTAAAAATGCTTCATCGTTAATTCATAGGAAGGTAAAGGTGGTATCTAGCATTCAACCGGAGATGATATAGTGCACACTTTCTCTATTCACCATAACCTTTAGCATACCAAAGTCTGACTTAAAGAAAACTCAACAGAGGACATGATCTGAAAAGGGCTGAAAACATTTTATGCACTCACTGGAGCTAAAGCATACCGGTACACTAGGGGACCACTTTCAAAGCACAGGACTGCAGTGTAGAAGGTCTGCTGTATCGTTAGAGTATTGTGCATGTATGAAACAGCTGTCACTAACCAGACCCAGGGATGTCTACCACTATACTTGGGTTTGTCCGCAGCTACTATTCAGCTTCTATTAAAAACAGATATGTCGTCATCCAAAAACTATGAACACTGGATTCTTTTATGTATGTCTAAGTGTTCCGTTGGACCCAGAAAAGCAACTCCAGATGGTATAGATGCTCGATCTACCCCATGAATACTTCAAGTACTGGACTTTTTGGTATATTCTATCACACAAGACCTCACTCAAAGCTTGACAAACCATCCTAAGCAGAAACAAACTGGCAGACATTTACTCACTCACAATGCAGATCATATGCATCCAATGATCCAATCTGGTAGGGGCCTTGGGGAAAGATGGCAAAAGCAGAATTTCTATGCAAATGTTGTCAACACATTTGAGGCAATCAAAGTGAAAACATCAAGGAAGATGATGACATAAGTTTACTATCTACTGTACATGTACATACAAAGCCAGGATATCATGGGAATAACAAAACGAAACTGAGGAGTAAACTCTTGCCAGAAGAGAAAAAGCAAGTCATCCACCAAAAACATACTTTGACCTCTGCTTTTTTAATTAGACGTTTCGTTTTGTAATTTGTATTTACAATAACAGGGGGAGGAGTGGGGGGGGGGGGGGGGCCTCTGACTTTATTGAGGCAATGGTATAAAATGTCTTGTTTGTGGTGTTTCTGTACTACCATCAGGCATTTTCAAAAATGCAGGAGAGCCTCTTTTTATACCTCCGCTACAAATTTGCTGGAGGCAATTATGTTTTCGGGTTGTCAGTCCGTCCGTCTCTTTCTCATGATCGCTTTATCTCAAGAACTGATTGATGGATTCCAGCCAAACTTAGGTCATGTATGTATCTTGCAGAGCCAATGAACTGATTTTATTTTTGGATCACAAGTTCACAGGTCACAGGGCTCATTATGTATGCAAAAACAGCTCATGATCACACTATCATTAGAACTGATGGACAGATTACCATCAAACTTGAGACATGGATGTATCTTGCAGAGCCAATGAACTGATTAGATTTTAAGGTCTTGAGATCGAAAGGTCGAAAGTTGTGGGGCTCATTATGCAAAAAGAGCTTGTAATCACATTATCATTAAAACCAAAATATTGACTACCATCAAACTTAAGACATGTATATGTATCTTGCAGCGCCAATGAACTGATTAGATTTTAGGGTCATGAGGTGAAAGGTCAGGGGGCTCATTATGTACATGTACATGCCTTTAAATAGCTTGTGAATGCATTATTATTAGAACCTAAAGATGGATTACTATCAAACTCAGGACATGTATTTATCTTGCAGAGCAATATATATGAAAAATAGGTTGTAATCACAATATTCTAAGAACCTGTTAATGGATTACAATCAAACTTGAATTTCGAAAATTGCTTCTTTTATGGTTTGTAAAATTGCTCTATGGCATCATTTTTGACTGGGCGCAGTAGTAGATCTCACTTCATAGAGAATGTACATTATGTACAGGGCAATTCCACGGTAACGGAAGGACACTCAGACAAGATTTTTGAACTTCAGGTTCATACTAAAAGAAATGTTTTATTAGTATGTATTAAACTATGGGGAACAAAATGTGTTTCAGTCAAGTGGAAAGCTTCATCAACTTCACAAAGTTTGGATAAACACTAATTAACTGGAAAAACCATGTCCATTTTTATGTCCTTCCGTTACCGAGATAATTAATATGCACATTCTTAAACTACTTAACTATAATGACAATTTTTTGGGGGAGAATTAAAGGCACTTATATAGGTATTATATCTGTACTGTTTCACATCTTATACTAATAAAACAGTTCTTTTAGTATGAACCTGAAGTTCAAAAATCTTGTCTGAGTGTCCTTCCGTTACCGTGGAATTGCCCTACATGTACCTACATGTACATACTGACTCGTACCACTATAATGATAGCATGTCAGAAACCTGATCATACATGTCCTGTATTAGATCTACAATAACACATACTGTAGGTGTTTGTTTTTTAAATTTATAGATCTTGTCAATCATGTCAAAGCTCCAACATACTTGTCAAGTTTGTTCATTTACATTTGCTGTGAAATCAGGAAAAAAATGTGACTCACAAATTGCTGCGCAATGCAAATGACCTAAAGTAAACAAACAGTTTTTGTTCTTTTCTCTTTTGTTTTCTTTAGAGCAATACATGTACCATGTTTGATGCTTTGTGTGCAAAGTCCATTTTAGTATATATTATAAAATGAGGTCAACTCACTGACGTAAAATTACAGCACAGCACTTTACTATCTAACCTTCTCAAGTCTCAACACTGTGCTACATGTATTAACAATTTATAAAAGAGTCACTGTATAACCTACTGCCAGACTCTTGAAAATTACACAAATGGTCCAAAATCATGAAAGTTTCTTTTCTCAAATACATTAATCAGTTTTTATAAAGAAAATGAGGGAAAACATGCAGAAAAATTATTCATAGGACAAGAGGAAATAATTTGAAATTAAAAAAAGAAGAAAAGAACTGACTGCTGTTCATGCACAACATGCCTTTTGGAGGAACACATCTGCAATACAGGCACAACGTTACCGCTATTAAATGTTAATATTACCTAGATGCATATTATTTATCCTTTCATCCTTGTGGTAAGAAACATTCAACCAACGCCCTCGCGTACATAGAAAAATCTGATTTTCATGTCCTAGAAATCCAGAAAAACAGAATATTCTGAATTATTCGTAAGGGTTGGCAGGTATGGTATTGTGTGCATGTACATGTAGCTTAGCGCAGCGGCCTAGTCTGTGACCTCAACTTGAAACTTTCATTGTGCGAAAGATATATTTGCAGGGAAAAGCTCGAGTAGTGGATGAGAAAGAAGATTTCTATCAACCAGTTATTCATGTACATGTAGGCTGTTGCCCATTTAAAAGTGTCAAATTATAATATGTGCCAGTATGATGATGATATTGATGATGATTATGGTAATCACCAGGCATGGTAATCACTATAATTCCTTATTTGTTTGTTATTTCTGTGCAAAAACTGGCCCCTTATTATAACTGGTTTAACCAAAGAGTATCTCTTTCAGATATTCAACAATCATTTTTAACTTACATGTAAGTATGCTACACTGTATAGTGAAATCCTACTCAAACTCGTTAATTCTCATTCTTAAAGAACAATTTCCAGCAAATTACAAATATAAACTGGCCACGTTGATGACGCGGACGTACAAACACGTTGACAGCTCTTAAGATTTTGTATTAATTGCTCTGGCGTCTCGGGGTCGACAGGTGTATGAATGTCATTTTGAGACAGAGAATTTATTTTACTTGAATATAAAGTAAAAGACTTGCAGAAATTTTTAGTACTGCAATTTTTGTGAAAATAAGAAAATTTAATATTGTTTTGTAATATAAGGGAAAATAATTACAGCTTTAAAAACATGACTTGGTCTAGCCCGATAAAAATCCAAACAACTAGAATCATTCTCATTTTGTTTTCTTTGTAACATTGGATAACAAATTTCACAAATTCCAACATAGACTACTATAACATTGATAATTTAGATTATTTAGTGCAAGGGTAAATATGACAATGACCCGGAATAAAATACAGGGATAAAAAATTAAAAAATTAAATTTCGCCACGCCTTTTTAATTTCTTGGCGAGAGGCCTGCATTCAACATTAAAATAAAGAATAAACACAAATAACCCATGACCGAGATTTATACATGAAAGTATGTAGGTTTCTCAGGCAAGGTTCAACATAACTACCGGTAGTACATAATAAGGTGTGTTGATCCTAATCTTAAAGATAAACTTGAGTTCTGGTTAAAAAAGAAAATTAATTCTCACAGAATCTAACGAAACTTACACTGAATGTTCAAGATTACAAATAAATGTCATGTGCCAAACAATTTTGGAAGAAAATGTATACTGGCTGAGTAATGAGCATAGAAAGATAAGGAAATCAGGGTAGTACTAGCCCTGACACCATGTGTGTTGTCTCATATACATCTTTCTGTGTATTAAGTGATTGTTACTTTACCAAGACTCTGCCAAATTTATGATGATTTTGATGACTCCAGAACCTTGCATTACACACCATTACTTACATGCTATATGATCAACTTTTCTGATCCATTCCACACCTTTTCCTTTACAATGCAATCGCATTACCAGAACTCAAGTTTATCTTTAATGTGTGTATGGAGGAAATGAAATGGACGCAGTCACCATGGAATGCATGATTTCCTGAGAGAAGGTCAAAGTAGATTGTGTATATGTGTTTCAGAATAACACTCTGCGACTGGGATCATAGTGTGATGAAATCCATTGTGATAATCAGAAATATACTTATCGTTCTTGTTTGGTTAAAGAAATTATATTTCATTTATATGTATATTTATCAAAAAGAGGCAGATGTTTATTTTACATGCCGGTACTTGAAATTCTAACTTTGTTTCTAGAAATTATGTGGATTTTTTTCTTTGTTGTTTTGCATGAGTCAGCGACAGTTAAAAAATTGTCTGAGTATGTTTTTGCTACAGTATAGAGTACCGAAGTGCTAAAGTCATATTTGCTCGTCGTCCAGGTTACTGGTTCCAAACAACAGAGCCTGTACATGAGGTTCACTGCAAAATCATTCAAGCAACAGGCTGGAGAAGGGCTGGTGTGATCACTAAGGCCATTCTTTAGCACAGAACTGTTTGGAACCAGCAGTCTTGACAACTTGGCTAGTATGATGTCACACTTTGGTACTCTATTGCTTGAAAATAAAGTAAATGTCCTCACACCATGGCACACATGACCTCATGTGTCATTGAACTGACTTTGGTGTGATATGTGTGAGGAAACTGTGAAGTAGCTTATCATAGATTTGGTTTCGTTCAATTTCTTGATTAAATTTGGCTTTTTGCTTGATAAATATTTTTTTTTTTTTTTTTAGTTACCAGTTTAGGATGCAACTTCTAAGTACATGTACATCCATAAGTGAAAGGAACTTATTTTCTTCTTTTCTTTTGTTTGTAAATTATAACCTTCCCTTCTAGATTTTACAACTCTAGTACAACACAAGACACAACATGACTTCAAGAAAGAAGGTCCTTCTCAAGGTTATCATCCTTGGTGACAGTGGGTGAGTACAAATTCTCAATGTATTCAAGTTTTTCTGAAGAAAGACGATGGCATTTTATTAGTTGAAAATGTACCTGTATGTACATGTACATGTACAATAGATGGAAAATTGCAAACATGTATATTCAGGTATTTCAGTTTTAAATTAAAGGTCTCCCACTGTCTATTGAGAATCAAGATTCCAGTTGTGGCCTCTGATAGAGGGGAGATTTAATTCTGAACGATCAACAAGAAATAGATTGATCTGAAATCTACATCACTCCATGAAAAACCATACACAGGAATGATGAGCAATTAGCTCTTAAATTAACGCTAAAAAGCTAAAAGATCTCTGCAAAACTTTTGGCAAAGAAGTCTGATAAAAAAAACAGTAGCAAAATATGCATAAAACTTGCGCAAGAAAATGTAACTTTTTGATTACAGTAAATCTAAAAGAGCTTTTAGCCAGAACTTTTTTTTTATATTAAAAGCCCTTCTCAGTTGAAGAATTTATCAAGATTTGTCGCCTTATTATGTTGAAATTTTATCAAAAAACAGAGAAAGAAGATAGTTCAAGCATTTCAGGAAGTACAATTAGAGCTGAACCTACACGTACTCGTAGCGGTAGGATAGTGAAACAGCCTACTTTGTTTACTATTTAGCTTGTAAATAGACTGCATTATACTTATACATTTTATTATTGTCACTATTTACATTGTTCATGTACACTGTATATATACTTTGTGTTTACTACGGTAGTTCATTGTTCATGTTTGTACTTTCATACACTATATACCTGTTATCGTTTGTATCTTAATGTCATTATCTATGTATAATGTATAAGAATTGTATTCATAAGTCATGCATTGCTATTTATACTTTTATGTTTGTTTGTACTCTCATACCCCGAGAGGGGATCAAAGAGTCAATAAAATTCTAAAAATTCTAATTTAATCAACTAAAATTAAGTTGAAACGTATCAGAGTAATAGTTTTTTTCTTTTTATCTATATGGCTACAGGTTCATTGCATAATTTTTATATTTATTATTTAGCAAAGACATATCAATGTTGATACAGTAACACATGTATGTAAATTCATGAAATTTTATTTTGTAACTTTCCAGTGTTGGCAAGACTTCACTGATGAACCAGTATGTCAACAAGAAGTTCAGCAATCAGTACAAAGCAACCATTGGCGCAGATTTCCTCACAAAAGAAGTCATGGTTGATGACAGATTTGTCACAATGCAGGTATGTCCAAAGAATACAGTAGAAGTTTAACAATATAAAATCAAAAATACAATTAGTTGAAAAGTCTGGTGGTACCTTTAAATTGGTCATTTCAGTGTAATTTGTTAACAATCTACGCAGTCTTTTTAAAAAAAATGTATTATTGTTATTGTGGTTATTAATATTACATATATGATGATTAAAAATTACAAGTGAGCAATTTCGTGCAGGTGATTACATTACAAATTACATTTCATTTTTTATACAAGTTTGAATGCCATGAATTTACTTCACATACTAGTATACAACTTTTTCAGTGTTGTCAATTTGGGGGGGGGGGGGGGGTGGTTACCATTTATATTATTGGGAGTGAAGATGGATTTACAAATGCATTCTTGGTATAAATAAGCAGATTTCTAGTGCAAGCATACCGTACATCTCTATGTTTACACTTCTTGTTTTTTTTTTTACGTTGCCACCCCTGTTCCAATCCAGATATGGGATACTGCTGGTCAAGAGAGGTTTCAGAGCTTGGGCGTGGCCTTCTACAGGGGGGCAGACTGCTGCGTACTGGTCTTTGACGTCACGTCACCCAATTCTTTCAAATCCCTGGACAGCTGGCGAGATGAGTTCCTGATCCAGGCCAGCCCACGAGACCCCGAGCACTTCCCCTTTGTCGTACTAGGCAACAAGGTCGACTTGGATAACAGAATTGTGAGTATATGGGGTCATTGTATTGTAACATTCAAACCTATGGACAAAATTAAAGAAAGTGCTTGTACGGTTCCTGCACACTTGATTAAAGAAGAAACTGCAGCAGTTTACTGGAACATCTTTTTTTTCCCCCTTTTTTTATATATGAATGAATGGCAAGTGGGGATGAACATAATAGCTACATGCAAAAAAGGTCCAATGCATACCAATGATTCGCTAAAAGGTACAAAATTGTACACACATGTACAAAAAAGGTACCAAAAAATGTAAAGCATATGATGTCATTATGAAAAAAAATTGAAAAGCAATGTTGCGGTTTACTACATCAAACGTGAATGAGCCTTTATTGAGCTTTATACTTTTACAGATGTGCATCTTTAAAATTGAACTTTTCCTGTAGTTTTCCAGTAACTAACACTCCTGTGTCATTGAGATGTACTGTACAGTACCGTATCTACATGTACTCATCCTTTCGTTTTAATACTTGTGCAAATCTTAGAATAGAATGCTTCCTTTCAGTAATCTGTCTTTAAGATTTATATTTAAACAATTGAAAAGTGGACATATGTTTTGATTTACTGTCAACCCCCAGGAGCCATGTTCTTCCAGTATGAGTTATTTGAGAAAATTGTAGTTGTTTTTATGTAACTTTAAAGCCCGTCTGCACTAGTTTGGCCAGGGGGGATTAGACCTCCCTGCAAGGTCACTGACAGGTAGTTATCTCATCAAATCAGCGCTCAATTAACATAAGAAAATGAGGATCATGGGGGACCAACAGGCACCATTTAGGCATTGTTTGCTATATAGAGGGCGCAAGTAGCTGTAAGTAGTGAAGTGGGGCCTTAAGTTACAGTTAAAGATTGGTTATTTTAGGTGTAGATTGTTCCAGATTGAAGTTAAGACTTTATTTGATATAGGGAATTCACTGCAGAGCTATCTGAAGCATGTGTCGCACGACAGATGCCCTTTCCTTATCCATACCTGTGAGCCATATTAATTCCAACGATCATTATCGAGCACTGTCTTCACACTGTTCTTATCATCATCAGGTTTCTGCAAAGAGATCCCAAAGCTGGTGTGACAGTAAAAACTCCATCCCTTACTTTGAGACGAGTGCAAAGGAGAGCATCAACGTGGAGCAGGCCTTCCAAACAATAGCCAAGAATGCCCTTGCACAAGAACCCGACGACTCAACGTACCAAGATTTCCCCAGCCAGATCAAACTCGATAACGACAACAAGGGCAAGACAGAAGGCTGCGCGTGCTGAGGACTGTGTACATCATATGATTTTTTTTCACCCTTATTTTATCTTTATTTCTTTTTTTTCCCTTATTCCTGGTAAATTTTTTTCTATTTATTTTTTATTCTGTTTTTTTTTCTCACTCTGTTTTGAGTTTTTTTTTTTTGTGGTGAAATGTTTGATATTTAAATTTGGAGAATATAAGGCATTTCATGGAGATTTGTCCCAGCTGTAAATAGCTTCCCATTTAATCACCCTGATGTGCCAGGCCTGAATTATATCTTTTCAATATCTCATGTTTACTCTCCCATTTCCTTTATATCATCATCTACTTATCAATATCACCTTTTTTCATTACTTTCCATGATCTCTTTCCAAAGGATAGGGTAAATAGCCTTTTAGGGGTCAGCCTGGCTTTCTGCTTATAGTTACTTTATTTTTGCCTTATGGTGATTTTTGTTTATAATCCTGGTGAACGTTACAAATAAACTGTTTAAAGGAGCATGAAATGAAGATTAAAGAATTACTTTTGAATGATTATTTGAAAATAGGCGTGATTTACTTGCATCCATGAATTTACATCTAGAATTCAATCTTTATCTAGAATTGATATTTGTGTTGTCAGTATGTATGTGTGTGTTGGGAAGCATATTTACAGCTGGGGAAACATTAACATGCATTTTTACTTAGGCATGTAAAATGTTTTGTTTATTTTACCCCATTTAATGTGTCCTTTTGTATGATTACATGTTATCTTGTAGAATAAATGTATACTCGTATAAAATGTTTTTTGGAGAGAAATCCTCATTCATTGGGAATTTAACGAATGAGGGGAAAAATTGTTATGAAACAGCAAAAAAAGAAGAAAAAAAAGAAGAAAAAAATAGGCAAATTATATTATTATGAGGATTGTGTTGTGATATTGTAATTAATATTGCTGATAGGTTGTACAAAGCACTCATAACATTATGTACATGAATTGATAATGTGTTAAAGTGGATGACTGCAAAAAAAAGAATAAACATTTATATCAAGTACATGTAAGTACATTTGTAAAGGAATTTTGCCAGATTTTAATTTCCTCTCTTTCTCTATTCTCTGTCTGCACCATGATGGTGCATAATATGTCATTGGTGAGGAGAGAAACATGTCATTCCTTGGAAGGAGATAAAACTGTATATTAGAGTATAGATAATCATCACTCCCTTTCTGCCTCCTTTAGTCTACCCAAATCACCCTGCCAGCAGTTTTTTGGAAGGAAAATGAATGGAAGACATATACAGATTTATGCAATCGATTGTGATGTAAATTAATGAATGAATAACAATAAAATATACTTAATATGTATGTGAGGCAAATAATAAATACATGTATTGATATATATGATCTTACCTTTTGTGGGCCTGTCAGACAGTATGTTAGGATTTACTGTATCAAATTATTCCGCATATTAGGTGGGGTGGTAATCCTTATCAAAGTACAGTATGCTTTCCCGTTCCAAGGAGTCAATTTTGAACCATGCTGGTGGCTTTCAAATTTCATTTCTGTGATACAATTTGAAGATCGAAAGTTTGCAGAAATGTTACCCAATGTTAACCTACTGAGACAAAGAACTTATTGTATAACTCAAGTATTGCCTTAACTCTCTACCGTGAAGTTTATTCAACCTAAAACTATCAACAGAGGTCTAGTATTTTAAAATTATTTGAAGGAATATTATAAGTGTTTTCTGTTCTTTGTTATTTTCCTCACATATTGTTCGGGAGAAGAAGAAATGGTCAGATGATTTATGTTGTGGATTTTTTTTTCTTCCTAGCACAGTTCTCTAGCATTTACAGAGTCGGGTTCAAGACATTAGCCAATAAAACTGGCTGTATTTCCCATGGAGATACATGCAGGTATCTGTTGACAAAATAAGACAAAGCTGTCTGAATGTAAATAAAATTGATTTTAAGAAAGAAAATAAAAGATTGAAATCAGAGATCGTAAAGAACAGAGTGTTGCCACAATGGGCAAGTGAAGATAGGTATATATGAATCAAGATTGAATGCACCGTATATATGCTCAGTACACTTCTTATAACTTTAATGTCAGTAGATGAGCTTCTTTTTTTTGTCTCCCTTTTATTTTTTTCATTTTATTTTGACATGGAATCATAGTCATGTATCTAACTTGGTACTTGCTAATCAGAATTGGGTACCTTCTGACTGAAGAGTGGTGCAATATGTGTTTAACCCGCAGAAACAAAGAACACTTCAACTGATCTTTTAGAAGAGTTAGGATGTCATAAAATATTCACTTATACCTTTGAAAGATTTAATGAATCTATCTCTGTTCTTTGATTTTGTAATTTCTTGTCATTATTATGCAGAGAGTATGTGAGATAATGTTATTTATGAGCAAAAGAGTTTGATAAATTAACATTCCACTTCAATGTTGAAAGAGAAGATTATACTCACTTTCAAATTATACCAAAAGACAAAAAGCTATAAACTGTTATAAGGATTGTCCATTAAAAACATACATACATTTAGTATGCCATGGCTTTAATACCTAAGAATAATCAGTCTTATGGAAACCATTTCAGGAAAGGTTAGACGTATGTCATACAACGGTAACAAAACGAGAGGACTGAGGGCTCTTGTGTATCTATTATTATAAAAAGAAACCCAAACTTTTCCAGTAGTATGGTTAGCGTGATATATTTAGCCAACAAACATACCAAGTATGTCTAGTAATTCTATGGTTTTAAGGGCTCTAGGATGTACTAATTTGTAGAAATTAATCTATACTATGCTGTTGTACAGATAATGTGCTATATTGTATACTTAACATCAAATGAAGATTTAATTGTAATTTCTATGTTTGTACTTTCCCTGTGCTTTGCACAAACTAATTCAAATTGCCTCGTGTAGAGATACGTTTAAGCTATTTAAATTTAATTTTTCTGTTTTTTCAAGGGGGGATCCTGAAGAATGAGTATATTTCGATACAAAATAGATGCAAAGTTTACTACTATTCAATAAAGGTATATCTGATTTTTTGACCTTATGTCGAGATGTAGAGGTTTGTATGCAAATGTTACTCAAAGCTGCCCTGTGTTACTAAGAGACCAGTTTTGAATCAATTTATTAAAATAATTATTGGAAGAATGTTTCCAATGACCATCATCATCGACCCCAAGCTGTCCTGACCCATTGCCTCTGACGATATGAAAGTCAACCTTTTGCTTACTTGCTTTGTATACACAGGGAGGATGTATAAATCTGGATTAAATAAAATTATGTAATAGTGAAAAATACACAAGTATGCTTCGGTTTTATCTGTTGGGTATTTGTAATACGGGGAGTTGATTTAATGTGGCTTATGAGTGACTTTGGGAAATAGATCAATCTCAGAATAATGAGTGAAATAATACACAAATAAAGGAATGGATGGATAGATAGATGGATCAATGGGTGGATTGCTGAATGGATGGATGGATGGTTGAATGAATGGATGGTTGGATGGATGGATGGTTGAATGGATAGATGGTTGGATGGATGGATGGTTGAATGAATGGATGGTTGGATGGATGGATGGTTGAATGGATAGATGGTTGGATGGATGAATGGTTGAATGGATAGATGGTTGGATGGATGGATGGTTGAATGGATAGATGGTTGGATGGATGGATGGTTGAATGGATAGATGGTTGGATGGATGGTTGAATGGATAGATGGTTGGATGGATGGATGGTTGGATAGATGGATGGGTGTTGGAAGGGTGGATGGATAGATGGATGGATTGATGGTTGAATAGATGGATGGTTGGAAGGATAGATGGATGGATGGGGGGTGGATGGATGGATAGATAGATGGTTGGATGGAAAGATGAATGGGTGGATTGCTGAATGGATAGATGCATAGATGAATGGATGGATGGATGGATGGATGGATGGATAGATGGTTGGATGGATGGATGGTTGAATGGATAGATGGTTGGATAGATGGAAGGTTGAATGGATAGATGGTTGGATGGATGGATGGTTGAATGGATAGATGGTTGGATGGATGGATGGTTGAATGGATAGATGGATGGATGGATGGTTGAATGATATATGTTTGGATGGATGGATGGTTGAATGGATGGATGGTTGGATGGATGGATGGGTGTTGGAAGGATGGATGGATAGATGGATGTATTGATGGTTGGATAGATGGATGGTTGGAAGAATAGATGGATGGATGGGGGGGGGGGTGGATGGATGGATAGATAGATGGTTGGATGGATAGATGAATGGGTGGATTGCTGAATGGATAGATGGTTGGATGGATAGATGAATGAGTGGATGGATGGATATATGGTTGGATGGATAGCTGAATGAGTGGATGGATTGATGGATGGATGAATAGATGGTTGGATGGATAGATGAATGAGTAGATGGATGGATGGATATATGGTTGTATGGATAGCTGAATGAGTGGATGGATTGATGGATAGATGGTTGGATGGATAGCTGAATGAGTGGATGGATGGATGGATAGATGGATAGATGGTTGGATGGATAAATGAATGAGTGGATGGATGGATGGATGGATGGATGGATGGATGGATGGATGGATGGATGGATGGATGGATGGTTGGATGGATAGATGGTTGGATGGATAGATAAATGAGTGGATGGATGGATGGATAGATGGTTGGATGGATAGATGAATGAGTGGATGGATGGATGGATGGATGGATAGATGGTTGGATGGATAGATGAATGAGTGGATGGATGGATGGATAGATGGTTAGATGGATAGCTGTATGAGTGGATGGATGGATGGATGGATGGATGGATGGATGGATAGATGAATAGATGGATGTATAGATGAATGGGAGGATCGATGGATGAATAGATGGATAAATAGACGGTTGGATGGATACATGAAAGGGTGGATGGATGGATCGATGGATGGTTAGACGAATGGATGGATCGTTGGACGGATTGATGGATGTATAGATTGATGGGTGAGTGGATGGTTAGATGGATGAGTGAATGAATGAATGGATGCATGGGCACCTCTTCTGCCATGTTTTGTTTAATTTACCAAATTGGTCAAGTTAGAATAAGCCAGTTTGGCTTCTACAATACCAAACATACCATGGTAAACTCGCATTACTCCTAGTATCTTTCATGGAAAGTATCAGAACGCATGGACTACAACAATGGCTGTTAGTGGAATTTAACTATCATAACATTGGCCAGTGTGGAAGCAGATTTGTCTGTATTGTTATTGAAAGCTTAAGATGATTTTCATGAATGGACAAACGGACAAACAAACAAGAAACTTCTGAAAATTATGGAATAGACAATTCATCATAATTATGAGTAGCACATTTTTACAGTTCCTCCCATGAAACTGTCCATACCGTGATCAAATTTAATTTTAAAAACGATTTTGACCAATTTTATTTAAAATGATTATCCATATAACACAACATAAATATAACTGAATTCCGAATATAATGAGAGGTTATTCATATATTAGTTACTTCAAGTTTCGAAATTCACAAACTTGTTTAATCGGTGTGATTTTACTCAAACTTTCCACGAGGCCGAATCATATACATGTACTTTGATATTTTGCTTCTACCCATGCTTTTGCCGTAGAGTGAGTAAAGATGATTCTAGATCTGTACTCATCAGAGCCATCTATAGACAGAGTTTGACCAGCTTGGTTTCAGTTGGACTCGAAATGGCGTAAATCCAGTTGTTTTGTGCTTACCCAACAAATAAAAGTAGTATTCCAACCGGGTTGGCCAAACTCTATTGATGGCTCAGGCACTCATGTCAGAAGAGCGCCCCCTTCTAGTTGGATAACGTCAGACGATTACTGTCAGCACCAATCTTCCTCCCCACCCCTTTTCTTTCTCTCTCTCTCTCTCTCTCTCTCTCTGTCTCTTTCCCCCTCTCTCTGTCTCTGTCTCTGTCTCTCTCTCTCTCTCTCTCTCTCTCTCTCTCTCTCCCTCCCCTCTCTCTCTCTCTCTCTCTGTCTCTCTCTGTGTCTCTCCCTCCCCCTCCCCCTCCCTCTCTCTCCCTCCCCCCCCTCTCTCTCTCTCTCTCTCTCTCTCTCTCTCTCTCTCTCTATCTCTCTCTCTTAGGAGGTGGTCGTGTGGGGGGGGGGGGGGGCTGCAGCACCCCTCCGAGGATTATGAATATACTGATTGAAAATCATATCAAACTCTGGCAGAGAGATGACCGAAGAAAACGAAGAAACACATATGCCTAAAAAGAAATATCACGATGCACCTTTTTAACAAATTGTATTATTTTTTTCTTATCTTCAAAACTCGCTGAAGAACGCTCGATTTATATGGGTTATTAGGTAACATGCTCGCAAACCTCGCACCTTGTCAACAGCGTTATCATGTATCAACATAATCACAGATAGTAATAAACCTGATTTCTTTAAATGGGGGGCTGTATCTCAGCAACATGTTTTTTTTTTTTTTTTTTTTATCTTTTACATAACTGGATCATACAAATTTTCCCACTAAACTATTTCCACATTCTTTTGGTACATAAATCTACAATATTCTCCCTTTTTGATAACTAACAACTGATGGAAATTGAAAGAATATCCTTCAGGAGATACATGTATCTGTATTAACTAATATTAACCACTGGTCCAGTGATCATCTTATCCCTGTTGAAATTCTAACAAACATAACTACCCCGACCAGCTCTTGTAATCGAGGGGAAAAAAAGATACACCCCTTTGAACAGACTATGCAGTCTGGTCACTTGGTAAACATAAGAAAGAAGATACACACTTAGATAGTTTGTGAACTTTGGATTGATCTCTAACATTGACAGCCATATTTAGTACTGTTTCTTGGAGTTCTCATCCAGTAGCTTGAAAGAAGAACTTTTAAATATCTTATATAATCATCATCATCATACCGAGACAGAGGAGGTAAATCCGAGGATGTCAACCTCAAGAGCCTTCGTCTTCCTGGTCTTATATCTGTCGGTAAGGTCATTGATTGAGTTTATTCATTCCAATCAAACCATAATATCTACCGTTGAAAACACTGATCCTGAGGATTATCCTTAGGGCAATCGGGCCAGGGTAATAGTATAATACTAGTATTTTGAAGGCGCCTTGAACGTCCCCCTGCATGGGATGGATATGTGCGCTATAAAAATGTGTAGCTTGTATTAGTAGTAGTAGTAGTAGTAGTAGTAGTAGTAGTAGTAGTAGTAGAAGTAGAAGTATAGTACTAGTTGTAGTAGTAGAAGTAGAAGCAATAGTAGTAGTAGAAACAGTAGTAGTAGTATATTAGTAGTAGTAGTAGTAGTAGTAGTAGTAGTAGTAGTAGTATTAGTAGTAGTAGTAGTAGAATAGTAGTAGTATAAGTAGTAGTAGTGATGGTGGTGGTGGTGGTGATGGTGGTGGTAATACTTATAGTGTTTTTTTTTTTTTCATTTTTATTTATTTGCTATTTGTATTCATAGATAACCTATGCATTTTTAGAAATAGGGAAGGTGTCTGCAAAGCGTGTTTGAAAATATTGTACTGGGTAATTTTTAAAATGTAAGATCTTATAAACTGGTGGAACAAAATCATTGCTCTTTTCATCCCAGGTTGTTCCTGGAAACACCGATGATTCAGGATGCACCTCCCAACTTAGTGTCGAAGCTGGGTGTGAGCAGGTACGTATGTGGCAGTGACCAGTATGCACGTATACAAGATCAATTAGTAAAGCAGTGTAAATGTATAATGTAAAATTCTGAAGGGTCTGGGCAATATAGATGTAATGGTAAATGCGGTAATTTAAATGACCTGTCACTCATAGATATTTGAGTTTCCCCATTTCTAATTTTATGAAATATCTTTTTCTTCCCCATCGCCTTCAAATTAGCATCATGAAGGTTGATTGTTATTAATAGCTCATGTTATGATAATGATAGTTTTGTTCCTGTGCTATAAAAATCGTTCAATATCACGGTGAAGTTCGTGTTAAATTTAAATATTTGTGTTTTTCTTTATTTTTGACAGTGTACTGACTGGGGTCACTGTGAACAGGAAACGGTTCCGGTTGACCCATGGATGCAATATGCTTTAAAGACACAACGAGAATTGCAGGTAAAGGATCAACATCATTATTATGATAAAACCAAATTTACAGTGTATGCACTTGGAGAGCAAAATAATTATTCTGTTGTATTTACTAATGTAAAGCCCTTTGAGTATGTTTATGTAAAAGCGCTTTATAAATATCAGTATGTATGTATGTATTCATTTTATTCGTTTATTACCCTTTCCTCATGGCAGTTTGTTTGTATTTCGTAAACCAGTATACAAAACTGCCTGTCACAATAATTTTATTGAAGAATAAAACAATAATTAAACCAAAAATTGAACAATTGAATTGAAATAAATGCACTTTGTGTTCACTTGCTGTGATTTTTTTCCTTTTCTTTTCTGTTCTTTCTTGGCAAGCTGTAAGTGCTTCATATATACTCAAAGAATGTCCCATCCTCTACTTTTCTTTTATCTTATTTTATCTTATCAGATCGACTTCACCTTTGATCAGTTCATCATGTTGGATGTGAGTTTTATTTTTTTATTCTTAACTTAACTCCTTTCATTAACGGACTGTTTTCAGCATATTTGCTCAGACTGGCGTCAGATTCTACTTCAGAAATACGAATTTGATCAATATTATATTTGTACTGTACAATTATGTTTGTTTAGCAAATAATGCATGCTTTTAATATATTCCTAAGTACGTTGCCAACTGACGATAATATATAACATGTTGATTTAGATTGCTGAAAGAAAATATAACTGTATTCTCATTATCTTCGCTATAGCGCTGATAAATAAAAGTATATCTACATGCATATGGTATAATCTCTTTAACTTAATTCTATAGAAACGAAAAGTCAAATGCTTCACATTGATTATACCTGATGGAATTTATATCTTAATTCAAATTCTTTTACAATTCATATAATATACAGATAGTCTAAGTAGATAATATTGATGATACTAACAAATTATTTTTAATAATAAATTATTCCATTATAGTCTCACAATAGTTTCCAGGCAAGAGCTTATGGATTGAGATATGGAGGTAAGTGTTATGGAATCTCCTTTTTTTTTCTTCATTTCCCATATTGTATTATGTTCGGTATGGGCTAAACATCGTAAAGACTGTTCCTCTACTTTGCTGAAATCAAAGTTAAAAATCAGAACCCAGTATCAGAATTTTCTTTTATTGGTTACATTATTATAGAGATAAACCTGAAAGATAATCCCTGTGCCAAAATGGGCGGAAAGTGTTTATTTCTAAATGAAATGAGTTTTTCAATTTATCATTAAAATGAATAACGAAGATAAAATATCACCTCCTTTAAAAACTCGAATCAGATGATGACCAGTCTCACTTTATATAATGAAAATTTAATGAGTGACTCATTTTAAAGATATTTTTTCTCCAATTGTATTCAACAGCGCCGCTTGAAATACCAGCAATTTGTTCAAAAGGCACCACGTCTAATATTGTTCATGTAAATATACAAATATTCGTTTTAAAAAGACAAGATGACCGTTACAATGGTTACATCTCATGATAGAAAAATAACTCACTGATTTTATTTTGAATAATTATTTTTCTCTCGCTCTCCGTCAGCCAATGATACATGTGTGTGGCCGCCACCTTACCCCGAGAACTGCACATCGATTGCAAACCATGAATTCACGATCGTTGACCAACTCAATCTCGGTATGAGAGGCATCGAGATTGATAACTGGTACTGCTACGGCGCGGTAAATACCTTATTTTTTCATATTCGCGATTTTATTACTATAGACTGGAATATTTTATTTATTTGTATTTCATTCATCAACGAGATTGACTTTACACATACTTTCTGTTTAATTTATAACAATTAGTTCAGGATATTCCTCCTTTTTATATTTTACTTAACGGTTCTGATAATTATGGTCTTGGAATTTAGTGTAAGGTTTTCATATGATGCATCTGCCGTGTTTTTATGCTTCAAATATTAAATGAGAACAATGAACGCAATCAACGAAGAATGTCACTTTGAGTGCTGTAAACGTGGTAAATTTGTTGCTTTATTATAAAGCTGTTATTGCTATAATTCTGGTCACTTATTAAAGTTTCGTTAAAACTTTATGAAACTACGTTGGTTTATTAATAACATAGAGGTATTTTCCTGCCTTAGAATAATATTGAGTGACTGTGAAATAAAATTATACTTCAGAACTTAATCAATATTTATTTTTCGAAAACTATGAAATATGTCAAATCTCGTCTTTTTTACTTTGTGCCTAACAAGATAGGTGGATAATGCAGGAAGCTTATAAAGGCTAAGAAAGCTAACCCATTCCAAAAGTTTAGAAACATTTTAGTTGTCATCATTGTTTTTTAATCCCCCCCCCCATATTTCCTCAGATGCGAGTGTGCCACCTGGGTACCCATGAGTACCTTGGTGTATGTGAAGCTGATCACATGTTATTTGCTGATCTCCTCGGTGATATTGGAGATTGGTTGGATCAACCTGAGAACCAAGATGAAATCATTCGACTCTACTTTAACGTGAGTAAAATTAATGTTTCGATGTTGTAATTTCCACGTCTTTATCATCATATTTGGTATCATAACCAGAACCTAAATTAAATCTTTCTTGAATTCCATGATAACACATTTACGAATATTCTCGAAAGATACATGAACATAAAACAGGAGGGACACAATAGTTTCGCGACCCTCAATTCGGAATAGGTCTCATCATTATTGTGCCCCAAACCCCTAAAATTAAAAAAAAAAAAAGTTTGGACAACGGCCATAGCATGCACGTATGAGATTTGAGGGGCGCCCCCTGTATGTCAAAATCAAAGATCCTCGGCAAGACCTTGATATTAAGGCCCGGTCTCACCGCCAGAACTTTGCTGGAGCGTTCCTGGAGGCTGGAGCGGTGAAAAAAATTCATCACCGCTCGTAACCGTTCACCACCGTTTAACAGAAGTTGGCCCCCGTTAAGGCAACACCGTATACCCTCGGCCACCGCTGATGGTCCCTCCTACCGCTCCGAAAGTTTTGAGCTGCACAAATATTGCGAGCGGTGAGGAGCGGGCAATTTTCCGCTCCGGCAAAGTTCACCACCGCTCCAACAACGCCCAGTCAAAGTTTGGCACCGCTAGACGCAAGTTCGTGGACGCTTTGGTCCGCTAGGCCAACGCAGAAATCTTGAACGCTGGACCACCGCTGCTTCGCCAGCTTTGCCCGGGCGGTGATTAAACGTTGCACAAACTTTGGTGGAGCGGTTGTAAGCGTTTTACGAGCGGACACGGGATTGCTGGAACGGGGTCGGGCGTTGAAGCAGCGATCCATTGCGGTGATGAACTTTGGTTTGGCGTTGGTATGGAGGTGTCGGAGCGGATCCAACGCTCGCTACCGCTCGCTACCGTTAAACCAACGCTAAAGCAACCCCGGCTTCAGCGGTGCACCGCTAAGGCAACGCCCGTGTTTTCGATTTGTTTCCCATTTTGTGCGCGGTGACGAGCGTTGTCGAAATTCGGCCCCCTCTCCCTACCGTTCAAGGAACGCTCCAGCAAAGTTCTGGCGGTGAGACCGGGCCTTAAGATATAGGCTGATGGAATAACTATGTATGTTTTGAATATTATTGTTAATGGTGAATTAATCAAATGCATTGAATGCAACGTCGCAAAAGCGCGCTTTTCGAAAAAGGGGTATTGAAGGGAGATGGGGAAACCATCGTTAAAGCGTCTTATGAATTCACATTTCTTACCGATTTCAGTAGTTGTTGTTGATGTTTTTTGTTTTAATATTCGATTTGTTTTGTTATAATCCTTCACAGGAGAAGGAAGACCAAGGCCATGATGATGAAGTGAATGCCATGATTCGGGATGCTTTCGGTACACGGGTACTTACACCATCAGACCTAAGGGATACCTATGGTGGTTCGTGGCCAACTATAAGGAAGATGCGAGAGGTATGATGCATCCATGGGCGTATATGGGTACACATCTGGCTGGCCCCTTGGGGCTGTCATCACCCCCATCTCTTTCCCCCTACCCCCCCCCCCCCCCTCTCTCTCTCTCTCTCTCTCTCTCCCTCCCTCCCTCTCCCCTCTCTCTCTCTCCTCCCCCCTCTCCACTCTCTCTCTCCCTCTCCACTCTCTCTCTCCCTCCCTCACCCTCTCTCTCTCTCTCCCTCCCCCTCTCCCCTCTCTCTCTCTCCCTCCCTCCCCCTCTTTCTCTCTCTCCCTCCCTCTCCTCCTCTGTCTCTCTCTTTCTTGTCCTCTATACCTTGTCTATGTCTTTGTCTATCTTTATCTCGCTCACCTTCCCGTTCCCTCTTTTTTCATTTCTCTCTATCCTTCATCGTTTCCTCCGTCCCCCATCCCCTCCCCTCAACTACTTTGATCTCTCTTCCCGTGCATCTCCTTCCTTTCATGCTATTTGTTTCGTAGAAAATCTCGGTTTCGAAATAAACACAAGACGTTTTTTCTGCAACACCTTCGTTCTCTAATGGTCCCTCGGATATGACTTCAAATCATGTGTCCCCTTATACTCACCTTTACACTCCTATCATGATTACAGTGACATAAACTTCTTGCAGTTATATATTAAATCATTTTTAATATTTGAATGCATTGTAAAAAGGTTTCTGTCGTATTTTCTTAATGTGAATCAACAGGATGGTAAGCATGTCCTTATTGCAGCAGGTGGTACATACGGGTTCTTTACCCATGGTGACGTCTACATTCATCCACTCTACTTTGATGCTGATCTAAGAACGAACCTGGTAAGCTCGATCGGTCCTCTTTCTTTCATCAGTTTTATTGCAATCAATAACTCAATAGGAGAGATACAAGATAGTGGTAATGGATGATGATGTATAAGTTCAGCTGTTAGTGTAAAGAATGTACTGAATATTTGATATCGACTTAATCTCGTCCCTTTGCATTTAAGATGATGTAAGTATATTCATTTACATAATCATAATGTCAATATTATCATTGTCTACAGATCACCCTTTTGATATTATGTGTTGATTTAAATGTACATTGATAATTTACTCTGCATATGCCTTTCTGTAATTTCGACGGGATCTTCTCCACCCCCACCCAACCCCCCCCCCAAAAAAAAATCTCTCTCTCTCTCTCACTCACTACCAATCATGCTTTTAAAAGTTTCTTTCTTTTAACTCTCGATTCAGTTTACGCCATACCCTGACTGCAGTGGTCGGAACGATACCAATATCGTACGTGTTTACAGTGACAGTTTGAACTTTCCACTCAACGAGAAGGGGTAGGTTATCCATGTTCTGCTTACAGCGAGTCTTAGTGAAAGACTACCCATTGATACCTTACTTAAGCTCAGAATTACAGAGAAAATGTCAATAGAAATATCTATGTGCATGCCCAAAAGCGCCATTTAGCGCCTCAGCATTTATGACATGACGGTTCTTCGTGGAAGATCAAATTGTTAGAAGTTGTGACAATGATCGAAGGAAAAGGGGGAAAATGAACATTCAATTGTAATTTCCTATGTGTTATGTGTACATCCATTGTGTCTTAATTACTTACAGGTGGCATCTCGAAACATTTTAGACCACATTAAAGCCTACCTATCTATCTATTTATCTATCTATCTATCTATCTATCTACCATCTATCTATCTATCTATCTACCTACCTATCTAACATTATTTATCTATCATATATCTATCAATCTATCATAAATCTATATAATATCTAACTATCTAACTAACTAACCCTATCTATTTATCATTATATCTTTCCATCCATCTATCTTTCTAACCATATCTATATATCATCTATCTATCTATCTATCTATCTATCTATCTATCTTTCTATCTATATCTAACCCTATCTATCTACAATCTATCTTTATTATCTAGCTATCCATCAATCTATCTAATGTATGTATCTTTCTATCTACCTGAAATCGCAGATATTACAGTGGCGAGGAAACTGTAGGATCTATCAAAGATTTGACCGAGTATGTGAAATGTCGTATCCAGTACCCTACTCTGGACATGATCAATCCAGACCTGATCAAGACCGGTGTCTGGACATGGGCTGAGGGTCAACCCAGTGGAGAACTCTCTTATGACTCGTGTGTCATGCTCAAGTAAGCCATCACCTTTAAAGAGAAAAGAATAATAGGAATATTTGGTCGAAGAAGAAAAAAACAAGAAAAAAAACGTAGTAATACCATTCTACAGGCCTATTGCCACATTAAATGTCTTATGTAGTTGCCATGTTTTAACATTATTTGAGGTAACGGGATAAAAAAAAAAAGGCATCATCAGTGCTATACCTCATCAATGGGTGAAGCTTTTATAAAACGAAAAAAGATAAGACTGTGAAAGATGAATATTCGAATGGTTACAATGATATTGGTGGTGGTAATAATGATGATGATGATGATGAGGATGATGGTGGTGATGATGATGGCGGTGGTGGTGATGATGATGATGATGATGATAATGATGATCATGATGATAATGATGAGGATGGTGATGGTGGTGGTGGTGATGACGGTGGTTGTGGTGGTGGTGATGATGATGACGATAATGACAATGTTAGGAATAATGAATTGATGCCTGGTGGTGATGATGGTAACGATGGTGATGATGACGGTGCTAACGAGGATGATGGTTGTGATGGTAATAATGACTTTACCGATGATGACGATAATAATGATGAGGGGAGGGCTGATGAATATTTTGTATATGCTGGTGATTCAAACAGTTCGATTTGCCCGATTTTATTCATTATCAATATTTAATTTGAGGCTTCTACCTTATCAGATATACCATGCCTCAATATGACTTTATTCTAACCCGACAGAGGTACCGACCACCGTTGGTATGTATCTTCGGACTGCTCCGAGAACCATTATTACGCGTGTCAACACGACAATGATCATGAAGTCTGGACAGTGAGTGATGAAGCGGGGCCGTACTCGACAACAGGTGATGTGTGTCCACAGGGATACTCCTTCAGTATTCCTCATAATGGATACAGAAAGCAAAAGGTACGAATCACGAACCACGTCTTCAATACGGGATCCCCTCAATATCTTTACAGAATCTAGGTTTAAACTTCATTAAAGATCGGAATGTCACTGGCGGATTTATGTCCACCGGTCCGTGCCCCCTCCCCTTGAAACCCAAGAATCTCCCCCTTTTTCAAATGCTGACTTCGTTTGTAATGTAAGAATGTGAATTCTTCACCGAGTATTTTGTTTTTGTTTTGCATGTATACTTTCTGAAGCTATCTTTTTCTACTGACAGTCTGATTTTTATTTATTTTATATATATTATTTTTATTGATTAATTTCAGTGTAGCTTTTTTTTAATCCGGTAACTCTTTGTTATACATGTATGATTCGTTGGTAGCAAGTTTTAAGACAGTATAGAAGTCGTTTTCTTTTATAGGAACACATTCACGATAATAATGATGGTATTCAATTGAACGTTGAATCTTTTCATCGACCATTTTCCCGCCAATAGTTGATCGAGTCTTCACAAGACAAGGATGTCTGGCTAAACTTCTCCCAGTGGCTCCCGTCCGGACCCGTTGAACCAACTGATGCTAAGATGACGACTGACGACTCTGCTGCACACCGCCTCATCGGTACACCTGGGATCGTCCTCGCCCTCCTGAGTATTCTACTCGCACTTTGAATCTCGAGTCTATTCTCATCAGCAGACAGTCCACTATAGGTATAATTGTCAACATTAAAATTCCGAAAAATAGAAGGAATATAATGAAAGACTCGATGATTCATTTCTTATTCAGAATTTTGTAGTTTCGGATAAACTATAGAGAGGTTTTCGTTTACAACAAAAATATAGTTATCAGTTGATTGTGATAGCAAAAAAATGGGCTTGGTGAATTATTCCTTTCAATTTTGATTGAATAAAGCATACATTTATTTAGAATGTTAGTCGTGACAATACTGGAAGGTTTCCAAGAAAAAAAGAGTAATTATAGAGTGTTAAACGGGGATTTCATTATCTTTTTATACATTGTTTTCCTTTTCAATTTGGCAAAAGGACGTTAAAAGGTGACGTGGAAATTGGCGTAGTTTTTCAACTAAATAAAATAATGTCATATTAAAAGGTGAACTGACACCCGTTCATTCATCACAGTTCTGTAATTTTGATGAACCATAACACTGTTTATTAATACCTTTTATATCATTTCAAGTTGTGAGTTTCTGTCAAAAACACTGCATACTTTTGCAAAAAATAGTATAATTTTAGTAACTTTTGAAGTTTTATAACAGATTCCGTTCATAGTATACTGGCCTTACCCTCAAGTGTGTTATACCCAAAGGTTCGCCGGCGTACATTTTTGAAATAAATATTTCTTATTTTGTAGTAACTTTTTCTTTAAAAAAGATTTATTAATTCTTACCAATTATAAAGTTTCTAGAATGCATACCGTTGTTTTTAATAAATGATCAAATAAATAGAGATTTCGTCAATATAGTATTTTTGATCTATGGGGAGCGTATATTTACTTATGCTGCCCCTGCTCTCTGGAACACTATCCCATTTCTTATGAAGGATGCATCGACAAGTTATAAAATCGAAACTTTCCTTAAAGCATACTCGTTTATGCAGCATTTTGATAGAGTTATAGTCGGGCATTTACAGCACCTATATCTCCCTTTTATATCCTTCTCCCTAAACGCATAGAGAAGCCGCGGAAGAAATAAAGCGCTATTAAAGCACTATGGTAGCATTATCATTATTAAAACTTGTAAATGAAAGCAAATCGAATCGAATTTTTAAAAGGTGAAAATGAAATGCGAGGAGTTGGAGTTCGTTCAGCGCCGATGACTTCCCCTTTTCCATAATTGTTTAGCAAAAAAAATGGCGTGTCTATACGATCCCATGCAGTCCTTCTGAAATTATTGAGTGTTTTAAGACTGGCAATCCCTCTTTAGAATAACTATTTCTGAAGTGGGATTTGTTCCCATCTAGATCCTTGTGAGCTAACAGCCATCTTCTCTTTCCACTTCTGGGAGTTAGCGTTGCCGTTTTTGCATTTATTTCTATTGAACAATAGAAATTGAGTGTCCTTGAAAAAGAAAAGAAAAATCGGCCAGTCGTATTGTTTGAAGAAGATGATGTCCATAGGAAGAGTGACGAAGAAGATAGAAAGTGTACGGGAGAGAGTGGATGGAGGTGGTAAAGAGAGAGAGAGAGAGAGAGAGAGGGGGAGAGAGAGAGAATGAGAGAGAGAGAATGAAAGAGAGAGAGTGTGTGTTTGTGTGTGTGTTTGTGTGTGTGTTTGTGTAAGGAAGAGAGGGAGAGAGAGAGGGAGCAAGAGGAAGGGGATATGAGAGATAGCTAGTGAAAAGTTGGATGGAGGTGGGAAAGAGAAAGAGAGAGAGGGATAGAGAGAGAGAGAGAGAGAGAGAAGGAGAGAGAGAGAATGAGAGAGAGAGAGTGTGTGTTTGTGTGTGTGTAAGAAAGAGAGGGAGAGAGAGAGGGAGCAAGAGGAAGGGGATATGAGAGATAGATAGAGTAAAGTGAAATCTTCAAGGTAGTTTAAGCGTGAAAAGAAGGGCAGTTGGAGAAGAAAGAACATTATGCCCGAACTTGTTTGGGTGTGTCGGTTAGAACAAAATACCTTGTTCACTTTCACCCTCCCTGTATCTCTATTTCTTTCTTATTTCTCTTTCTCTCTCTCTCTCTCTCTCTCTCTCTCTCTCTTCTCTCTCTCTCCCTCACTGCCCCCCTCTCTCTACCCCTCGGTCGGTCTTTCCTCATCACTATCCATTATTTTATCTCTTTCACACGCACGCACACACACACACACACTCACCCACACCCAAACCGTTTTCCAGCCTTTTTAGGCTCTCTCCACTCTCTTAATAAATTTGATTTTCCTTTTATAAATGATATAGCTGTTAAACAGCAAAGACCTATGTTATGTAATTTTCTTTCATGTTTAGTGCGTTCATAATTATTACAACCCCTTAAAAAATCACTCAAAGTAATAATCGTACTGTTTCCCTATTGTTCCAAAGTAAATAATATTATTATATGGAATTAGTAAGAATGCAAAGCGTGGTCAAGATATATTTTTCATACAATTATTGTCATACTTTATTTAATAAAGATATGCAGATTGCAATAGTTAACTATTATTAGACATGTAAAGTATTTGTTTAACAGTGATTGTTGATACATTTATATACAGAATTATATACACTTCCAAATAAATATGATTATGATTGTGCTAGCTATGATGGCAATTGAGATCAACCACATTAATACACAAACTATGAAACTTTGATCGATATAATGCAACCAGTAACGTCAGATATGTACAAACATAATAGGAACATGCTTAAACATTTATTCTGATGCCAGTACAATGGCAAAGAACTCGATGCATTAAAAAGTGCATTCGCTTTTGTAACTCAATTTGTCAATACAACCCACGATCACTCAACGCCTGTGGGGAGACAAGGAGAGAACGCTAAAAGAAAATGATTTCCCGCCTGCTATATGATCATTTATTTGTTTGCGAGGAAAAGTGAAGTGCGATTAAGCAATTTGTAGAGCCACTTGAAAACAAGCTCATCAGGCCTAATGTGGGATGATGAACTAAAATGTAGGTTTTTTGTTTTCTCGTATGACGGGAAATCAATAGCACTAGAGAGCGATTTGCTGCTCGGCTAGGCTCGGGTGGCGCCGCTGTGGTGTTAAGGTGGTAGGTTACCAGGGCGCCCTATTACCACCGTGTACTTTGTTGATGGATGATCTTTTGGATATGAGGAGAAGTACCTTGTAGCCTTCCACGCCCCCAAGGGATGTACCAAGTACACTTAACTTGAATGATCGCTAATATCACAGCTAACAGGCTTCAAAGATTTTTAAAGGAAATTCGCAACACGACATATTATAACCTCTTTACTATTATATTGCACATAAGTGTTTTCACTTTCTTTTTACAGAGCTTAGGGTTTGTTTATCCACAGTTTTTCTTCTTTTTTTTCTTTTTAAATAGCAGGAAGAGGAATACAAAAAAAAGGAATGCAAAATGTTTAGGGCATACATTTTATGTTAAAGATGGGGGGAAAAACTAAATACACAATAATTTCGTAAGGGACTTTTTCTTGAGTATAATGTTCATTACAAATCAGTCATCAAAATTCGTTATCATCAATGTTATGAAACTCTTTTTTAAATTGAATACAACTATATCAATTTTGTTCCAGTAAAATTTAAATATGCTACAATACTGTAGATTGTGCTCCTGCGCTTGAACCCATTTGTAATGAACAGAAATTCGAATAAAATGTGTTGTTTTCTGCAACTGCAGAACACATGAATGTTATATTTTCAACATAGGCAATTATATAAAAAAAAATTAATTGTCAGTCATTGATGATAATAATTGACTTAAATCTGACTTTTCTTGCGACGTTTTTTTCTTTAAATAAACATGGACCAATAGAGTAGATCAATAATATAATTATTCAAAAGTACTATTACACATTTAATTAATAATCCACTGTAGTATGTTTATTAATTGTTTATGTTTCTGTTTTAAAGGTCCACACGCACCTCTGAAAGTTTTCTATACAAAAACGACATAAACTCATATACTGGTGTGAACGTTTAGATTAAGTTTCCAATTTTTCAGATTGCCTTTAGAACTATGCCAACACCAGACACGCCATTACACAATCGAATCGCTTTTGTACATGGAAAACATCGGCGTTCTTTTGGGATTAAATACATTGGAATGCTTAGGAAATAGTTCTACAGTACGTTTAAAAGTATCAAGACAATATCAATTAAAGTGGTTCATTAACATTTTCGTTTCTATAAGAATCAAATGGTGAAACAATCAAATATAATTGGTGGAATCAACAAAGCATGGAAAGAATTTGCTTCTTACATAATAATTTGTTGTTTTCAATATGAAATGCAAAATGCATTTTAAAAATGAGATATTTGCAGTATAGCCATGTATATTAAAACTGATTTCCTTAACACTTATATTCACAATATATTTCAAGAAATTAGGAAATTGAAACACATTCAATTGGTGGACATAACAGCAATTGCAATCTTCTTAACTAAACCGATCTTTATAGACATGTGTGTCTCATAGTAGTATACTAAAAGACGGGATGGAGGAAAGAAATACAGGATAATATTAAGTTAAAATTATAAAGTGTTTGAATTTATAAGTAAAAGTGTAAACAAAAATGCTCATGCACATTGTGTATTCTACGACAATTGTATTCTTAATTATCACTCTTTATTCTAAACCATTGTTCAGTATCACATTTGCCAATAAAATGTAACCTAAAGGGAACACGAGACGTCGTGGGAAATAGTAAACTTCTCACTTATTTATAAGTTTAAGTTTTTTAATTTAAGTATTTATGAGAAGCTCCTGTAAAAAGAATTATGTTATGATACAAAACGAGGATTGTCAATTTATTGTCTTATAAGACTTCATCTTTTCTATTTAAAAAAAAAATACCAATTTTGTTTCCTTCTTTCTTTCTTCTAAAATCGTATATGTTTTGATGCTGTAGGTAGCAAATGAATATTGCATATTAACAGAACATTATTCACTTATCCGCTAATGATCATGTGAAAATGGCAAAAAAATATATATATTCACCGTATTACATAGGCTACATACGAAACGCACGAACATAAAATTACTCGGTAACTTGATACACATTTTACATAGAAAAATTGACATTATCTTTTAGAACTGAGAAGGAACAAGTGGAACCGTACCTGCCCTCTTCAAAGCCTTTGCGTGACCTTTTCTCCCATTATCCGACGTCTTGTCGTGCAACTTCCGTGTGTGTTTCTTTAGATCAAAGTTCCTGCAGAAACCTTTGCCGCAAATGCCGCAGGTGAAAGGCTTCTGTTCCCGATGGGTGTGCATGTGGAAAGTCAGGTTGTAGACCTGGTGGAAAGCCTTGTGGCAGATGTGGCACTTGAATGCCTTTTCAGAGCTGTGGGTAAGACGGTGGTTCTTGTAATTGCCTTTCTGATGGAACCCCTTGCCGCAGAACTCGCATATGAATGGCTTAAAGTCGGCGTGGATCCTCATGTGTGTGTTGAGGGTTGAGCTACGGTTAAATGCCTTGCCGCATTCATGACAACGGTGGGGTTTTTCGTTGGTATGGATGATCTTATGTCGGCACAGTGTACTGGCCTGGCGGAACCCCTTTCCACAGACCTTACAAACGAAAGGACGAGCACCCGTATGGACAGGCATGTGCCGGGTAAGGTTGTAATGTGCATTAAAGATCTTTCCACACTCAGAACAAACAAAGGTCTTTGGTTTATTGCCATCTTGTCGACGTGCAATATGCGTAGCGGTGTTGGATTCCCTCGTCGACAGCGTCGTCGACTTGTCAGACCTAGCTTGTCGATGCATCGATGGATTATCGAGGGATGCGCTTTTGTTAACATTTTGTCGGCTTGCATTCCCATTTTCCCTCACCGGGGCGGTGCTGATGGGGCTAAATCTAGCGTTAAGTTCGTCGACGCGTTGGGTGGATTTGAAAGCTGATGGGACAACTAGATCTGACATTAAGGATGACTTTGAAGCTTTTAATTTCAAATGCTGAGACCAAAAGTCAGATGTAAGAGGATGATATGGTGGGGATGTTGAAGACGAAGAGGTAGACGATGACGGAGATATTGTTGAGGGAGAAGAAAATGACGTCGATATTGCTCTAGATTTGTCCATATCTCTAGGCCAATTTCTTCTCTCCGGAACTTTCTTGTTGGGTCTACACAAAGCTTTCATGAAGTCCAACTCGTTGCCATCCGATGAAAACTGGTTGCTACGAAATGGAAAGAAACTTGGCCAGCTTGGACAGAAATTTCTGCCCAAGCCATAAGTAGGGTCTTTTGCATACACCACCCTATGTAGCGACTCGAGAGCGTAGTACTCAGCATGGAGGCCGTAGAAGTTGGAAGCTGCCCCAGGAATGAAGGATGGTTGAGGTCCAGGTTGGAGCAGTTCCTCGCTCTGAGATGCAAATACCCTCTCAGATCTCACTTTGGACTGATGATGTAGTGGTGTGTGGATATGACTACGTTGTGAAATACCCTTCAGTTTATGGAATGCATCTTCGTTCACCGATGGCTCAAGTTTAGATTTCTTCATCTTCTTGATTCCTAAGATGCTATCAATTGAAAATGTGAGTTTTGGTGATTCACGCTTAACCGTGTGACTCTTTCTCGTAACCGAGTCAGCCATTTTGAAATTAAGAATGCTTCTTTCATGTACTAAAGCTTATGTTTCAATATAAATTGCGCTCAAATCCAAAGGAGTGTCCAGAATTATTAGAAGCAAAATGTTCCGTTTTCATAAACGCCAAGATAGAGGTAAAAATAAAAACTTTCCAACGCTCTGATTAAAAAAACCTATGCGAAGAAGTGTGTTTTTCTATTCTGTTTTATGATAGTACAAATTAATGTCCAAATCCAACTCTACCTCGTGCATGTATGGTGACTCTTTGAATCGGTCAAAACGGCAGCATAAACTTTCCCTGTCCGCCACGCACCCTTCTGATGAAGATAAAGACGTCGAGCGATCGAGCAGGTTGTGAGGTCCGGCAATGAGCGGGGTGGAGCAAGCCGAACGAGCCGGAAGGAAAATTTGTTTGTTACTGTAACCGCCTCTAAGAGCAACCTCCGCTTGAGCTCTGCCGCTGAGTGTTGACTGCGGTGAGGTATCCGCTCCCTGTCATTCATCCAGTGCCCTGCGGAGCAAGTTCAACGCAAAAGAGAGAGTGAATTAAGGGGTTGGAGAGCTGCGGGATAGAGTGGTGGTATAGTCTGCCCAGGACAATAGCATAGCGGGATAACACTGACTAAAATCACTTGTAACTTTCTTTGTACGACAGTGTCTTCCTTTTATGACAAGAACGTGGACAAATACAAGAGAAAGAATGAAGGATTTCCGGCAATTTGTGGTATTGAATATACGTCTGTTAGGATAAATTAGAATCTCAAGTGCTTCTACTTTCCTGAAGGTTTGGCAGGTAAATCTTGATTGGCATGCGATTAGAATAAACGTAGACATGGTGGTTGTGTACAAAAATAACAGGTACAAAATAAATGACATCTCATTTATTTATCTGCGATTGATTTTTTAAAGAATCTACTTCAAAAAAAACTTTGGTGGTAAATGGATATTGTCTCAAGATAGATTGTCAGGTCGGAATTAAAAATTTATCAATTTTGTTTTCTCACGCTAAGACTATAGGCCTGATAAATTTGCAAATGACATAACTAAAATACTGTACCCTTGATAACAAAATAGTGGCTCATAGCGTGATTCTTAAAATATTTTATATGATTGTGTTATGATGTAAACCTTTGAATCGTGAAATTATTTCATTTCGGGTTTTAAAAGAGAATGAATAATTGAATACACTGATGCAGAAAAAAAAGAATCTTGTATCTTTTCACGCTTTTGTGTGTTATAAAATATTATGAAATAAGCATTGAAGATATTGTAAATAAATTATTGTTTCAGCAAAAAAAAAGTTGAAAGTGGTATTGAATTCTTAGAATTTACTTTATGATTGATAAATCATTTACAAACAATAAACAATGTTCAACAAAGAAAAATTGTATCTAACATTATTTTCGATAATCCCATAGTATTTACAAAAGTTTATGTTTACTTTATGAATGGTCCCCAGTTTCAAATTTAGGTAATCTGTGTTCGTCATGTCGATGGATAAAGATATTATTTTCTTTTTACATAATCATTATTTTGCAATCAAGTAAGATATATTTACTTTTTTCCATCTTGTTAGCAAGCATCTTGGAATTTAAATATAAAATTATAGGCTATTGGTGTGTCGACTGTCGAGGTATTTTCCATTTTAAAATATTTATTTTTCTACAATAATGTGACAGTTGTCTGTACCTTACTACTAAAGCTACCTTCCGTTCATATAAAACATTTTAGAGTTCATTTGAAAATGAAGTTATGCTTGTATAACTACTTTTTAATTTAGAATTATAAATGAACATAATATTTTCATACAACTATCTTCCTTTTTCAGTACAGTTATCAAATAGAATATTGGTTCTTTAGAGGGTTCGATTTCCTAAAAAACCGACGCTTAAAATTCATTTAAATGTCTTGAAAAAATGAAAGTGTTACAGATAGCAAGTTATTAAAAAATGTAAATGTGCAATAGTATTCTTTGAAACACACAAAATTAGAGAAATAAAAAATAGGAGCTTACCATATACAATTGGTTGAAAGTGTCTTGTCCAAATAAAACTTAGTGAGTAACTCAAGGGAACACTCTCAGTGAACTAGCCGGCTCCGAGCCGCCTGACGATTGCAGTCTGGTAGCCTATATGGCACGAAGGAAGAGTTGCAGAGCAAGTGCCAAGAAAAAAGATGAAATTTGCCTCAAAAATGCTTCAGTGCCAAATGAAAAAGCCACAGAGTTTGAAATCGCTTTGGAAATCAAACAACAAATTGAGTCGAGATGAAATGCGTCCCTTCTTTTATATCTCCAAATTTGTACCCTTCGTAATCGTACCGGATACTAAGAAGGAAAATGTTGGGATGGATTGGACGACTGGTCACTCTACTTCTACTTCTACGCCATTTACGTACGGGGCGCCGAAATGGGGGAAAGGGGTGAACGGTGCTCGATCTGCGCGCGCGTCCTCGCAAGAAAGTACTTCGTAAAGCACTTGTATACACCAACAGCTCCAACCAATGAGGTTTGAGATCGTCGCAGATGATAATTATGTAAACTCGACATGATCCGATTTATAAAACATAGGAATATAAAACAATGACAATTTGTTCTGTCATGACTGGATACCCCTGAGAAAGTTAACACGGAGATTCGAATCAAGTCTTTATCTAATAATTGTTCTCTTAACTGACTGTTTTGAGAAGAAAACTGTCATTGAAATACGAAGCGATTTTGGAGGGGAAATTTCTTACCCAAAGTGAAGCATGTTTAAACAGAGTATTTCTCATTTTCGTGATAATCACGATGTGAATAATATTTCTTTCATTTTCTTTCCCTTTCTCTCTTAATCATTTCCTCTATTCTCTTTTATCCATATCAATACCTCTACAAATTATAAAAAAGCTTACAAAAAAAAAGTTATCATATATTTCTCCTTTTTTAATACTCTCTTCAGTAGGCATTCCGAGACAACAATAGTTAAAATAATCATTTCAGGTAGTAAGGTAAATGCATTTTTATGTAAGGACATATTGAGTGGTCATATAGATTTGATTACACTTGTTCTTTCTACAGTGTTCTCTTATGTTGTTGTTTTGTTTGTTTCGATTTTACATTTTCCCTTTTAATCACTGCCATGACAATAATGATCAATGTTATTTTCCTTCCAATTATTTGTAATTAATTTATCATTTGAAAATTGCATCAAGACTTTGCAAAAAGGCTTGATTCATTTAAAAAAAATCTCAGTCTATAAATAGATAAAGTTAAGCAAAGTTTTAGAGCAAAAGAACTATTCAAAAGTCAAGTTTATAAGCATCATTTTTGTCCAATATAATTTTAAACACAGTGACCATTTCAGGAACCACAAAATAAAACTGTTGTTTTTAAGCACTTACCTACCATTTGAGGCAATCAAAAGTGCCATAATGGCAATCTCTGCTTCTTAACAGTTTGTTTTTACTGATTTTTTGCTTACGAAAGGAAGACGGGTATTCGCCGGCTCTGCGGTATATACATTACTACAAGATACATTCAATTTTAAAAGAGAAGACAACTGTTTGAAGAATTTGACTTTAGGGGAATAGTTTAAAATACAGGTAATAGCGAAATCTTGGTGTCTGATTGACTTCTTTGCTTGATTGATTTTTGTTTGTTGATTTAAAAAAAAATTACACAGACAAACAGTGATTTTAACTGAAATTTACAACCTGATAATGATAGTCGATCTAAGGATTAATTCTTTAACATAATAGTTAGCCGACTTTTTTTTTTTTTTTTTTTTTTTTTTTTGTTGTTATCCCGAGACCTTCCGTTTCCAAGACCACTGCTCTGTTCACCGAGCTATCGCAACTTTAGATCATATAAATGCTAATTCAGTAAATTAAAATGGGGTTTATTTTTGTTGCGGCAGCATTATGAAAGGTCAAATTGGTGGAGGAGCTTGTAGAATAAAACTAGATCTTCTCTCTTAGCAGGTGATTGTCGAGGTGAGAAAAGTTCAATCATTTAAAAAGACCAAGAAGCAGTGTGAGAATGACTTCGTTTTTTTATTATTTGAAAATTCATAATTTCATTAATCTTACATTTTGTGAGTCAGGCAACCCATCGTCCCTTCGGTGATATTTTGTTTCTCTCATAAAATGTATTTTTCTTCCTGACCCTCTTTTTTATAACTATTTTTTGCTGTACACCCCATCAATTTGTATTTTCCTTTATTGTCTTCATCGTCATTTTCTTTTTGAAATTATCTTTTGTAAATCACTCTTGAGCAGCAGTTGACTGAAGCAAGTGTTTCCTGATGAAATAAATTAAATAAAAGGAGATGAATTGAAATAACCTTTATTTGATCATTCTCCAACCCTTCCTTTATAATCTCCTATCGAGACAAAATAAGCCGCTATCCAGGTGTTTGCCTTGGCTAGATTGCCTGAATATCAGCCTCATTACGAAACTAAAGAAATCATTTTGAATCCTCGAATTTCCGAATGTGAAGATCCATTCATGTCTTACAATAGAAAGGTACATCGACCTCTTTCAAGTATGTCTTAAGATAGCCGAAAGGTATGCTCTCCAAAAGCGCCATTTCTCCACTCTATTCATTATGTTTCTTTGACTCGTCATTTGAAAGGCAGAACTCGAAATCTTTTTAGGGGCCATCTTTGAATAGAGCCCGACACCTAGAGTGGAAGAACCTTGTGAATGGAAAGGGGTTGAATTCGGCGATAACAAGGGAGCAATTAGTTTTTGTTAGACCTCGACTTAGCGGCATTAAATGATCCATAGGAAAACAATAGACGAACAATCCGACATAGTTTACTGCCTGTGGGACTGTTGGCTTGAGAGTACTTGCACACAATGGCGATGTGATGTATAAAAAACGAAAAGCTTGCCTTGGTGGGGTGGTAGGAGATCCAATCTGTCAATATTGCTTATAGCCCGATTTTGATCGGCTAGTTATCAATAGACGAGCTAATAAACCCGTTACTGTTCACACATTAGTTGAGCTTAGACTCTCGATAACAATTCGCTCGGTTGGGTATCGTCCATCGCACTTTGTTCTGTAAAAAGAAGGGAAGAAAGAAGAAATTGAAAAAAAGAAACTGGATAAAGAAGCAAAAAGGTAAACGTAGAATAAGCGTTGTTAGGTGACTGGATTAGGACGGCGGAAGAAATGCAATAATTTGATTGTCAAAATACAAACGGACAGACTTCGAATGACATCTTGATTGGATTGTTACATCTTTGCCGCAGTTACAGGTGATTAAGAAAGACTGTACTCTTAAATCTAGGCTTATGCAAGAAACGTATCATTATTTTGTGTGGACTTTTTAGGCATACGCAGTGCCGTGAATTTAGCAATATTAATTTTTAGCCAAACACTGCATAATAAGTTTGGTAACTTTGGTAACATTAATATGTATCGCTTCATTTAACGTAATTGCATAATTATCATAGAGAATGGAAATAAAATAGAAAATGTCAAGTGAATAACAAAGCAGCATATGAAATAAAGAAAACTGATAAAGGAAAAGTGATGAAAATTAAGGCAATTATGGTGAAAGTGCTTTTATTTCCTTCTTTCCATTATTCCATCAGGCTCCTATCTTACTATTTCTCCCGCACACAAGCCCACATACCACACACGCGCGAGCACACACACATTATATACACACGCACACGTACACGCACACACACACTCTCTTTCTCTTTCTCTATCTCTCTCTTTTGTTTCTCTATATTCCTCTTTCTCTCTCTCTCTCTCTCTCTCTCTGTATTATTCCCTCTCTCATAAAGATCTATCTACCATTATCATATTTCCCCCTCTCTTCCCATTATGATTATGTCATCATCTTAATTTTTCTTAGTTTTAAACAGCTCCCACTTTTTTTACGTACTTTTTTAATCCATGCTTTCATTTTGTGCTTTTCTTATCCTTTATTTGCCCTGCACTTTTTTGTTACTCTCTCTCTCTCTCTCTCTCTCTCATGACAACTCATAATCTTGATGTCACTCATGATGTATGTCTGATACAGGAGGGTGTGAGATGGGAACAAAAAGAGCTCAATTATGCAAGTGGGGTTAAACACCTCGTTAGCCACCCCCTGCTGTTCAGTATAACCACCACCAAAGGCCACTTATCTGTCCCTGGTCTTTGCCTCATCCTAGTTGAGTGACGGTGGTGGACGAAATGAAAATCATGGACAGATACTTTCGTCTAGAGTGCGCTATAAAGGTTTCATCATTATTGAATAGCTAAAGAACCGAGAGAAATTAATATATTTGATATTAGGCTTTTATCATAAAAGTTCAGACCGCCCTATGTGCCTCAATATTAATATTCACGAGACTCGTAACACTTTTTAAAGGAAAAATCCAAATACTGGCAAACCGATCTATATTAATGCCACCTAAGAGAAACAGAAAAGGTGGCTGCTGTAAACAGGCGGCCATTCTAGACAGGTCCTACACCACACATCTCTTGAGGAAGACAAAATGCAAGACCACTATAGACAGGTGGTCTTCATAGAAAGGTGGCCAATACCACATGTTTGACTGTAGCACATCGAAATCATCGCGCGAATATTTTAAATGAGGGCGACTGGAGTCGGCTTTGTAACGGCACAAAAAAGTGATTTACTATTTAAAGCTGAACCCCGTACATGCACATTGAATATCTGAGTGGAAGGGTCGGTCATGAGTGGGGTGGGGGTGGGTTGGGGGTGGGGGGGGGGGACAACCTCCCAAGATTGACCCATGGAATCGAATATTATCAACTCATTCTTTACAGAAACGATCTGTAAGAATATGCCCGACTATTAAGGAAGGCAAATACGGAAGGAAGATTAACTGTAAGAAATTTTTATTTTTTTATTTTTGATCTTTGAACTTTCTTTTTTCTTTTCTTTTGATTAAAAAAAATATATATATTTATTCTTATTTCTTTACTCTTTTGTTTTACTAAAGTTTTAAATCTGAAACTTTGAAAATGAGAAAAAGAAGACAAAGAGACTTCGATTCGACATTACGTGGAACACCGATCTAGCGAAAGTAATCTCAGAACTTTGAACTTCTTAAAAAGGGGTGCACCCGCCTCCACGCGTGCACTTTTAGAAAATCAATAATTGTGCACCTTTTGTCTCGATTATTTCCCTTCTTTATGTTGCTAAAGTACCCACTCATACAATTTACATTCATCTAGACAACAACAGGTTAATAGTGTCAATACTTATCCTTGTAGTACAGCCTTGAAGTAGACACAGATCAAGTCTCTTAATCTTCTCGTCACCCTTATTCACTCTTCATTAGTCTTTGTTTCTTTGTTGCTAAAACTGCTTAACGAACTTGACAATTTATACTGGAGATCATTAGTACG